AAAAAAGCAGAAAAATTAAGAGAGGAAGAAGTCGTCGGGTGCAGTATAACTTGTACAATTTGACAAACCTAGCTGTCAAATTTCCTGATGCATTTGAATACTCACATTTTTCAAAGAAAACTGTGCATCTATACAGCAAGCTAATTGATATTTTGCCAAGTAGTCTCTCAGGGTTTGGCTTACCAGATTATTGGATTGCACCCATTACTGTCTCTCAGAGAAACAGCTTTTTAAAAACTGGCTATTTGTATAAGTGTGGAATACATTTTCCCTTGGGAAGAACAGGGATATCTGAAACCTTATCTTGCATGTATCCCATTTCTGTGTGGTACAGCCTCATCTAACCAAAAAGTAATGTCAAATCAATCTCCTAGCACCACAACTTACAATATGATCTGGCTCTTTAATTTCAATACTTTTTATAGGGTCACAGTCATTGCCAGACATCTTTTGCAAAGAGAGTAACTATATTTCTTCAATAGAAGCAAGATCTTCAACTCTATATCTTAGAAATCAATATACTTATGGTATCCAAAAGGTTTGTGTGTCCATGCATAGTTGCCTTATCCAGTTTAAACTCAAGCAACTCAATTGGCCTCACCAAGGGGGGAACACAGGCTACTTAGCTTCTTCCAAATAACCTGAGTTGTTCCTAAGAAAGAAAAGGCATACAATGTGATAAATACATTCACACATTTCTGGGGGGGAAACAGAAAACCCTGCAGCTAAAAAATATCATGGGTTCCAGACATAACACCATGTCCTTTGTAGCTTCCTTGCAAGGTTTCCAAAGGCTGCTTCTTTGGATAGACAGAAAGAAGGAAAAGAAACTGCTTAAAAGGTTCAAGTAATTTTCCCCATCTTAGAGTTGTACCCAACAGTATTGCTCAGGTGATGGTAAGGCTTGCAGAACGGAGAGAGAAGCAATTCAACCTCCTTTTTATAACACCCCTCGTGCACTCATCCAAAACTGTGCTAGAAGCTCCACCAACCCTATGAAGAAGATATATTACTATCATCATCATCGATATTCCAATTAATTTGTTAATCAGCTTCTAAACCAGCATCTCAAGGCGATTTACACAAGAGATCCTTAAAACCAATTAAAAACACAAAGACAACATATACATTAAACAAGACTAAACCCAAACAATGGACACTTGTGGTAAAGACCCATTTATCCAGCTTTGAAACCCTGTTGGGACAAAAAATGTCCTTAACTGTTTTCCAGAAAGTGCAGGTAGTAACTTGACAGGAATGCTATTCCACAGAACAGGGGCAGGCACACAAAAAGCCTTGCTTTGAGATACTGCAGAGCAGGCTTCTGCGATCTTGGGAGCTTGCTGAAGAAACTCTCCAGAAGACCACAATGATCTACTGGAAGTGTCTGCTCATGAGGCCAACTGAAGCAGCTGCTTTGGGTGGTGGAATCCTGCCTGGCGCTGTCCCCATGGGCGCCCTTGCCCACTTCTGCCACCAGGGTTGCACACTGGTGGTTTCTGGTGGGATCTTGCAAAAGTTCTGCAAGATCTAGTTGGAAGCCATCCTGGCAGGTGTGTGACCCCAGTAAGCACCTGATAAATGGGAGGGGATGCCCCTGTCTATTGGGTGTATAAGAGATAAAGCAGTCTCCCAACTAACCTGGACCTGAGCTGTGTAGGGACTTATACGTTAGCACCAACACCTCAAATACATTTACGCAATATTAGGAGGGGGTGCAGTGGGAGGCAGAATGACCCAAAATTGCTTCCCTCTCCAATCCACTGATGGGAGTCTTACCATCAACTGAGAAACACAACTGGACACAACCCAAACACAGATCCAATTATTTTCAAACACATTTGCACCAGTGCAGTGATTTCTCATTCAAGCCATTAAAGAGAAGAATGTAAAATCTTTGTATGACCCTATATTCAAAAGAGGAGACAATCATAATGAATATTCTTTCTAAGGGTGTGCCCAAAGTGCTATGATTTTGGAGACCAGAAAGTATGTGGTTGTTTGAGATGTTTTTGTTGCAGGGGTGGAAACCACTGTTATTTCTGTGAAGCACTTCTGTGATTCCCTGTGGTCTGCTGTGGAAAGCGCAACAGTGGGGTGGGGACCTGAAAGCACTCCCCAATTAAAGATTACTTACAGAGCTTGGTTTTATGGATGTTGGTGCATTTTATTGTTGCTGCAAGTTGTTGCTTTGCTTTTTAATTGTTAACATATCTAGCCATCTATATTTATCCAAGTATAGGTTTCAATAATTTTACATTATCTATATGTCATAGTGTTAAGTTGTTTGAGTGTGTTTTGACACAGAAAAGCAACCAATATATTAATAAATATGAACAAACAGAGCAAATGGAGCTTAGAAGCAGAGTGATCACATGCACCGTCTAGAAAATCCTGCCCCATCCACATTCAGACACTTCCAAGCACCCTCACAAGCCACTAAAAACTTGGCAGAGACAGCTCCAGCCCCAGCTGTTCCAGAAGGGGCTCAAAGCACCTTTCAATACCATCAACCATCATGGTATTCTTCTGCTTATCTGGGGATTTATTAAGTGGTTTTCAGCACCAGCCACCATAGTACACTTGGGGAGTGATTTGTACTGATGAGGATTTTAAGTTGGACCGTTTGTATATGGATTGGAAGCCACACTGGGAGCAGTTAAAACGAAGAAGAAGAAGAGCAGGATATGGGAATAAATAAATACAAATAAAGACATTCAACCCTGTGTTTAGTTGGGTGTCTGGTCCTTTGGAAAGCCACAGAAGTTCAGAGGAAGCCAAGAGGCCAACAAGATTTCCCTAGCTCACAAGACTTAAGGCCTCAGTTGGCATCCATCACCAAATATCATCGTTACAGACAAGGCACAATGAATTTTTGCCGCTGCTACCAACTTATTTGTCTTTTCAGGCATATTTGGAACCAGCAAAAGTAAAGCAGAGGCCTTGTTAACCTCCCATCAAACATTCCATAGTGTTTTTGTTTCTCTTTGTAGAAAGGCATCAGCTAAGTGTTGGGACCTTAAAGAGGATATCCTGCCTACGAACATCTTTTTTTATGGATAATGAGAGTAGCTACTGTTCTCATAAGCTACATTTCAAAGAAGGAATAGGCCACATAGCAACTAAGAAAATTCCAGGAACTAGAAAATTAGATCTATGATAAGTAAACTAGAAGCACATATTCATTAGGAGACCAGGCATGCTGGTTCAGTGTATCCCAGTTTATCTCTAGAGGTTTCATATCTTGCTTCCTGTTGCAAGGACACTTGTGTCCTGGCTGAGCAGCTCACTATGAAGATGGATATACCGTAATTACATCTGGATATGCATTTGGAGCTGAATCGTATAGTTCAAGTTATCTCTGGCTCAATGGGAACCCCAAAGCACCCAGAAAACGATAAAAATTAGTCTGCAAACTCCAATATACCTTCCCTACAATAGCCCAGTCTGTGTAAGGTTGCATTCTCTTTGGGTGGGGAGAAAAGGAGAGAAACCATTTTCTTTCCATCTCCATTAGTTTGCTTATACACTGACAATTGTTTAACACTGACCCAAATACTAATGGAGCCACAAGAAGTGGGAGATGGTTAATAATGGGCAAAAGAGTGGCTTCAAATACATCTTGCTAACAGACAGACTGCTCCAAGCGTGGGCTCAGCTGGAGTCAGAGCTCTGGAAATTCATTTAGGGTTGAATAGGGGAGTATAAATACTTATATATAAAATCCCAGAAGCTGGTGCCCCAAGTGCCTTTCCTTTCAGAATCCTGTCCTGTAATAAAATCAGTTGCCTTTGCAAACATCTGCAGCACACCACCATGTTCTGGATGTTAGATGTTTGTGGCATGCTCCACCGAAGAGCTGCTAAAAGCTCCTTGGGAAGATTATTAAGAAAGCCTGTTGTTGTTGTTGTGTGTAAGGAAGACTTGTATACTGGGAGGACATCAGTGAAGGCTGCAGCACACTGTAGGATCCTAGTGAGAAACAGACCTCTAATTCAGAGATGGAGAGGAGAGAAAACCAAGTATTCATTTATGTAGTAGAGAAAGGGTGTGTTGTTGTTTTTTAAGTGTAAAGGAAGGTATTTGGGTGAAGACTAAACCTCTTCTTTTGACCTCCAACAATTCAAGTCCTCAAAAATCAGTTCTGCTTCTCTGCGCATAGCTCACCTCTCCATCTGCATAACCTGAATTTGGCTTCTGCTTCTCAGTCACACAAAAGTGTGATGAAATGTTGGCAGTGGGCTTTATCCATAAGGCTGAAGAGCAAAATTGGTGCACTGACCCCTTAAAAAAAAAGTTACAATATAAATAAATAAATTGCCAAGCTGATGTGTCAGATGGGAAACAGTTGGTGGGATTTTGAATGCAAAAACAACTACCCCTCATTCTTTTTGTCTCTGTTGGCTGTTTCTCTGTGAAACTGGGGACCAGGTGAACCTTCCCCATACGGGTGCACAGAGGAAACGCAGTCACTTGGCACACCCAAACTTATGGAGGACACAGAGGGGCAGGGTGGAGATAATGTTATAATCCCTCACTGTGTTTACTCCATTCAACCATTCCCACAATCTATGTAGAGACGAGAAATGAAGTCCTAATGACCCCTCTTTCCTCCCTCCACCAGGCCTGTCTCTGGGAAGAAATCAGCTCAAACATCAGCCTTTCTCAATACTTCCTTTTGGCCTATGGATGGTTTCTGTATATCATTCTGGAATGTTCTTCTTTAAAAAGGGGGGGGGGATCTCGTCCCCACACATTACCTTCCTTGTCAACTATACCACCTTGTTAAACAGAATTAAAAATGGTTTCTCTAGAATCCAGTGGAATGTTCTAATAAAAATAAAAATAAAAATGCTGAAAAGATCCACATGAATGGCATAAAGCAACATTGTCTCACATCCCAACCAATTTGGGTCTCTTTAGAACCTGGGCCAATTGACAGGATTCCCAGGAGGTGGTGGCATTTCTGATAAAAGATGGAGAAGCGTTTTGTAGACACATCACTTGCATTGTTCATGATCTGTGTAGTCATCCATGTCCACATCAGAATCGAAGAGGGAATGTCCCGTGTAATCGGTGTCAGGTGTTCGCGAAAAACTATTCTCGGTTCCCTCATCGTCAAATGTTTCTGTCCTTGAGTAAAAACTGAAGTCCTGCAACGGTTGAGTCTTACTTGCTTCACTGCTTTCTTCTGACTCATACAGAGTGTTGTCATCATCATGGTGCCATTCTGGCCAAAATTTCCTCCTTATTCTCTCACAGTACATAGCAAGGTTAATCAGTTCTCCTAAGAAAAGACAGGGAGGGAAGGAAATAGCATTATATGATTACCCAACTACAAAGCCTTTAAACGTAGTAATAATATTATTATTTTTCATTGAGAAAATACAGTTCATTTTATTTTTATAATGCATAACTCACTTTTCACTACCTCCTGAAATAAAACTAGGTTTAACTAGGTGTCTGAAATTCAGCAGGGATGGGGCTTATGAGAGGGAGTGCCACAGAGTTGAACCTGCAACACTGAAGGGAAAGCTTCTCATCATGTTTCTGGTCCATAGGGAACCACTATTAGTGGTCCTCCAGTTAATATCAGTGAGCAAAATGGGATGTACAGCCTTAAGGCAGTCCTAAAGGTATTCCAGGCCTACGTTATTCATGTGCACTAATACAAGAACTTTGAATCTGGCCTGGTAGCAGATGGGAAGCTAGTGCAGATTTTTTAATACTTGTGTCTAGCCCTGGCATTCTGCATTACCTGAAGTCTCCAGACCACACCCAAGGGCAGACCCACATAGAGAATGTTGCAGTAATCAAGTCTTGAGGTTACCACTGCATGTACAAGAGTGGTCAGGTTGTTTGTCAGATGGCTGTTGCGGTTGCTCAAGAGTAAGCAGGCAGGACTCCAGCCTGTCTTTTACAGGCTTTATTTTGGTGCAAACTATTTACAGTGAAGAGCGTCATAAGTTCATGTCTGGCTCAATCGCTAGCAGAATTCAGGAGTGGTCTTTCTTTGTACCTCCCCCAACATAAAAGTTTCGTTACCCCCAACCGTCTCCGCCCCTGTCTGCTCTTCAGACTACTGCACAGGATGGGCGATGGCAAGGGCGTGCTTCCCTCCTCTCCGGCTTGCTCAGGAGTGGTGTTAAGGCTCCCACTAGCACCTCTTCCCCACTGGAGGTGGGGCTTTCCTCCTCCTCGGAAGAGGAACTGCTTTCCTTCTATTTCTCACCTCTGAGCAGGTGGCAGTTCCCTGACATTGTTGTTATATATTTATTTATACCTCATGTTGTTCTTGTTTTCCTGACAGGACTCAAGGCAGTTTACAGTTAAAAATAAGGACCACTAAAAATGTAAATATATATATTTTTAAATATTGTTTAATTTAAAAAGGGACCCTTGTGGTCCTTTCCATCTCTATGATTCTATAGGGCATCTCCCTATGATAACTTGCTGATTTCTTTTAGAAGAAGGGTATTTTTCATATACAACCAATTTGCTTCACAATCTTGTGGCTACATCTCAAAGTACCATTCCTATTTGTTCATACTTTAGAACACATTTTATTGACTTGTTCACTGTTATATGTAACAGCAGCCATTATCTAGAAGAGAAAAATGATATATGTTCTGAGGACAACATGGGACAAAACGAAGCCTAACAAACTGCAGTGGATGAATGCTTTCCCCTATAGCCTGTTTTTAGAACTCTAATAGACATAGGTAATGTGTAACCTTGTACCACCAGGTGGCAGGGTTGTCTGAGAGAAACTTGCCTTTCTTCATCAGGATTCTACAAGAAAATATTCTGTAGAACAATATTTTTCACATACATAAACATAACGTATCTTCTGGCGGTTCCCTCATTGTGAGAAGTCAAGTTACAGGGAACCAGGCAGAGGGCCTTCTCAGTTGTGGCGCCTGCCTTGTGGAATGCCCTCCCATTAGATGTCAAAGAAATAAACAACTACAGTGGTACCTCGGGTTAAGAACTTAATTCATTCTGGAGGTCCATTCTTAACCTGAAACTGTTCTTAAGCTGAGGTACCACTTTAGCTAATGGGGCCTTCTGCTGCCGCCGCGCCGCCAGAGCACGATTTCTGTTCTCATCCTGAAGCAAAGTTCTTAACCCGAGGTACTATTTCTGGGTTAGCGGAGTCTGTAACCTGAAGAGTCTGTAACCTGAAGCATCTGTAACCCAAGGTACCACTGTATCTGACTTTTAGAAGACACCAGAAGGCAGCCCTGTTTAGGGAAGTTTTGAATGACTGATATTTTAATGTATTTTTAAACTTTTGTTGGAAGCTGCCCAGAGTGGCTAGGGAAACCCAGCCAAATGGGTGGGGTGTATTTTTATTTATTTTTTTATTTTTATTAAATATTATTATTATTATTATTATTATTATTATTATTATTATTATTTTATTGCTTTGGGACAGTTCAGCTACAGATGCTCTTTGACAAAACTGATTATCTTGGCCCATTCTAGTCTGGGTTGAGATCCAGTTGGGTACCAAAAGCAGCTTTGGCCACCCTGAGAAATGAGAATTTGAGAGGGGCAGTGCGACCCTGTTGATTCTCCTTGATCTTTCAGCCACTGATCACCATAACATCCTGGAGCACTTCAGGGAGTTGGGGGTACCATTTTATAGTGGTTTCTTTTCTACTTCTGGGGTCAGTTCCAGACAGTAGCATTAGGTAATATTGGGAGACTATACCTCAGCCCTCTGGCAGCTAATCTGTGGGGTACGAAAGGGTACACAATGCTATTTAATATCTATATGAAGCCACTGGAGGCAGTCATGGGGAGACCTAGAGCAAGGTGTCACCAGCACACTGAGGATGCCCAGGTCTATTTCACTGTAGCATCTGAATCAGGAGAGGTTGCGCATGGCTAAACTTGTGCCTGCCTAGATGCAGTCATGGACTGGATGAGAGGTAATGAACTGAAACTTAAATCAAGATGCTAGGATCGAACAGCAGAGACACAGCTGGCCTCAATCAGAAGTCAGGCATTTAATATCACCAGTCTGATGCTCTTCTACCAGAGATTTGGCAGGTATCCTTGCTTTTTACTTTCAGACATCACTTGAAGACCATTTTATGCCTACATACCTATGCAGTTGTTTACTCAAGGAAATTTTAGCCTGACATTTACAGATTGTTCTCTATTGTCTTTATAGTTTGTTTGCTTTTTATGTTGCCATTCATCATCCAGATGTTTTGTGAGAGGGTGATATATATTAGTTTGACATTTAAAACTCTGATCTTAGACCATAGGTTTTGCCTGAAGTCAGAAGTCCCATGCACACTTAGCCCCTTCAGCAAAGAACTATGCCTCCTGGCTCCACCTTCCTGACAGTGTTCACCATCCCAGCTCTACCTTCTGACTTCCCTGTCTTGGTCAAAAATCTGAAGGGTGAGCTAACTGCAGTCACTTAGCTTGGATAGCTCAGTTGGTTAGAGCATGTTGCTAATGGCAAGGTTGCAAGTTTGATCCTCATATGGGGCAGTTGCAAATTCCTGAATTGCATGAATAGGCCTTGGATCAGATTGCAAACAGGTCCTTTCCATTCACTATCAGACAATGCCTTCAAATCCATAATGCAGGAATTAAAGAAGCCCCTACCTTTAATTAGTCTCTCCGGCCTAGTTCCTGGCAGCGTCCACATTGCCTGTGCTAGATGTCCAAAGACTGTAGCATCTAAAGTGGAAAGTTTGGGCCCCATGATGTACTTCTTGTCACCTACAAAACAAAGCCAAAAGCATTTCTTTCTTTTTTTAAGCCTGTGGGTATTTATTTATTTCTCCCCTCCCAACTCACATACTGCTGACATCCTGCTATTATCTTCAAAGCATTAAGCTCAGCAGTTGAGCTTTTAAATCACAAATCACCAGGCACAAATTTCAATGATTGTAGAATGGCATTGCCATGTCACTGCAGGGATATTTCAGCCAATTAATGCATCAAAAGGAAGAGTGTGTTAGAGTTCATACTGTATATAAGCCTGCATTTGAGGACTACTGCAATATGACCAAGGAGTTTTGTGCGTTAGCAGTGATAGACAATTTCCCCCAAAGAATAAGATAAGCCCACAGTGCTCATTTAGCACAGGGGTGGGGGGCCTCAGCTACTACACAAGCAGCCTATTACACAAAGGCAAGAGTCAGCCTATTACACAAAGGCAAGACCCATTGCTCTCTCCACTTCTTGCCTCTGGCCCCAGGGGTGTAGGGCTTCTCGCCAGTGCCCAGGGCAGATGCGGAGTGTGCTTGTTCAGCCCTCACCTTGGACCCCACCAGGCAGGCACCCCCCAGCCCCTACCACCAACAGGCAAGCGCTTGGGTGCTGGATGAGACACATGGAGGGTTATCTTCACCCTTCGTGCTCTCCAGCCCCCACCACCGGCAGGGCACAACAGGAATCTCTGTAAGTGCACCTGGTTTGTGCCCCCCTATTGTGCGCCCGGGGCACCAGCCCCCCCACATACTACACCACTGCCTGGCCTTCATGCCATAGGCATCTGGCCTCCAAAAGGTTGCCCCCAGAGAATTGTGATGTTGGGGCCGACAAAGGTTCCATACCCCCTGAATCAGAGTCATCATTGCAGAGGCAAATGAGGATGCTCACTCGCAAGGGAACTCTATGTGTGCATTACTGTGGAGTGGAAATGTGTGCAGTCATTTTAGGTGATCCATAGTGCCGGTATATTTAATTATTGCAGAGAATTTGAATGAATCATGGTGCATTCCCGAAAACATGTCTGAATCCTAGAATGCTGAGCCAAGTCTTCAATGACACCAGCTCTGCAGGTTTCCTTTCAACACAAAATTACTCTTACGCAGAATCAGAGTTGAATAGCCAAGACTGTGCATAATGAGAAATTAATCTCTAAAATCAACGCAACTAAATAAAATGTAAGTTGGCATATGAAAGCATCTCACGGTGGCTGAATTTCTGAAGCGTGTGCAATTTGGATTGTGGGGGAGATAATTTAACACATTCATGAGGCATATACCTAAACTATGCATAAGATGAAAGTGGTTGGAATAGTCTATCAAAACAAGTGATAATGCATTTTCAATATAATGTAATGTAATGAAAGGCACTGTACATTACCCAGAAGACCTGCCAGAGAGCGCATGTCTTTCTCCATCAGCTTATAGATCTCTTCCTCAGAGAAGCGGCCGATGCCATGGCCATACATTTCCCGCCTCACTATTCCTTTCGTTATATGGCAGAGAATCCACTTCAGCAGGTCACTAAAAGGACCAGTAAAGGAAAGCATCTTCTGAGTCTCATGGAGATTGTCCACCCACTGGCAATATGCTAAGGTCCTAGAATGTGGTGAGGGGGAAAAAAACGTTTATAGCTGTGAGGAACATAAACACACTTCTCTCGACCAAACCAAAACGGAAGCTGATAAACACGGATAATAGGAAGAACAGGCTTCATTGAGGCAGTAGATTCCCCAAACTTCTTTTGTGCTACACTGAAACAGAGAAATGCTGCTTTGGGGTGAGGGGGAGCACCATTTCACCACCCAGCCAGATCTACTATGAAGAGAAGGATGACAGTATAATTATCAAACTTCTTTCAAACTCTTATTTTTAAAATTTTTACTACTAATAATAATCTACTACTTTTTAAAAGTAGCAGATTATTAGTAGTAATAATCACACACACACACACACACACACACACACACACACACACGGGCTTCCACCTCAGTAATACTGTATTTAAAACATTTTTACACTTTCCTTTCCACAAAATGCCCATAATTATCTTGAAAGAATCAAGTTTTTCTGAAGCTTGGGTATGAGCAATTGGCTAGTGCTCTCACAGGCTAGTATCTCAGGTGCTTTTGCTTTTCCGTACATGGCTTACTCTTCTGAGGCCTCTGGAGCTATTTGCAATGTATGCAGTGGCATATTGTGATTTGGAAAGACCGTTTTGTGGGTTGGTGTATGAGTGGCCCTACCTCCCAGCAGCAAGTTGCACCAGGTGGCATTTTAGTCCCATCTAACCCTTCGGCCTAGGCGATGATGATGCCAGTAATTACAAAGTAGTGACTGCAGACATTTTTGAAACAAAGGACTGCCTTGTGGATTAATAATAATGTTCTATAGCAATGCTTGTTTGAGTGTGAAAGCCACGTTTAATGGGACTGTTAATTACTTCTCTCAGCGACACTTGAATATTCCCCTTTCAAGAGGACTGCATGCAGCTGGAACCGGAGATGCACTTGTCAACACAGTATATTAACAGAGACTTCCAAAAGCTAAACATGCAAGGAAGCTACCAAGACAGGCTTTGCGCTTGCGTGTCCCATACCCACCCACCTAGCCCCAGCCCTCGCCTCTTTCTCAGGACTATTCCGGGTAGCAGAGCAAATCACAACTTTAAAAGAGCAAGAGATCAACAATGCTCTCAAAGCTAGGCGCAGTAGTTTTTCAGCAAGGTTCAGAATGAAATATTTATAAACCCAGAAATACTTTCTAAGTGGTGTCAATTCAGGTCGTTTACCCTACAGAGCCTGTCTACCGGCTCTCTTCCTTTGCCTCCTCATGCTGGCTTTTGAACAAAGTTGAGCTTCACCATTACCCTAATGCAGCTTTTACCAACCAAATGCCCTCCAGATATTTTGGACCACAAGCCCCACCAGCGTAAGAGCACAGGAAGCTGCCTTAAACTGAGCCAGAGCATTTAGCTCACTACTGTCTTACAACGGCCATCAGCAGTTGCCCAGGATTTCAGGCAGTTGTTTCTCCCAGCCCTACCTGGAGACACTGGGGACAAAACCTGAGAGCTTCTGCATGCAAAGACCACACTGACTGGGACTGATGGGAGTTGTCATCCAAAACATCTGGAAGGCACCAGATTGGTGAAGCTTTTCCTAAAATGACAGAGGGTGGCCTTGGGTGACCCCACTGTGGGGTGGAAAGGAAGCTTTCCAGTTAGATCACACAAACAAATCTGGTCCCCTTCCCTGAAAAGATGCCAAGTGTGCCAGCAAGGTGCTTTTAGCACACAGTTCTCACTTCAGCCAACTGGCTTTGGGAAGTTCCAAGTGCCTATAAAGCTCACAGAAAACAGTCAGAACTGCCAGGGGCTCCCCAGTAACATTGACAGAAATCATTCAACACTATGCAGAAATTGATCAAGGAGAAGAAATTGCCAAGGAGAATTACATAACATTTAGAAGACATCTGAAGGTAGCCCTGTATTGAGAGGTTTTTAATATTTGAAGTTTTATTCTGTTTTTAATGTTCTGTTAGGAGCCATCCAGAGTGGCTGGGGAAACCCAGCTAGATGGGTGGGGTATAAATATTATTATTATTATTATTATTATTATTATTATTATTTAATGCTTTATGTTTTTATTATGTTTTTAGATATGCTGCAAGCTGCCCAGAGTGGCTGCGGAAACCCAGCCAGATGGGCTGTTGTTGTTGTTGTCATTATCCATATTATTTTTTAAAAAAACAGATACACACAGAATGAGCAAAACAAATGCCATTTTAGGTCTTATATACAAAGGTCTTGTATGAGTACCCATCTGCAACATATGTAAGAGAGCCATGCCTGGGCATCTTCTTCGGAGCCCCAGATAGCAGTCCTGAAATCACTGCTAGTGCCTCTCAGCTCCCACACCAGGTGTTCTGTGACCAGGAGTGCTTCCAGATTGTCACTACTTCGGAGGGGGGGGTATTCAGTCACCTAGGGGCAAATTCAGGTTGCACAATGACAGTTGATTAGGAGGTTGTTGGTGCAACAACTAGCTTCCCCAAAAGATTAAACTTTTTTGAAATGAGGAACGCAATAGGACGATGGGATAACACTTGCTTTCAGTTGCCAATGTTGCCTAATCTCCCTGAATGCAAATCTGAAATGTTCAGCATTCACTACTGTTTTTTTTATGCCTTCTATAGATCAAGATGCATTGTTCAAGGATGACATGTTTATTATATTTATTTCTTTCCCCTCCCTGATTGTTTGGGTTCTTTTGCTTAGTATTTAGTTTTGGATATACTTTTATAATATCACAAGCTATTCTGCAGTCAATGTGTATGTATACACGCTGAAATATGAAAAACCTTCCAAAAATATTTGTTTGCTTGTTTTAAGCGTGGGATGACACAACATCATCTAACCTCCCCATAATCAAAACAGAATGCATGCTCATTCAATAGCCAACACAGTCTAATCTCCCTGCAAAGAAATCAGGGCGAATGTGCGTTGGGAAGCACTCTGGGTTGCCAGAGCTCAGCTGCAGAAGCTGAGTTGGGGAGGGTTGGAAAGGAGGAGGAGGAGGAGGAGGAGGAGGAGGAGGAGGAGGAGGAGGAGGAAAAAAGAGAGAGTCACGCCAGCACAGCAAAAGTCTTTTGTGGATCCAACCCTTAATTATTTATCAAGCTAAACTACTTGCTGAAATGGAACAAGAGAGAGACGACATCAATAGCAGTACTTTAAAGGAAATAACAAAACAGTGGTTGAAGAGGAATGTAATGGAAGGGAGGAACTCTCCCAGCTTCATCTCCTCTGTCCTGCACCTTTATTGCTGAGAAGGAAAAACCAAGTATAATTTTAATCATTTCAATTCCCCAGCATCTCCAGACAGGTCTGGGAATGCCCCCTGTCTGAAACCCTGTGTAGCTGTTGCCAGTCGGTGTAGACAAAATTGATCTGACCAATGATCTGATTCAGTATAAGGCTGCTTCCAATATTTCTAGTAACAGATAACAATGGGTGCCTATTTTAGAGGGAGCTCTTGGACCTTTCTTTCTTGACAGGCAACATTCCATCAGGAATTCTTCCTTGTATACAATGAGTATATGGGGTAAGCAGGCATTGATGCTGATGATGACAGTGGCAACTATGAAGGAGCTCAAAGCACCTTGGACTGCAATCTATCGGGACTGCAATCCCATCCAGGCAGCTTACAGGGCCAGAACCCATTTGACTTCAGAAATGCACTGTTTACCTTCAGCACATGCTCCTTGCATCTCCAAGCACATTGCTATTGTGTGGTGTCAGCTGTTTTGAAATGGCCCAAAACCATACAGAATCTTTGGGGAAATTTCTTGAAATTCGGGAGGCTTTGCGGGCATATCTAGATGGTACAATTCTAAACTAAATGTACTGAAGTGGACAAGTTGAATAACATGAATCGAATGTAAAATATAATATGGGGTAGCATAAGTTAATTCAGAAAATGGCTTAAAACAGACTGCTGCGTGAAGAATCCTGCCTTTGATTAGGGAGGTGAAGCAGCTGGCTTTTACTGACTTATTATGGAAGCAAACATTGAATGTCTAAGAACATGAAATCTCTCTATGGCATTCTAACTGTGCTTTTTCCATTATCATAAATCCTCCAAGTCAGTGTTGTTCTCCCTGGGGTGCATGGGAGGCATTTGTTGACTTGATGAGTCAACAACAAGAGAATAAGCCTAGGTGCAAGGAAATGGAAGTAGATGAGACTGTGTATTTTCAGGCACCTTTATTATCTGTATTTCAATTTTGGATAATCCCTTCATTTTGTTCCTTCCTACTTGTTGCCTTATAGCTGATTGATTAGACTGAAAGCCTTAGGAGGCCAGAAAACCACTTTGGGCAACTGCTGTAGCCCTTGGGAATGGGCAGGCTTGCCATCAAAATTAAAGAGAGATGAACAGAGGCTGCAGCCCTATATTTCTATGCAGACATAGATATTGCCAGGCTCCTTCAAAGTTGATGAGCATTGCCATTCAAATGGTGTGTGCACCACATCTTGTGATCAATTATGTGGGGCAGGACTTACCTGCCCCATCCCAAATGTTTTATTCAGGTTGGCACCCCTGATGTGCAAAGTTTATGCAAATCTGTGCCCTCTTGTCTTTTGGGGTGAATGGAATCTTTTCGGGTGGCGTGAGTAAGCAGAAAAACAATGCTAATATAACTAGAAGAAAGAAAAGAGAATTGGGTCTAACAAGTGTGCTACCACATCTGAAATCATCAGAGAGCATCTAATATCCATGGCAACTTACCAGTAAAAGTGCTCCTCCACCATTTTTGTAACAGCTCTAGAAACAGCTCTTTCATGTGGGCCAAGATGTTTGTTTAAATTGACTCCAAGCTTCTCTTCCAGAAAATCAATAATGAATTCTGTGCCGGACACTTTTTTGCAATTGTATTCAATCCACGGCATTTTCCCTTGAGGGGAAAGTTTTCCATCAAAGTAGTTCTAAGAAAAGAAGTACCAAAACAAAAACAGGGGGAGAAATCAAACACACATTTAAAAAATAATAATAATAACACAACAATCACAAATCAGTAATTCAGACTCTATTGCTAAGTCAACAACAAACCAACAGGTCACAACCAAGCATTATGTCTGCTCCCGAATGAATGGTGAGGTGTTTTATCTACCTTTTATGCTTTCATTCTCTGCCCGCAGGAAAATTTGCTGCAGGGGGACTCTCAAGTGTAGCTTGAGCTGAGCAACAGAGAAGGACAACAAGAGCAGACAGGGATGTGTGACTGGGCAGAAGAAATCACAGATGCCTCATTTCTAGAGTCAGAAACATGCTTTAAAGGTAAATTTGGCACCTCTCTATTCCAAACTGTAATGCGCTCACTAGACCTGTGTAGGTATGCATGCCCATCTCCTGAACCAGCCTACAATTTTGGACATTTCTAGACCAAAACTAGGTAACAGGCAAAATTGCAAAAAGTGAGATAACCCTCAGCTGGATTTTTCAGACTCGGTGTGGGTGCATGTGAAACTCTACCACCAACTTTAATCCCTTGGCAAGTCCAATAAAGACAGATGGCTAGACTGAGGGTGGAAGGATTCAATTGCAACCCATATCTAGCCCTTATTCTTTCAAGTGTTCCAATATGGGTAACCAATTCTTTCTGCATGTCAAACATCTGCCTTCCCATTCCCATTTGAATATGGCTCAGTACAAGAAGGTGGCAGAGGGTTAAAGGCAGGTGAAACAGCAAAGGAAGAACAAGAAAGGCAGGCAACATACAGAGCCCATCAAGTAGTTAATAATGGTGATGACATGATAGATAGATGATAGATAGATAGATAGATAGATAGATAGATAGATGATAGGCAAGCATAACACCCAGTGATGTTGGGTAGAAAAAATGAAAAATGTTTGGTTGGAATTTTCCAAGATGGGTTATGCTTTTTAAAATTATGTTTTTTAAAACAAAAAAACCCCTCTGCTGCTACATTTTTATGTAAATCATTCTCTACTTTTAGAAATCCATTGCTTCACAAATTTAATTAGTAACATAATGAACCAACATAATGCTAGTCAAATTGAGCAATTGGAATGGAGACAAAACCAGTCAAATCTAAAATCAAAGCTGCAATTAACTTCTTCTCATGAGTCTAATCCTAGAAAGCACATTCATGAGAACAATTCTTCAGGCCTGATATGTTTTGATTGCCTTCATTTCTCCCACCCCCTTAATATCTAAACAACATAAGCAAAGAGTGTGCAATCGAGTCATTATATTATATCTCACCTTCCCTTCCAGCAACACTACATGTTTCTCCTCTCCCTCTCACTATCACATATTTACAAGTACTCAAAAAAAAACCAACAACCCACCTTTACATGGGAATTATTTTTAACAAATTAACATTTAAACCATATGAAGTGTTTTATTGATCCCCTAATCAAATATAACAATTCTACTTTTAGTTACATGGGAAATAAAGTCAAATAAACCTGCTAAAAGACATCAAATCTGTGGAGGGTAGCAGAAAAAATAAATAAATTTGGGGGTGGGGAATCCAGTTCAAAATGGGCTGTAAAATTCACATGGCTAATAATAGCAGTCGTTCGTTACAACCCTTTGCCAATATGCCAAAACAATATGGTTTCTATGTTCTTGTCACATGTAGCAGTGGGAATGACACAAGCCTGGCACATGTGCATGGCACCATTGGGCGGGCAGGTTCCAGCAGGCCGTGCAAGAGAGGGAACCTCTTCTGCGCATGTATGGACCTCACCGAGTTAAGACAACAGTTGGCTCCCAATCTACTGAAAGTACAACAATAATAAAAGCTTCTGCCTGAATCTGTTCCTTGACAAAAATAGTGAGGGATGTGACAAGACAAACTTCAGTATAATCAGGATATACCCAAGAAATACTTGTTTTTTAATAGCAGTTGCTTTCCCTTCCACATGGAATTGCAAATGTCAGGTACAAAATGTATTAACACCACCAGGCAGGTGTTCAGGCAGTCCCTAAGCAAACCTGAACAACTCCCTCTATTTCCAGTGTACAGAGGCAAGTGACAGCGCTTACGTAGCCAAAATCGCATCACCCGTTTACAAGGGGGAAGTAGCAGCAGGCTCAGGGGAAACATCCCCCACTTCCCGGTTTTCAGAAGGTGGGGGGAACTAAAGAATGGGGATACACCCGACACCCTGAAAAGAGCATTCTCAATGACCATGAAATGCTGGGTGTCTTTGACAGAGGCAGAAGGGAATATCTGGGGGCAGCATGGCTCATGGGCACCACAGGATTAAACAGGAGCACTCCACACAGCAAAATTATGTGGCAGATCCCACTGCGATTCTGCATGTTTTAAAGCAAACTTAGGGATAGTAGTTCAATGGCAGCAAATATGCTGTGCATGTAAAATGTCCCAAGTTCAGTCCCCAGCAATGGCTTGTTCCTATGTTCATCTGCTTCCTAAAAAGGGATATTCTACTCTAGAAATGCTCTTCTGACCTGGTCCCCCTGGGCTGTTCCACTTGTCTTTGTGAAAATTCAATCCAGAGGCATACTGCTCTCTTGGACTTTGGGTTGCTCACTGGATAAGGTAAGGAATGTGTGAGATAGCTATGCAGCCTTACACTCCTATGGCTGTTACTTTCTTAGCAAGGGGTAGTGGAGTCTTCATCTCGGTGAATTTTGGAAGCAGCAAGAACCATGAAGAGTCAGAAAAACACAAAAGTGTGTGTGTGTGTGTGTGTGTGTGTGTGTGTAAATGGTAGAGATAGATTGAAATTCGGTGTTAAGCTATGATTTTTTAAAAATCAGAATTGTTATTTTTTTGGACATACCTAATATATTTATCTATTTATTAAAATTAACATGTTCAATCAAGTAAATGTCACCTTAATCAGAAGGCAACCCTAAGAATAATTGATTAAAGAAGGAGGCAATCACATGGTACAGAACTCTGGCGTGACTGTACTACATCATTTATATACAAGGATCGTTTTTTGAAAGCAGTCCCACCCACAAACCTGTCTACTACACACATGTCAAAGCTTACTTGTAAAGAGTTATGTGTTCCCATGTTTAAGCTTTCCACCAAGAGTGCAATATGGGAGAGTTTTCCAACAAGCTGCCTAAAAACTTGCATCATGAGGTGGTACTGTTCTGCAATGACTGTACCACGGGACTCTTTTCTCATTAGAACAGACCAATACACCTATTCTCTAGGCGAGGCATATGGTCCTATAATAGGTGGCATCATGCGCCTGTAAGTAGCCAAAGTAACATAACATGCACAAGTTTACCTGGTAGGGCAAATCAGCCATCCTTAAGTAAGTCTCCATTTTCAAACAGAAAGGAGATAAACTCGGAATACCATTGTTTGGCCTTGAAAACTGATGCAGTATAATAGCATCTTTTGAATCAACCTCTTGCTCTTTCCTATAAGCAAAACAAGCGAGTAAGTTTTACAAAACAGAATCCATCATGCGTCATACAGCATCAATATGTCAAACTTGCAAAGCACAATGCAACTGCTGAGGCAAACTTTCCTTATGTCATTCAATAGGCTGCCACTATTTTGTATTCATTAAGCTTTAAGTCACTAAGAAGCACTTTGGACTGCAAGGGCAAAATAAGCCAAGTCAAGATGATTCAATATTCAAAATATCTAAAACCTTCCACAGTTAAATTCATATACACACAAATGACCATATTCATAGTTATGATGAAAGCGTTACATGTAGGGATGCCATCTTGTCCAGAAACTGCCTTGATAGTAAACATAAGCCTTGATTTATTATTAGTTCATATCTAATGCTGCTGAGTATTACTTTAAAATCATCAGGACATTATGCTATACTAAAATTAGCATGGTACTTTTAGCACGTTGTAGGAGAAGATACCATATAGCCATGGACCCAAAGTACTTGGCAAAAGCCTTTGAAGTTAGAATGTTGAGAAGTCCCTTTTTTTCTTTTGAAGCAAGCTTATAGTCCTCATGGTGAGATAAATACTCTTTCTCTCCACCCCACCATCATTATTTCAAATAAACTCAGTCAAGTCAATCCAACGATCAACTTAATTTTTTCTATGCCTATGAGGAACCATTTCAGAATAAATATAACCAGGCTTGTGTATATTCTGAAATCCCAATGTCAGCAAGCAGGACATTTAGTATTGACCAAGGAAGTTAACATCCTGAGAATATCAGTTTACTTCTATATTAAAAGCAAGGTTCAGTCCACTAAGATTGCTGAAACAGATTTGGTTAAAAGTCCCAGAACCCTAGGGTGCAAATATTTACAAAGGTATTTCTTACATAAGGATGGCATACATGGTTCTTCCTCAGTCAATTTTACTCTCACAACACCCTATGAATCAGCCTAGCGGCTGAGAGATAGTGACTGGCCCTGTATCTTCTAGTAAACTTTATAGCTGAGTAAGGATTCAAACCTGGGTTTCCCTGGTCCTAGTCTGACAATCTCAGCACTACACCATTCTGGCTCTTCAATGTGATCTGTTGCCTCCACCTTTGCCTTCATCCCCTATCCTAGTCCCAGGAGCATCAGCAAGAGCAGGATTCCTAGAGTGATTGCTTTAGGGTGGTGCCACCTTGTCCAATATGGCGCCATTGTCCAATATGGCGCCACCTTAGAACAACCACTCTAGGAAACAGGTGTGCAATGCACACGTCCACCCACTCACACAGCCCCCAGGCTTAATGGTGCATGAGGTCCACTGCCTGAAAGCGGTGTCCAGAAAAGTAGTTCTGTCAACATAAGGATTTCCATTTGTGCAATTGATCTTCCCCTCCCTCTCATTGCCCTGCTTGCCCACACAAATCTGCTCCAAAGGGGTGGGGGAGGAACCAGAGCAAAAAGGAAGAACACAGGAAGAGGAAGTTCCATTCAGCAAACGGAAATCCTTGTGCTAATGGAACTAATTTTTTCAATGCTGCCCCAAGTCTGCCACATGGCAGGGCTACTTAAGACACTGGCAGAGGGCAGGGGAAGTAGTGGCCAAGATAATGTGGCCCCAGTGCCTTGCACAGCTCTTTGCCTGTCCTACAAGTGAACAGAAGTTATGCAGGTATATGCAAGTGTACTTAGTAAGTAAAATGCATACAGACAAAGTTCCTGTATGTGGCTATTTTGAATTTTAAAATAAATAAAACACATGGAGCCCTGAATATAATGTACAACACCCACCCACTTTGGTTGGGCATCTGCCACATGCATTAAAATGATACGAAAACCTTGTTAATTCATGAAAACTAAAACATGCAGATCAGCAAATCCTTTGTTTTCATAGATTATTTCCCTCAGTGGTGCTAATCAGATTTCCACATTCTATAATCCCATTGATTTTAATGAGATGGGATACATATAAAACTTGTGGATATATAAAAGCTGGATAACCCAAAAGGAATTCTGGTTATAGGGGGCTTCAGTTGCTATGAGGCACCCTATATGAAGAGATTGATAGAATTAAACTCTTACTATGAGCCTTTGTCCCACACAACTCAAAGCTAGTCCTATGACAACTAGTCACTGTTAGACAAAGCTAGTCACAGCTAGTCCTATGACAACAACAGTATTTATTACTGTGCTTCTCCTAATCTCTTACAGGATTTCATATACTTTACCAAAGTCAACCTGACAGTAGCTCTGTGAAGAAACTTCACAGTTAAGGTAAAGTCCAAATACAATAATATTGTTGTGATATGCATACTGTTTGGATGAAAATTGTCCACTGCATCAATTGGGGCAGGATGAGAAGAAAGAATCTGGCCTCCGGCTCCTGTCCAGAAAGCCAGGAAAAACACAAAGTGCTTGGGTTCAGCAGGCAGTCTGCTAAGAAATGGTTAGGCCAATAACAGTTTCAAAATATTGTGTTTTTTGTTACATACTTGCAAGGCTTCAGTTAACAAAAGAATCTTGCTGTTATATGGGTCAGGAGAATTGAAAAGGGTCAAATTGTCATAGTTTCTTTAGCAGACCATCTATTCAAAGATCATTCGTCCTCACGTTTATAGGCTAATGGGGATTCAGAAGTGCAGAGAGAACTCTGAAGATTGCTCAGAGGATTCTGGCAGGAGTGGAGGAAGGGAACAGAAGAAGGGAAAGGGAAAAGGGAAAGGAAAGACTGCCCTGTATGGAGCCAATCATGAGAGAACAGTTGGTCAGAGAGTGAAGAGACTAGAAAGAGGCAGAAGGTTAGCAGAGAATCACTAAAGGCAGACAGAGAGGGAAGGCAGTGTGGGGGCATTCCAGTTTCAGTTCTCCAGAATAATTACTGGTCAAAGTGACAGCAGCTGACACTCAGCTGCAGGAATACTTCAGGAGGTAACTGACATCATTGTGCATGAGCCCTGGCCACTGAGTAGCTGACCAGAAGGAAGACTTGAGATGAGAGCTGCAGCAAATCTATTGGAGCGGCAGCCGTAGTTGCAAGAGGTGGAGTCTAGTGTGAGTAACAGCTAAGAGGCTATTTTACAATCCTGTATATATTTTCAGTGAGACCCTGACCACAGAGAAGACTTGCAACTGAAGCCCATGAGTTAACCAGGGAAGGAGAAAGGGAGAACTGGCTATTGGTTTTGCACAGTGATGAGAACAAGGGAATATTGAGCAACAATAACAACTTTACAGCAACAATTTGTAAGGTCACTAAAAGTAACCACGTATTTAACAACACTTGTTGGCTTAAATAACCTACCTCGATGTAGATCTATATTAAATAAGTTTTAATAAACTAATGCAAGTCTTCTGGTCTGTTCATCCCAGGTCTATACTCAGTTATTGAAGACCGTAAAAGTAGGTGAAAGGAACAGGTTGGAATTAAAGGGTTATAAAATCTAGGTACAGCGGTACCTCGGGTTAAGAACTTGCCATATTTTTCGCCCTATAGGGCGCACTTTTCCCCCTCCAAAAATGAAGGGGAAATGTGTGTGCGTCCTATGGGGCGAATGCAGGCTTTCGCTGAAGCCTGGAGAGCGAGAGGGGTCGGTGTGCACTGACCCCTCTCGCTCTCCAGGCTTCGCGCAGCTCTCCCACGGCTATCGGAGAGCTTGCCTGCACCCAGAAGCTTGGGGCGCGCTGAGCTCAGCCCGCCCCAGGCTTCGGGCTTTGCGCAACTCTCCGCTAGCCATGGGAGAGCTGTGCGAAGTCGCGCAGCTCTCCCACAGCTTGCGGATAGCAGCCTGTTCTGGGGGCTGGGGTCAGGGGAAGCTCGGGCTTCCCCCGCCCCAGCCCCGCACCTGGGGGGGGGGGAAATTCTTTATTCCCCCCCCCCCCAAAAAAAACCTAGGTGCGCCCTATGGGGTGAAAAATACGGTAATTCGTTCTGGAGTCAGTTCTTAACCTGAAGCACCACTTTAGCTAATGGGGCCTCCCGCTGCCACCACACCACCACCGCACGATTTCTGTTCTCATCCTGAAGCAATGTTCTTAACCCGAGCTACTATTTCTGGGTTAGCAGAGTCTGTAACCTGAAGCGTCTGTAACCTGAAGCGTCTGTAACCCATATTTAAACTGTATGATGTGGGGGTCCTATTTATTTTTATTTTATTAATATTTATAAGTCACCCATCATCAAAGATATCAGGGAGGTGAACAAATATAACCAAAAACACCATTAAAAGAACAGTGAGGATAAAACGTAGCTACAAGGCAGTAAGGATACATAGGACTAAGTGGCAATGTCCTTCCCTTGTGTAGCACAAAGGCAGATCTTCATGAACTAGGAGACCTTATCAAAGCTACAGTAAACCTTCCACTTGCTGTCAGGCATCAGTTTGGTACCCAGTGACTTCACCATGAACTCTGGCCCCAGAGGTTCACCTGCAAATATACTTACCACTAGATGCATAACACACAATTGTTCATCACTATGTGTGTCTATCCCAAGTATCTCTGACCCAGCACTTTTAGAAAATTCCATTCCAACAGGTTGAGCTCTTAATGCAATGTCCGGATATCAAAATTTCCCATAGACAAAGTCCAGTCTAGCTTCAGCTGCAGAAAGCATCATTGTACTAATGCCAGGGAACAGATATTGGCCTTAAGACTGTGCTGTTTATTGCAGTAAATATAGTTACAAAGAATGCAAAGTTGATTAGAGTGAAACAAGAATGCCCTCTGGCTCTTTTTTCTTCCCATTCACCCTTCTCCTGATTGATACCTGTGTCTTATCTGTGGCAAGCTCAACATCCTCTGAGATGGGGTGGGGGGTGTCTACACTGGTGTCTACTACTCTGAAGCACTGTTTACCTCATCCTTGGAATAAGGAAGAAATCTCACTCCACTTGCCTTCCTCAGTGCTTTTGAGCTTCTACCAGCTCCTGCTACAAAAAGAATTGCTGAGTGTCTTTAACCGCAGTTGGTTAGAGACCATGGTGCTGATAACTCCAAGGTTGCAGGTTCAGTCCCCATACAGCACAGCTGCATATTCCTGCACTGTAGGGGGTTGGCCTAGATCAGGGGTGTCCAACTTCTAAGAGACTGCAATCTACTCCCACTAAAAAAACTGGCAGTGATCTACGCATTGTATTTACCAGAGTTGTTGAACTTTTTTTAGGGAGCCAAAGTTATCTCTCCCCTTGCTTAGTAACCAGAAGAAACCTAAAGGGCACAATCCTTTATCCGGTGCTTTCACTTTTGCGTAGAGTGACACTCTGCTCTCATCTCTACTGCAACAGATAGGTGATGTTGGCCTTGCTTGGTGTCAAAGACCTAAATGAGTGCATAAATTACTACAGTGCTCCATTTCCTGATTGCAACCACAGCAAAATCTCTAATGATTTTCTGGAGCACTGACTAACGAGTGTTACAAGAGTCTTCTCCTCTGATGACTCAGGCCAGCATAAACAGCAATTCAGGATAAATCCACCTAATTCATTTTACAAGCTTACTCAAAATTGTAGCATAAAGGCATGTATTTCCATCTTTAATTGTTCTTGTTTCTCTCGTGGCAATTTGCAACAGTTCTCAGATGTCACAGATATCAATCTGTTTACTCCTGTTTTGTGCAAGGATGGCTCCTTTGTCTACCAGAATAAATCTGTCCCAATAATCTCTGGATGTTGCCTCCATCACCACCACTCCATACTTATCATCTAGATCTATAGGAGAAATAGTTTGCCAGGTCCTGTCCCAAGACAGCCAGGACTCACAGCTGCAGTTATTTAATATAGTTTACAAGAATAATAAAGACCAACTACGGCACCAGTTGTTAACTTCAGGTTCTGGCCTATGACAATCACAGATGCATAATTTATCTAAACATTGCTGGTATCTCATTTTAAGCTGCTTGTGGCATTTACAGCAAGCTACACTACAGTGAAAGAAGACCATTGCAAATAGATGGAGATGGTATCATTTTGAAGCAGTAGGCACATCTATATTGACTTTTATGTCAACAAACCCTCATGTCTGAAGGTAAGGGAACATAAGAAAGGGGCTTCACAGATCTGGGATGGTTTTGGAGGGTTTGGGGTACAATTCAGCAACTGTGGGAGAATGTAAACATGTCTCAGATGAGATACACTAACTGATTCTCCAATTGCAAAAGAGAGAGGGGTGTGTGGAGGATGTGGTGATTTATTTATGGCAGTGGGACTAGCAGGAAGTTTTTTGGGTCTGGGTTCATCCCACCATTACCACCTCCTAATACCTTCCCCAAAGAAGTAGCATTCCCAGAAAGTTAGAGGCTGACCAGATATTTAGTGGAACTGCTATGTTTGGGTGGAACTCGAAGACTTAGTGCAGGTATAAGAAACTGCAGGCCTGGGAGCCAAATGTAGCCCCTCAGGCTTCCCTGTCTGGCCCTTGGGCCTTTCCCCAGTCCTACTTCATATCTCTCTTGAGTGTCTTTTCCTGGCTGAAATGTTTTGTGGAACTCCCATAATGCCCCTTGGTTGCCTGGAAACTAGCCTAGTGTATCAATGTGAAATTTACATTTGCTCCTTCAGTCGCTTTTGCCTCTGGCCCCTCTGACAACACACTGATCTTTTAGAGTTTAAAATGTGAAACACTAGTGGAGGGCAGGGAATGGACAGCTGTGTGCCATGGAAAAATCCCACAGTAAGCAGTTTTGTAAGGGTGACGTATTATGACTCAAAATGATAACAGAAGCAGAGATAACAGAAGGTGCATCCCAACTGAATGGAGTTGCTATCCAATACATGAAAATGAGTTCACGGAAGTTTCTGCTCTGATTCTCCCCCTCTCCGTTTTCTACACCCATTTCTGTCATATTTGGTGCTCATATCATATGCTTTGCAGCATAAACACATACCTATAATAGGGTAGAGAGGGCCATATAAAGCAATGGCACAACCCACCAGGAAGTCTCCAGTGCAAGCCCTTTTTGTCAGGAGGCTGCCCATGGGGACTACTATTCTGTATGCCCAACCAGTATTATTTGGCTGTGTGTCAAGTACTCCATAATAACCACATTGCAAGAAACCCACAACAAACCACACCCCTACGAAGCGTCCACATCAACTGCTAGCATTTAAGAGCTGTGTATATATTATTATTGGGATATTATTTTTCCTTAGCCCCTAACCTTAAAACATAGTTGGCATGGCCTGATCAGCTTGAAGCGTATTATAAAACTCACCTTTATTCATGGGAGGGGGGCATGGAAACCTGTCTGAAATTGCACCTGGAAGCCCCCCCACCCCTCAGCTGCAGGCTGCATTTACTCAGTGCCATAAAAACACTCTACATATGCTCAGAGGCCCATGACAAGCATTTCACAGGAGCACTGGCACTGAAAACAGGTTTCGGGGTTGATGGACCTTGGGCTCAGACTTGGGCCTGCAGTTGTGATGGTCCACATTGAAACAAAGGAGGCGCAGCTTCTCTTTCTGCGGGTATCCTGGAACCCATTTGATCGATGCATGATGGCTGATCCCAACCCGTCCCTTCCCCCACCCAGCAAGGAATCCCCCACCCCACCCTAGGAAAACAACCCTCCTCCCTAGGGGTGCCCTTGCTGCTATTTTGAACCTCTTAGCTCTCCATCTCTCCCCCCCAAAGACACCCCCCGGAGGCGCCCCCCTCTCACCTGATGGCCAGGAGCTCGTGGAGCAGGTAGGCGGCGGCGGCGAGCAAGGCTCCCCCGGTCAGATAGAGGGTTTTCTTCCACCACGAATCGGACCCCAGCCCGGCCATGACCCCGCCGTAATCCTGCAGAGGGAAAGCGATGATCTCCCCATAAAAGGAGAAGCGCTCGTCGGAGCCCGCGCACCAGAGGCTCTGGTTCCGGCTGAGATCCACCACGCACGACCTGGACGAGGCGAAGCCAACCCCCCAGGGCATGCTGCGCGGCGAGGGCGGCGCTGGATCCCGGTTCCCCCAACGAGCACGGGCGCAGCCAGGGCCGGCGTCTGCATCGGGGGGAGAAGCAGGCGGCGAGCCGGAGGCTTAGTTAGAGGCGGAGGAGGAAGAGGAAAAGGAAAGCGAGAGCAGCGTGAGCAGCAGCCGCGCCGGGTCTCCTTGGCGAGCCCTGCAACATCATCATCACCGTCCTCCTGCAGCTGCTTCTCGCCTTTGTGCCTTTGCATGCAGGAGGGGTGATGTCATGGCTCTCCTGCCTTGGGGAAAACAAATAAATAAATAAATAAACCTTAGGATCGATTCATCTACCCTGAAACCTCCCCCCCCCCCCCGCCCGCGATCCAAGCGCACCCACCCAAGCCTGCCTCCCACTGTGGCGTCGGCTGGAGGGAGGACGAGGAAGGTCGCGGCGGCAAAAGGGCAGGTCTGCCCGGAGCTCTGGGACAAACAGGGCGGGGATCGATGCGGGATTGATGGCTGGTTTCGAGGGAGAAAGCGCGCCCCGGTCTGCTTCATTGGCTCATCATCATGGTGCTGTCCTTCCTTCCCTGCAGCTTTCACAACATTAGACCGGACCGTGTCACGTGGGTGGCGTTCAGGTGTGTGTGGGGAGGAGGGGGGCTGGACGCAGCATCCTAACAAATAAAAGCATGCGTTCTCGTTGGTAAACAAAACCCCTGCTTTTTAGAAGATGCGGGTTTTTATTTATTTTAATTATTAGTTTTCCTTCCATGTTTGGCCATGAGGACCAAGTAGTGTGATCCTAGGCATGTTTACTTAGAAGCAAGTCTCACTCTAGATTCAATAGGGCTGGCTCTCAAATAAGCGTCCAGACAAAAGATTTGCTGCCTAGCTCCTCTTGGCCCTCAGAACCATGGTTGCTTCATTCATCACCATACACCTGGCCCAGAAGTCATCAAGCAGTTTGGGCAGAGGACCGTTGTTGCTTTTTTGCAGAGAATGGGGTGGGTCCCTGATGGAGCCCATTGCCACTTACTCAAATGACATTGATGCAAAGGCCTACTGGCATGGATTGGCATGGACTGCTCTTCCAAACCCCTCTTGGGAGGGGAAGGGTGACAGCAGAGCTTATTAGCTGCTGAATCCTATCATAGGAAACAGCTAATTTTCCCACCCATGTTACCCGAGATGCCTCTGCAGATGGGGAAAAAATGTTCACAATGCAGCCGATATTCTTCCTCCCAATTTAGGGTGGCAAGTGTAAGGTTATCCTTACAAGCCTAAGAAACAGTCTAGAGCAGATCTAAATGCCAAGGCCATTTAGCAAACTTCCATTTGTCTTCCCATTATGATTTTCATTACTGTCCCTTGAAATCTACTTCTTCCTGTATTTATAAAAGTAATTTTTCTTTTGTTAGACATTTCTTTCTTTCTGCAGAGAGTCTACTGACTGAGGACAACTTGTCCTTTTTCTATTATGAAGTGCATCTTCTTTTCCAATTAGCTTCCTGCTTACCACTTTAAAGATGACTTCCATCATACATATTTAAGAATCCATCAGTAGAGTAATCTTGATGTCAATAATTGGAAAGGGGAAGCCTTGTGGTTATGGGAATGTTGTTGCGCAACCAGGCAAACAAACATTAACAAATCAATGAACATTTCAAAAATTGTGCATTTACTTGTATCTAACAGGACATGAATGATTATTACTTCACAACTGTATTACTATGGGAATGGGAGTGAAATGCTTCCCCCCCTCCCCCTCCCCCCAATTAGTCCACAACTGGAAAGCCAAAACGGAGACCTGGGTTCAGAACCACATTCTGCATCAAGTTTGCTAGGTGACCTTGAAATAATGATTATCTGAGAGTGTAGGCAGTAGCGAAGCTGCATGCTCTACTACTGGGGGCAGAGAGCAGGTGGGGTGTGGCTGGCGCCCCCCCCAGGGGGGCATGACGTCCGCCACGTGGGGGGCATGGCGCATGTCGGGGGGGGCACCACGATGGCACCCTACTGGAATAGTGGTATCGGGGGCAATCTGCTCCCTCCACACTCCGGTTCCTCCGCCAGTGAGTGTAGGTTACGAGGAAGATGAGAGATAGAGTCAGTTATGCCACCCAATCTCCTTAAAAGGGAAAGGAGGGGAATATGTAATACAGTGGTACCTCTGGATGCGTACGGGATCCGTTCTGGAGCCCTGTTCGCATCCTGAAGCGAACGCAACCCACGTCCGCGCGTCTGCGGGTTGCGATTCGCTGCTTCCACGCATGATGTCATCTTTTTTTCCCCTTCTGTTTTATTAAATTTGCTTAGTAACATAACATTATTATATATATTCTATAAAACAAAGAATACAGAACAAAATTCATTCATACTACAATGCCTAAATACATAACATTCATATATTGGTTTCTGAAAAAAAAGGCTTACATAACAAAATCAATTCAAAATACCATCCGGTTTACTTTTCTTTTTTTCCCCTCCCTCCCCGCTTCAGCCCTCCCCACCCCCGGTCAGGCCTTCCTTCTTCATATTTTTATCCATGTACACAGTCTGTTCATTCGAGCTTGTATGTTAGGGTTGGCTTCCCCTCTTTCTATCCAGTTCCTGTAAAATGCCCATTTATTTGTGATTCTTTGGCATTTAGTTTCCCATCTATCCTCTGCCACTATCTGTGCCAATATTTCTGATTGTACATATTCAAAAACATAATCATTCCATTTTTCCATATTCCATTTGGCCTTTTCTTTCCATCCCAAAGCAATAACTGCCATTCCAGCTAGAATCATAATCTTGTACAACTCTTGTTTATTACTCTTTACTTTGTTATTTCCCAGTATTCCCAAAAATAACAAATCCCTATTAACTTCTATGTTTATTTGAAATAATCCAGAAATTACCTTTATAATCTTTTGCCAATATTCCTTAACCAGATTACATTCCCACCACATGTGTGAATATAATCCTTTTTCCTGACCACAATGCCAGCATTTGGGACTAAACCCTTTAACTATATAAGCCATTTGTGCCGGAGTTCTATACCATTTTAATAAAAAATTTCCACTTAATTCTTTATACTTTCCTATTTTAATATTGTTTATGCATGATGTCATCTTGAGCATCTGCGCATGAGCGAGCAGCGAAACCCGGAAGTAACGTGCTCCGTTACTTCCGGGTCGCCAAGGAGCGCAACCCGAAAATGCTCAACCCGAAGCTACTTCAACCCGAGGTATGACTGTACAGCTATTTCTATTGCATGTACTTTGGCTTAGTTAAGATACTGGGGATAGCTCCAAAGGTTTTCCAGAAAAGGTGGATCATATACAGTGGTACCTCGGGTGAAGAACTTAATTCGTTCTGGAGGTCCATTCTTAACCTGAAACTGTACCTAACCTGAGGTACCACTTTAGCTAATGGGGCCTCCTGCTGCTGCCGCGCCACCACCGCATGATTTCTGTTCTTATCCTGAAGCAAAGTTCTTAACCTGAGGTACTATTTCTGGGTTAGCGGAGTTTGTAACCGTCTGTAACCCGAGGTACCACTGTAGTTTAGCTCAGAAAACAGGGATCTAGTTTCAATCCCTTTGTGTACTAAATCTATGGAAAATATACAGACTATACTTAATATAGACACTATACCTTTTAACTGAGTTAAGATTAAAAAAGGATGTGTACAAAAAATGGAAAAGGGGGGAAACCACCAAAGAGGAATTCAAACAAATAGCCAGCACGTGTAGACACAAAGTCAGAAAAGCTAAAGCACAGAATGAACTCAGGCTTGCTAGAGAGGTTAAAAGCAACAAAAAGGCTTTTATGGGTATGTTCGTAGCAAAAGGAAGAACAAAGAAACAGTGGGGTCACTCAGAGGAGAAGATGGTGAAATGGAAACAGGGGACACAGAAAGGGCTGAACTCCTCAATGCCTTCTTTGCCTCAGTCTTCTCCGATAAAGAAAACAATGCCCGACCTGAAGAATTTGGAGCAAATGATTCAGCAGAGGAAACACAGCCCAGAATAACTAAGGAGATAGTACAAGAATACTTGGCTAGTTTAGATGTATTCAAGTCTCCAGGGCCAGATGAACTGCATCCAAGAGTATTAAAAGAACTGGCAGATGTGATCTCAAAACCACTGGCAGTCATCTTTGAGAATTCCTGGAGAACAGGCGAAGTCCCGGCAGACTGGAGGAGGGCAAATGTTGTCCCTATTTTCAAAAAGGGGGAAAGAGAGGACCCAAATAATTACCGCCCAGTCAGTCTGACATCAATACCAGGGAAGATTCTGGAGCAGATCATTAAGCAAACAGTCTGTGAGCACCTAGAAAGGAATGCTGTGATCACCAATAGTCAGCATGGATTTCTGAAAAATAAGTCATGTCAGACTAACCTGATCTCGTTTTTGACAGAATTACAAGCCTGGTAGATGAAGGGAACGCAGTGGATGTAGCCTACCTTGATTTCAGCAAGGCATTTGACAAGGTGCCCCATGATATTCTTGTAAAGAAGCTGGTAAAATGCGGTTTTGACTATGCTACCACTCAGTGGATTTGTAACTGGCTGACTGACCGAACCCAAAGGGTGCTCATCAATGGTTCCTCTTCATCCTGGAGAATAGTGACTAGTGGGGTGCCACAGGGTTCTGTCTTGGGCCCGGTATCATTCAACATCTTTATCAACGACTTGGATGATGGACTCAAGGGCATCCTGATCAAATTTGCAGATGACACCAAACTGGGAAGGGTGGCTAACACCCCAGAGGACAGGATCACACTTCAAAACGACCTTGACAGATTAGAGAACCTCGCCAAAACAAACAAGATGAATTTTAACAGGGAGAAATGTAAAGTATTGCACTTGGGCAAAAAAAATGAGAGGCACAAATACAAGATGGGTGACACCTGGCTTGAGAGCGGTACATGTGAAAAGGATCTAGGAATCTTGGTTGACCACAAACTTGACATGAGCCAACAGTGTGACGCGGCAGCTAAAAAGCCAATGCAATTCTGGGCTGCATCAATAGGAGTATAGCATCTAGATCAAGGGAAGTAATAGTGTCACTGTATTCTGCTCTGGTCAGACCTCACCTGGAGTACTGTGTCCAGTTCTGGGCACCACAGTTCAAGAAGGACACTGACAAACTGGAACGTGTCCAGAGGAGGGCAACCAAAATGGTCAAAGGCCTGGAAACGATGCCTTATGAGGAACGGCTAAGGGAGCTGGGCATGTTTAGCCTGGAGAAGAGGAGGTTAAGGGGTGATATGATAGCCATCTTCAAATATATAAAAGGATGTCACATAGAGGAGGGAGAAAGGTTGTTTTCTGCTGCTCCAGAGAAGCGGACACGGAGCAATGGATCCAAACTACAAGAAAGAAGATTCCAGCTAAACATTAGGAAGAACTTCCTGACAGTAAGAGCTGTTCGACGGTGGAATTTGCTGCCAAGGAGTGTGGTGGAGTCTCCTTCTTTGGAGGTCTTTAAGCAGAGGCTTGACAACCATATGTCAGGAGTGCTCTGATGGTGTTTCCTGCTTGGCAGGGGGTTGGACTCGATGGCCCTTGTGGTCTCTTCCAACTCTATGATTCTATGATACCCAGAGAATTTGCCATTCACATTTCAGATGAGTTTTAGTAGTAATAAAGCTCACTGGCTTTTTGTCATGGAATACCATAGTAGATTATCGTTTGTTAACAGGATGCAACAGATGGAGTTGAACATTTCCTGAATTTGGTAGCTATATGGCCACTATAGAGATATTCTAGCAGGTTAGACTTAATGGGGCAGTGGTTTTTACACCTTATAATCTCCTACCATAGAAGTCAAGACTTCAAACCTCTAGCTACTTAACTGGAAGCAAACCCCATTAAACTAAATGGCACCTGCTTCGGAATCGTCATACAGTCAGGGCTAGATTTCTCTCAGTAGGAATGTGACAATTTTGTGCAATCCAAAATATCTTGCTAGAATTCTTGTTTTCCCACAATCCTTACTGTCACAGTAGTGACTGAAAGGCATAGAGTTCCTCAAATAAAAAAAGCCCTCATGAATGGTTTCAACTTCTACAAGTGTTAAAACCTGTGTTCTTTCCATAGCTCTATTTTTATTTACATGTTTCCTTGACTTCTTTTCCCATTTTTCTGATAAAATGCAAGAGCTATACAAGATTGTATCTGCCCCTATTCAACCCACTGCTGACAGCACAGCCCTTTGCTATCAACAGTGAACGAGTAGTGGCAGATACTCTCCTGCAATTCTTGCCTTAATTGTTTCTAGGGTGCAAGACTATAAGGTAGGACCAGCTTTGTTCTCCTGAAGCCTGGATCAAAGAGATATAAAAGGCTGCTACAAATACAGCAACAGGAAGTTAATAAAGCATTTGCTACACAAATAGCATAAAGCCATGGTTCCATGTTACTACCAAGAAAAAAAGCTGCTGGTGAGGAACAACATCCTTTAAGTACACTACCTCAGCTATTTCTCCACGGACAACAAATAATACTGCAAGAGTCTCCATTCATTGCAAAGCAAAGCAGTAATTTGGGGAAGTTTCATAGAATTATCCCATCTTTTACTTTTACAAAAATAAACCTGCAACACAATTTTGCCTTGCAAAATTCTATTGAGAAGTGCCTACATTTTTATTGCTAGAGATGGAATTTGTTTGTTCCTCTGATTAGGCACCAATGGTGCTATTGCAACCAACCTCACATGAAATATTGATTGTAATATTTAATGGAATTATTCTTCATCATTTCGAAGGGTGGTAAAAGCTATTTTAGCAAAAAGCTTTTGTGGTTTGGTACTAGAGATCTTGCTGGTGCAGTTCAGATTTTAGAATTTAGCATAAGAAGGAATAAGTCTTAGCTACTGCCATTTTTCAAAATCAGTTTATTTCTAGGCATTACCTTCATGAAAGAAGAGACCAGATTTACACTGTACCTCCCCCCCCCCCCCCCCAGTTTGTGATATATGTTCTCAAAGCACATTTTCCAATTCAAGGTTCTTTAAGTCAGGTGACTTCAATATCTAGTAGAGTACAGCTTACCCTGCATTTCCTTAGATCACTGGACAAGCCTTAATTTCCAGTCTGGACACCATACCAAGGTCCCATGGAGTCTAGTGATCAGAATGTGCCAAGGCACAGTTCAAGTGACAAAAACATTCTAGAGTCTGTCCCTACAGCTATGGAGAATGCATGGCTGTATTTTGCCACAAGCACACGTATTTCCAACATGATAGTCACATGATGATGTCCCCATTTCCTAGCCCTGCATTTCCACATAGGAGCAGTGCATTAAGCAACCCTCTGCTCACCCACATATTGAACAGCAACTCTTAATACATCAAGAAATACTCCTTGCATTGATTTAAGTCTTGGTTCCATTGCATGTACCCATAACAGCATACCTGAAGATTAACAGGCAAGCAAGAAATAAGTAGGGCTTTATTTCTTAGACAATCTGCTGAACTAGGATAATAAAAGCAATTCAGCTATTAAAAATACAAAATGCAGCATTTTAAACCAGTAACTCTAAAGTCTATGAAAATAATTATGCTCTGGAATTTTAGAGGCATGCATTTTAAGAAGTCTTTCACAAAGAACTGCCCTTTTCCCAATAACTTGCACAGCACACCTAATCTGTAGGTATACAATTGACTCATTATTTAATATAACTCATCTCTGAGAGCTTTGTAGATCTGATACTGTGGAGAATGAACCATTCTTTACCACAAGACAGACTGGCAGACACATTCTAACATCCAGCACTGTGAACACAATATTGCTTGTTCCTTCCTGGTTCATTACAGTCATTTATGCAAATCTTCCTCCAACTTCCAGCTATCTCTCGCTATAAAGTCTTAGCTGGAGGTTCTGATGCCATAGTTTTTGTCTGGAGCTGCTCTTTGTCTGTCTCTAGATTTGGATCCACTTGCTCCTGTATATCGGATTTTACAGCATGGAGTGCATAGTTAATAATAGTGCTTTCAGTCCAGCTCCAGGACCCAAACAGGGGGTTGTACAACATTCCTTTCACTGTCTTGACTAAAAAGCCATCTGTAAGAAAGGAGAGAGAGACAGCATAAGGAGACTATTCTTAAAAAGGACCTAACGCAAAATTTCCTGTAATGTCATTCTGGCACAATGGTGGTGTTGTCTCAGTAAACTGCGAGCCAAAGCAGCATTAGGAACAGGTTTTAAATCTTGTTGCAATAAAACATTCAAGAATGTCCATCCCAAGTAAAATGTATCTTGTTGAATACAGTGCTCCAAATTCAAATTAGCACCTGGCTGATTATTCTTGAATTGTGACTAAAATCCCAGGTTAACACATGCATTAACCCAAACCCAGAGTCAAAACAAAATACCTATCTTTAGAAAGTTGATGTTTATAATCATTTTTAAAGGACACCTACAATTTACACACCAACATTTTACACATCAGATGATCCAATAGTCAGTGTTTAGGTATATCTACATGTTCCCGTGTGTGTATATACCACTTCATCATTTCATTGTCAGCCCCCTCCCGCCCCCAAGTGGAATAAACACTGTTACCCAAACCTGCCACTTGTAGAACGGTACACTTGCCCCTTCCCAACCCCCTGATATCATACAGTAAATCTTCTCACTGGTGCTTAATTAACATAAATTCCTAAAGCAGAGAAACTGTTTTATGATAGAATCCCTTCTGAAAATACACTTTAAATGCAACCTACAAAAATCAGGGTGAAAACGGGACACCAAAAAAGAACTAACCGGGCAAACCTATGTTCACTCGGAAGAAAGTCCTATTTAATTCAATACAGCTCAACCCCAGGTAAGTAGAGTTAGAACTGCAGGACTCACTTCTGACAGGGATAAGCTGCTGCTCTCCCTGACACCTTCCCCCATTTAATTATTTACAGTCATTCTTCACCACTCTTCATCAAAGGATTCCAGGGTTGTGGGTGTAAGTGTGAACAAATTCACAAAACTGTCTTTCACTTCCTGGTGTAAGCCTGGCAGGTCTTTGGATTTAGTATTTCATACACCTTAGATTCCCCCCATCCATTGACTACATATGATTACTCTGTAAAGCATGCTTGCTTTATGCAACACCTGTATCAAGGGATAGTTAAGGTCAGCTAGCAGCCATACTTGAAGGAAGTTACTGACTGTGTCCTTTCATTGGGGTTTAAACACTTACTTGACTCTAGGAGCCTCTCTAGCTCCTCAGGCGGTATGAACTTCTCCCAATCATGGGTGCCTGTCGGAACAATGCCCAATACTCTCTCAGCTACCACAATGCCAAAGATGTAGGACAGTTGTGATTTGTTGATTGTAGTAATAAATAAGGAGCCTTCCGGCTTAAACAACAACAGAACAAGTGTTAGCACATCTGCCATATATATACAATATAACTAGCAGCATCCAGTTAGTGTGTTAAAATTAGGATTGTCACCAAAGTAAATAAAAAAAATGTGGTTCAAGCTTAAATTGATTTTAAAAATCTTTACAGATTGTCAAGACATTTCAGCAGACACCATCTTAGAAAACGAATTTCCTTACATATGTGCATATAATGCTTCTTCAAATATTATTCTTGCCTCCTGTTTTCTGGAATAAAACTATTTTAAAATTCTGCCACCTCTACAAATACTAGCACCTTTCTTGCCAATCACCAGATTTTTAATTGGTGAAATTAGCCTCTCAGCCAAGTAATGTAGCCCTAATCATGTAGGCCTAGCCAAAACATATTTGCATGGGTCAATTCAAAAACAGGTCTCATCAGAGCTGTTTGAATTTGTACTATAAGCAATGCAATTTATACTGAAGCCAAATTCAAATTTATTCATGTTACTATGGTTCTGAGATTGATATACAGAATATCTGTTAAGCGTTACTGCAATATTTTTGTGCACTAATAACTGTTTGGCTGGTTTCTATAAGAAAACAATCTAGGGCCCCATCTGCATTCTATATTCAAAACAGTATTGTATCACTTTAACAGTCATGTCTTTCCCCGCAAAATCCAGGGAACAGTAGTTTGTTAAGGGTGCTGAAAGTTGTGACAAGACTGCTATTCCTCTCACAGAGGAATCTAACAGTTTAACAGTCAATCCCTCTTCGCAGGGAATGCTGAGAGTTGTAGCTCTGTGAGGAACAGGGTGCCACAAGCCACAAGGTAGGGTTATGTTATCGATAAACTACTATTATTTACCCTGGGGCCCTTGGGATAAATAGAATTCAAAATATCTGCAGTCATACCTCATGTTATGTTTGCTTCATGTTATGTTTTTTCAGGTTGCGTCCCGTGGCAACGACAGAAAGGGTTACTTCCGGGTTTCGTCGCTCACGCATGCACAGAAGCACTAAATCGCGCTTTGCGCATGCGCACAAGCACCAAATCGCACCAGCGTAGATACAGTGCTTCAGGTTGCGGGCTTTTCATGTTGTGAACGGGCCTCTGGAACGGATCCCGTTCGCAACCAGAGGTATCACTGTACTTATTTATTTTGTGTTTTATGATTTATTTCCTTCATGTTTTTAGATCTGTACCCAGAACCCATTTACTGTCTGGTTCATTTCCTCAGCAGGAAAAAGTGCAATATTCTAAAGGTTGTGTTTGTTTTCAATATGGATAATTTGAATCAATAAGGGTTGCATAAAATTACACTCTTTAGCACAGAGCAAGTCAAAAAAAGGAAACCAAAGCAAAACATTTCTTATAATCAACAGCTTAATTTTACAGTGCAAATGATTCAGCATTCTTTTTTTGCTTTCTTCCAACTCACTTTTAACACTTTGCTGCAGCACCTGATAAACATTTCCACATCAGCCACATGTTCTACAACTTCAGAAGCTACAATGACATCAAATGTGTCTGATGCCTCTTCCACGATATCCTCTAGCGTACAGGATTTGTACTGTATTCTCTTAGCCAGGACTGGATCAAATGATTTATGCAGTTCTGCTGTTCTAATGCTGTCTTCCAGAGGATCAATCCCAGTAACCGAAGCTCCCAGTCTACCTAGAGGCTAAGACCATAGACACGTTAGTCTCTTCTGCTTAAAAAAAGTAGAATATGTAACCAAGTTGTTATTTGATTAGAAGGAAGTTACTGAAGAGCTTAAAGTAAACTCCGGAGCTTCCTCCCTAACATCTATCCCTTTGGTGTCTCTCCACCCGCACCCGCACCCCCACCCCAAAAAAACCCTACTGGAATAATAGAAGGGACAGATCCAATAATATTCAATTATTTAACTTTTTCTAGGTTGATTAAGGAGAACAGATCATCATAAGCATAGTTGCAGTTTAGACTGCCAATTATAATAAATAGCTAATAATTTTGTCTTCTAGAAATTATAGACCACAAATACACACTATGAAAAGTAAATCATGCATAAGGCTTCAATCCTGTCAGAACCTACTTGGAAATAAGGATCACTGAACACAGTGCAAAATAAAAGTTTAAAAAAACTTTGTGGAAGTTCCAGCAAATTAGGGAACTTCAACCCTTTCCACAAAATCAGTTGAAGTGTGTTCCAGCTCATAGTTTAGCTCTACTGCTAAATTCTGCATTTCCAGCAACGTCCTGCCTGGACATAATAAATACAGTGGTACCTTGGGTTAAGTATTTAATTCGTTCCGGAGGTCTGTTCTTAACCTGAAACTGTTCTTAACCTGAAGCACCACTTTAGCTAATGGGGCCTCCCGCTGCCGCCATGCCGCCGGAACACGATTTCTGTTCTCATCCTGAAGCAAAGTTCTTTACCCGAGGTACTATTTCTGGGTTAGCCGAGTCTGTAACCTGAAGCGTATGTAACCTGAAGCGTTTGGAACCCGAGGTACCACTGTATGTGCATCGGCACACATGCCATACCACTTTGCTTTATTGGACTATCTTACTCTAAATAATACCATAATGAACTAATAGAGCAGATTGCAAGAGAGACTTCTAGTTAAACAAGTACTTGGAAGAACTAAATAAGCACTATTCAAAACTTCAGTGCTGTGCTACTTCAAAACAAAGGGTCAGGGATAAGAAAATTATTATTAAAAGGCGTAAGCCCTACCTCTGTTAACAATCCTCCACCACAGCCAACATCCAGGATCTTCACACCAGAGAGAGGGCTTCCAGGCTGATGATCATTTCTCATATTTAAAACAGTATCTCTTAAACAAAGAACAAAACAAATTATGTTTTAATTATGACCGTCCACCAGTAAAGAGCTTTTAGTTGATCAACTACACTTGCATAGTACCAAAGCCTCAAAATGTTTGCCTTGTTGAGATATGGAATTTAAATCAGGGAACTTTCTGTTTACTAAACAAAGGTTCGTTTATAGGAGGAAGGTTCATCCTTAATTTTCTCTTCTTTTTCATCTCCTATTACAACACTGAGAAATCTCTATGTGGGACAAGAAGCTACAGTTAGAACTGGATATGGAACAACTGATTGGTTCAAAATTGGGAAAGGAGTACGGCAAGGCTGTATATTGTCTCCCTGCTTATTTAACTTATATGCAGAATTCATCATGCGAAAGGCTGGGCTGGATGAATCCCAAGCAGGGATTAAGATCACCAGAAGAAATATCAACAACCTCAGATATGCAGATGATACAATCTTGATGGCAGAGAGTGAGGAGGAATTAAAGAACCTTTTAATAAGGGTGAAAGAGGAGAGCGCAAAATATGGTCTGAAGCTCAACATCAAAAAAACGAAGATCATGGCCACTGGGCCCATCACCTCCTGGCAAATAGAAGGGGAAGAAATGGAGGCATTAAGAGATTTTACTTTCTTGGGCTCCATGATCACTGCAGATGGTGACAGCAGTCACGAAATTAAAAGACGCCTGCTCCTTGGGAGAAAGGCGATGGCAAACCTAGACAGCATCTTAAAAAGCAGAGACATCACCTTACCAACAAAGGTCTGTATAGTTAAAGCCATGGTTTTCCCAGTAATGATGTATGGAAGTGAGAGCTGGACCATAAAGAATGCTGATCGCTGAAGAATTGATGCTTTTGAATTATGGTGCTGGAGGAGTCTCTTGAGAGTCCCATGGACTGCAATAAGATCAAACATATCCATTCTTAAGGAAATTAGCCCTGAGCGCTCACTGGAAGGACAGATCGTGAAGCTGAGGCTCCAATACTTTGGCTACCTCATGAGAAGAGAAGACTCCCTGGAAAAGACCCTGATGTTGGGAAAGATTGAGGGCACAAGGAGAAGGGGACGACAGAGGACGAGATGGTTGGACAGTGTTCTCGAAGCTACGAACATGAGTTTGACCAAACTGCGGGAGGCAGTGGAAGACAAGAGTGCCTGGCGTGCTCTGGTCCAGGGGGTCACGAAGAGTCGGACACGACTAAACGACTAAACAACAACAACATTACAACACACACTACAGAATCAACATTGGCTCAAAATTAAAGACGCATATGCTTACCTCATAGCTCCTATTATTAAAACACACCCTCACTAAGTGAAATTGGTCTCCACATATCAACTAAGCTCAAATCCTATACACCTTTACATGAGAGAAAGCCCCATTCAGCTCATTGGCATGTACTTGTGAATAGGACTGCTCATTCAGCCTACCACTTAAAAGTCTACAGCTCCAGTTGTAATAGCTTTGCACTCAGTAAATATTTAAGCTGAGCAATACAAATGAAGACACCTCTACTCTAAAAGGTGATGTGTTACGATTTTCAGATTCCCAGAAGTATGTAAAAGCTGACCCATTCCAAAACCTTACCTAATAAATGGCACTCTAATATCATTCATAGAATGAAGAGCTGCATAATCTCCATGCTCATCCCACCATTTATGTGCCAGGAGTTGGAATTTTTTCATCTCCTTTGGATCGACTGTTGTTTGTGACATGCTGTAGTGTCGCTCTGTGAGTAACCTAAACATCAAAGGTGTTATTACATTAGGTAGCATAAAAATAGGGATCAGCTAGCAAAAATTGATTTTAGAAGTGCAACAAGAAGTTCCCTTTATGGAAAAGGGAAATTTCACGAGTGGATAAATTCAGATTACAGTTGGACCCCACATGATTGTTCCTTACATTGAAGGCTAATGTATTTGGGTAATAATTTTATCAATGGCTAATAAACACAACAGTTTCATGGAATCTCCATGTTCCAGGGAGTGACATTATGCCTCTGAATACCAATTGGTGGAGTACGAAAGATGGTGGTTTTCATGGCCTGCTTATGAACTTCAAAAAAATCTAGCTAGCCACCCTAGGGTTAGTTGGGCCCTTAGTTTGAATCAACAGAGCACTTATTACATTCATGTTGACAAAGTCTAGCATGCACAGACCCAATTATATCTATTAGAGACTTCAAACTATCTGACCTATATAGAGACAAATAATTCACAAATCACATCCAGTAGTCCTAGAGGTGGATGTGCAGAATCCTGCTGCCCAATATATATAAATTATGCCTTACCAACATGTAATGACCCTTTTGTTTGAATAAAACAAATGGCTGTCCATTAGCAAGGTTCGCCATGCCACTACATAAAACATTGGTGACAGGGACACTAACATAGCGGCACAAAATGTGCTTTATGCTTACAATACAAAGGCACAAGTGCCCAGAATGCTACTAGTTTGTAGGCCATGTACCAAGAGAGTTACAGATTACACTACTGTTATTTTTTACTTATTAAGAAATGTATGAAAACCATAACCCCCTCCAAAAAAACCACAACCTTCATTTTGAGCTGAGTCGATCATTATGAATTAATCAGAAAATACAGAAAGTGTGGGAGGTTATTATTTTTGTTTATTACTATGTTATGCATTTTTGTGTTTTTATATTGTAAACCACTCTGTGATCCTTGGATGAAGAATGGAACAGAAATTTAATAGATAATAATAATACTCACATTGTGTTCCTCGCTTGAACCAAACTAACAAATATATGATATTTTAACTGATTTTTACACCTCTTAAGGAAGGGTATTTGGACTATTTGAGGAGGCTGTCCATAGTGATTACCTGGGGAGAGAGAAGTAAAGCAATTTTTGTTGTAAGCTTCCTGGCCCAACAATTTTTAAAACTGCTAAGAATCCCCAATACATCTGAGTTTCTAGCTGAACAGGTTAGCACCTATTTTCTACAAACAATGGCTGCAAACGGTTGGCTCATCACTCCTTGTCTCCCTATTAGAAAGATACGTAACATTTTGGAGTTCTTTCAGCAGCATATAATGTTTTGCATATTTCATAATTAGTCTCAGGAATCAGATTGTTTTAATCCAAAAGGGCAACCATGTGTTACCACAGTTATACATTAGTTATGTTTGTGACACTGCTTTTTAAGGGGCTAAAACTACTACGTGCAAGAGCTCCTTTTCCCATATTGACACGCCATTACTATAAGATCAGCAGATCAGGCACTCCTCATCTAATATGGTGCAAGAGTCAAGAAAAGGCCCTTTTTGGTGGTGGATCCTTGCACCCTGGGATCCTTGCACATGCATCTCGCCTCATTTCTTTACAGATCCAAGTAGCTAGTAAATAGTTTTTCAGCGGACATTTGCGGGAGATGAGACCTGATTGTTGCTGTGATGAAAAACTGTTATTCAGTGATTTGTTATATGTTTTTAATGGATTTGACATATCCTTGATTTTAAACCATCCTGTGGCCTGTACAAAGATGACAAAAATCATCTAAATAAATAAATACACAAATACTGTCAGGAAAACTACCTCAACAGTGAAAGATCCACACCCTCACACTCCAGTGATAATTTCAATGCAAACTTAACATTCAATAGAATAAGCTAGTGACATGAGGATCAGACAACCTGGTTGGGGCTGTGAAAATTCATCCACAGTTAGATGGCAAAGCTATTTACCCACTTCTACCACATTGGCAGCACACCCTAGCACCTTGCAAAATTGCATAAGCAGCAAATCGAGGTCCCTGTCCCCAAGGACCTTACAATCAACAGACAGCAGGGAAACACTACAATGGCAGGGGAGGCAAATGCCACGAAACCTATCTAGAGCTTTGGCTGTAATCCGTGACAGTTGAAACAATGGGGTAAAAGGAAAAGTTAAGCTCACCAGGCATGAATGCAACAGGTGCTGTTTTCTGCTATGTCAATTGGTAGGGCTGTAATTGGTAGGGTTTTCCTAAACAAAAAAACCTCAGTAACTTCCAGGGTGTCCTGGTTTTTACTTTTAGAAATATTGGCAGCCCTATGGGATGAAGCCCCGCTTAATAGGGTTGCCGCCTGCCCGGTACAATACAGGATTGTCCCCTATTCCGATCTGAAATGCTGCGTCGTGTATTGATACACTTTTGTCTTCTCTCTCTTGCTCTCTCTCGTTAGGGATCCTCTCCAAATGCATGTGAAAGGTCCTGTATTTAAGCCAAGCACAGACAGATTTACAAATCCATTTGTAGGGTGGGTGAGTGGGTGGGTGACCAATTCCAAAAGGATCGTCCTGGTAGGCTGCAGCAGATTGTAATTAAATGCTTTGAAGTCACTTCAGCACCAGATTTGGGGGCGGGGGGGGAATCGGCTCCCCAAGCCTTTTACCAGAGCAAAGGTGCCGATTCCGCAGGGATAACAAGGAGCCACCCAGCCGGAGATACGTGCGGAAGTAGCCCGTCAGCATGCAAGGACACCGAAGGTAGGGCAGGACCCCAAAGCCACGGCGAAGCGCAAAGGCTTACTCACAGGAACTCAGGGCGCGCCGGCAAGCCGCCCAGCCTCCCGCCATCTCCCCGCGGAAGACCCACAGCCGCCTGGCCCGGCTGAGGCAGCCGCTCTGCCAGCCCTTCATGGCTCAAGCTGATCTCCGCGCGGTGCCCCTCTCAGGCGGGGCTCCACCTCCCGGTCCCTGCACCTACCAATAGGGCTCGCCGTTTCCAGCCACAACCCGCGCTCAGCTTCCGGTTCCGGCGAGAAGAGACGCAGCTTTTAGGAATAGCGCCACGGTCATCCTGAAAGGCTGCTGGGGGAAACAGCCCTGCAGCAAAGTCAGACTGTAGCCCTGCTCGCGGGTGGCGAGGAAGCCGCTTTTTTGAGCACAGTTTATTTGTCAGTTTATTTAAAAAATATATATTTATGTACCGCTGTGTCATTAAAAAACAAACAAACCACACATACCCAAATCGGTTAGCAGCAATAAAACATAAAACCATACAGTAAAAGACAAATAGGAAAAAGTTAAGAACACAGGCATCAATTAACTACTGTGGGAAGGATGCATTCTTAACTGTGCATAGGCCTGAATAAAGAAATTTACACCAAGGCTGACACAGAAGGAGCCTGCTGAATAATAGCAGATCATTCCACAGGACTGGGCAGATGACATCAAAGGTTCCGTTTGTTATTGTCCAAGGAGCCACCCCAACTTGGGGAGTGACAGACGATGCTCCTGCAGATGATCTCTGGGATATAAGGATTCAGGCAATTCCTGAGGTACCCTGGACCTAAATTGTTCTGGGCTTCGTAAATTAGTGCAAGAACCCTGAACCTGGTTCCATAGTAAGTGAGCAGTCAAAGCAGCTGTTTTAGCAATGGCATCACAGGTTCTTGGCCAGAAGCTTCTGTCAGCTGCATTCTGCACCCGTTGGGAGTTTCCAAACCAGACCAAGGGCAGGTCCACATACAACACATTACAGTAATCCAGCCTCAAGGTTACCAATACATGGACAACAGCAGCCAAGCTATCCCTGTCCAGGAATAACTATAGTTGGTGAATCAGACAAAGCTGGTAAAAAGTTTAAAGAGGAGTGCTGTTTTAGGTCTTTCTCAGCAATAATCAGTCTGTTATAGCCTTTCCTTATTGCAACATTTCAATATATATTTCGTAAAGTGGAGAATAAAATGGCTAGAGCAACAAATGTATATTTTACATTTGTACAGTAGGCTAATTTCACCAGCCAAGCACTCGAGTGTGGCCTGGCTCCCAGACAGATGTTCCCTTCCTGCCTTTATGGCTTGCACATGAGGGGAGAAAAAACTTCTGGTTGTTTACAATCTTCTACATGGGATGGTTCTCCGTGAGACCTTCAACCTCCAATAACTCTTCAGTTGTCTCTTCATTTAGCACAGAGAATAGACTCTTATCTAGGCAACCGTTTTGATTCCACGAGCACTGGAATAATTGGCAGGGTGTGTAAGAAAGGTGATGAAATTAAGTATAAGAAGGTAGGTAATTGATTGTATGGGCTGGTGATGACACAAGGCACTAAAATCTGAATAGGCCCAGACAGCCTCCTTCTCTCACTTCTTTGGATTCAAGTCAATATGTTTACCATATTCTGTAGAAAAATTAATTATAGCTCCAGTAAAGGAAACTCAATTTACTTAAAAACTCATTGTGACAAGTTTGGTTCCACCATTCTCTCTGTGATGTGTTATACAGACCATTAAGTAAAACCTATGAACCTTTTACATAGGAAGAGTATGCTCTCTTTATTGGCATACAGACATTACTGAAATTCGTGCACTTGTGTGAATGAAATTTCCATTGATACAGGGAGTGACAAATCCAGCTGGTGTAGTATATAAAAAGCTTCATGCACAATCTTGTTTACTTAACAAATAGAAGTCTAGTTTAAAAAGTGGATGCAGTAGATCATGGAAAGCTGTATTCCCCAGTACTTCATTTTAAAATAAATGGGAGCACTGAAAAAATATTTGCCCCCCGTTTTAATTTTTGAACCCAATCTCTCAGATTCTTAGTTATCTAAAAATCAGTTTATCCTTAGAACTTGTTTCTCTTCTTTCGTTTAAAACTACAGTAGGTTGAATTCATGGAGAAAGGGATGGGAGGACTCTGGGCAACATAATTCTTTGGTGCAGTTCTTCTTATGCAATGTTTACCTGGAAGACAAATCCTGCTGAATTTAATGGAACATTCCCAATTGCACATGCCATTGCATTCGTTAGCCATTTTTAAAGGGTATATTTAGTCAGCAGAATTATATTTAAAAACCAAAAAAACATAATACTGAGAACCCCTCATCAGAATGTCTTATTTGACATTTTGAAGTTCCCAAGAAGTCACAATGTTTGTTGACAGTTGTTTGGGATGGGCATGTTGTATTAATAGTTTACAAATAAATGCCTGTTTTTACGAGTTCAGTTCTATCAGCCAAAAGACCATCTCTCTAGGTGGTTAATATGTTGGAAAAAGAAGTTTAAAAACTGTCTTGTTTTTTAAAGTGAAACCATATTTCTAGTAATAAGTTGCAAGACCAGACCTAGTTATTTTTATTAACCTTCTGTATCACAGAGTTATTTAACGGTTTCTAATGCAGAAGTTATAGAGTAATAAAACAAATGAATCCAAAATAGATTCTAGCTTCTTTAACCATATGAACCATTATAGAGTGTGCTTTTGAACACAGAAGTAGGATATTGAGGAATAGAGTTTCAAAGCTACAAACTCACATCATACATGTTGTTTACTTGCACTTCACTACTATTTGTGCTTGGCTAATATTGGTATGTTGTACAATAAGAATTATGCACATTTTAGTCACAGACAGTAGGATGATAATTCAATAAATGTTTTTTAAAAACAAAACCCTACAGTTCATTTTAACAATTCTTTTGCCCAGGGACTGACTGACCTTGAATTATCCAAGGAGGAAACTTAAAACACTGAGAAAATTTAAAACTGACAAACTGTTCAGTATTTTACAAAAGTGTATTGTAAGAAAAAAATAAGTAATTTAAAATAAATTAAAATACAAGAATTTAAACAAAAAATGAACTAAAGAACTTTATTGACATCACAGTACATTCAATAGCAATTTTAAGAACATTACAGCTGAAAGAGAATGGCATATTTCATAGTCTTAGTAAGCACTACTAAGGAAAAATGTAAATACAAAGAAATCCTAGCAAGTACTTAACTCCGAGCAGCGTTTCCCAAAAAATACAGCTATTTACAGATTATTTTTTTAAAAAGGAGGGTTCAGCTTTCACCTACACAGCCACAACTGTAGCCTCTATAATGAGCCTCTATAATGAGACAAGCCCTTAAAAACTCATGGAATTTTTAAATCGTATGACTAGTGCCATATCATTCCTCAGCGTTTACGACGTGGAGGAGTCATTGATCTGAAAAATAAAGAGAAAGGGAGGGAAATTAAAGGGGAAAAGAACTATCAAAAAACACACACGTTAGGCTTAAAAACTTAAATTTTCTTAGTTGGAAATAAATGCTATCAAAGTCATTCCCATCCGCCCCCACCCCCACCCCCCCGAGAATAATCTAAAGAAGTTAGCTTAACTTGTAAAATATATAGTTGCAGGCACGATGATGAACAAAAACAGAAATAAATGCATAAATCAAGCAAGATACTTAAAAGAATACTACCTTGATCGTGATTTAGACTTGTGTTTGCGGCTTGCCTTCTTACCAGACCTTTGAGATTTCTCCACGGACCGCGACCGACTATGCTTTGCTTTCTTAGACTTCTTTTCTTTGCTGCTGCCTGGTGACTCAGAACTGCTCCTTGTGCTAGATTCCGAACCTGAGTGCTTTTTGCTCTCTTTGGTAGAACTTTTCTTGCTTTCCTGCCTAGAATCATGCCTTAATGTTTTTGAGGAAACTGAATCGCTACGAGAGACCGTTCTTTCACTATCTCTTTTCCTCTTTAATCTCTCATCATGATTGCCAGCTTTACTGTCTTTTTCTTCTTTTCTCTGTTTCTCTTTGCGCTTCTCCTGGTCTCTCTCCCTCTCTCTGTTCTTTTTCTTGTCTTTTTCTAGGCTCCTGCTGCGTTCCTTTTTCCTCTCCTGAACTTTACTATCGTGGCTGTGTTTGTGCCTGTTTCCACTTTCACTTCTACGCTGGTCCTCACTTTTACGCCTATCTCGACTCCCACTACGAGTGGAAAGGCTAGCAAGTCTATCCCTGGAGTGACTATCACTTCTACGCCTCTCCCAGTTTCGGTCATGGGAAGGACTACGATTTCGCCTCCTCTCCCCCCTGTCTGCACTCCTATGTCTACTAGATCTCCGCCTTTCTCTTACCTTGCCCCTACTCCTGCTCCTCTCTCTCCTGTTTCTGTGAGAATAGCTCCTGCTTCTGCTGCGCCTAACCTTATGTGAAGGTGATCTACTGTGGCTACGCCTCTTTTTCCTTTTAGGGGAAGAAGAATGTGAAGAGCTGCGACTGCTGCCAGAGCTACTGCTATAGGATGAACTAGAGGCTGTGCTGCTGCTACTGCTGCTGCTACTTCTGCTGTTGGCACTCGAACTACCACTGCTTGAACTTTTTGACCTACTCCTCCCTATTCTCTCTTTTTCTTTAACCTCTTTTTTGGGTTCAGCATCTGGTGTCATTTGCTTTGGAGATTTTTTCTTTTCACTGAACACATCCGCCTCCACCTCTTCTTTTGCATCCTCTGGTGGTGAACTGCTGTTTTGCTCTTTACTGGTGAGTTCACTCATCTCTTTAGCAATTTTCTCATTCTGGAGCTTTTCTTCTGCAAAAGTAAGTGGATAAAAGAAACAAATACAAAAATCATGCCAAGCTAGATGGCAGAGATACAAGAAATCTCTCCCTATCGTCCACTAATGGCCAGTGTATCAACAAGGCAGATTGGTATAACATTACTTCTTTTATATTACTTCTTTTCTGTAGCTATTTGAAAGTCAATGGAGCTTATTTACAAGTGAATATGAATTAGATTCGGCTGTTAATCATCAACAATTCACTTTTTAATATGGTTTTGAAGCAAGTATATAAATGGAACCTAAACAATAATAACAATAAATATCTATGAAATATCTCTGTTGCCATGGGCAACTGTAAACTGGCAGTCTCATTGAATTCAGAGGAATCTTTGTAATATGTGTGCTCCTGGAATCTCTGTACTCTGGAAAGTGTGTTCCTTTCCCCAAGGATTTCTTCATGCTATAGCTAATTCTGCCTCTATTCTATCCAAAGATTCTAGCAGATTCTTTACTTGTTAAATTCTGGATGTGAGCCAGTCCTTGTGTATCCAACTCTTAACAGGTAGATCTTAGGAATTACAATGGCCAAGGCCTCTGCTTATGAAATTTTACTATCTGTGTTATTGACAGAGGTGAGGTCACCTAAAGATAAAACTATTTGGAGTTGTGAACCAGTATCAAAGCACAGAGAAAACCCCAAATTCCTCAGTTACCTGTAATGTACTCTATAGCTCAGGCTTGTGTACATGGTGCATTATTCTGCGCTTGGCTCCCAGGTTGCAAGTTAGGGTACAAGCTGGCACATAAGTCTGAGAGGTTGGAAACCACTGCTGCTGTCGTCAATTCTGAACCAAACACACATCCTACCTTCCAGCTGTTTCTCTAGCAATAGCTGCTGTTCTCTCTCCTTTCTCCAAAATGCTTCTTGTTTTTGCCTGATTCTGTGTCGCAGTTCCTCGTCATCAGTATCGGATGACTCAGAGCCTCTGTCGCTCCTCTCATCGTCACTGTCTCCTGATCCATAACCACCCAGTCCACCTGCGTGCATAAAGCCTAGTCTATCACGAGGGAAGATTAATCCTGGTTCTTAATATTTCTGCAGGGCAAAGAGGAGAGTATATTGCCCATCTTTCACTTCTTCACTGAAGAAGCCACTTATTCTGGAGGAAGTGCCAAAGGTGGTTGACTGGATGTTCAAGGCCCACACATTTGACCTGCTGTTCAGTATCTGGTTTTACTTCTTCCGGAATAGCTTGCCATGTTTTCCAGCAAGCAATCGCTATGGTTACATACTTTCCCGTTAAGTATATGGGTAAAAAAGCTCTTTACAGAGCCAGTACCAAATGCTTAGTGTACATCAGCAAGAGCATATACACAGGAGTGCAGTGCCTAAGACCTGTCCCTGAAGACATCTTTGCAATGATTTCAGCCAGCTTCAATATCCAGGGCTTTAAAAAGTCCCAAATGCCAATCAGTTTTCTACTGTTCAGAAAAGACTGTACATTAAAGAGGTACAGGTATGAAATAGGAATGGACTTCTCTTCCCCCAAAAGATAGATCTGGAAAAACTAACAAGACTAGCAGAAAGTAATACTGAACATCTGATACAGAAGCATTCTTACTTTCTTTTTATGTTCTCTTCAGTATTAGTTGACTAATACATTTAAGCTAACGTGTAAGAATTTGTTACTAGTAGTAAAAATATTTAATATAACAAGTTACTAAAATTGTATAATGTTACACTGATATTTCAAACATTTTTAAAAAAACTATTACATCTCAGAATGTAATTCTGAATTTCATATCCAGCATATCCCAATATTACACTAACTGCTGGCTATGAGAACTCAAAACATACATTTGTTGTGTGGATTGCTGGCAGGACAAAACTGTAGATTTTTATGGGTTTCTCTTATCAAAGCACACACTAATAGCTGAATTAAAAACAGGAGAAAAATTCCTCCAAATTCACTTTATTTAGATACTGTAGTAGCTATCTGGTGCAAAACATTTCATTTACAGGACAGGCTTACATTATGCTTACAATGGAAATAACACCACTGTACAATTTTGTGTATTTCAATAGGTTTATTTGCAAGATAAGCCCTTTCTAAGAAACACAAAAGTTATCAGATGCTTGCCTATTGCATGTTGGGCAGTTTCAATACATATTTAGAAATGCAAGCCAGAGCAATCTCCCCATTAAGTCCCTCTCAAAACTGGGAACATACTTACCAAGTCCAGTAAGGGAAGCCAATGCACTGGACTGTGCCAGCTGTTTTGCAGGAGCTTTGTATCACATCAACAACAGGAACAACATGTTAACACAAATAGCCACGATTTCATAGGCATGAGAGTCTATGGTATTGTTAAATCTACTACTATTGCTGTTTTGTGGAGGAGAGAAAAAACATTAAAAACGTAATCCATTGAAAACCCAGTTATTTTCTGGCCACGAATGTTTAGAAATTTAAACTGTGAATTAATAGTGGATAGATCAGTTTCTTATAGTTATACATTTCCAAGTTAATAAATTTCATCTGTAGACAGAACTGTATATAATTATTTACTCACAACTATATGGAATAAAGTTGCCTATTTTCGTAAAAAGAAAATAGCTGGCTAACAGTGAAAGCAAAATCATTCATAATTCAAGTATGCCCTAAGCTTTACTCAGCTAAATTTGAACTAGAATTATCTAAAATATGGAAACATTTAAAATAAATAAATGACATTCTATAGGAAAGAAATGGAATAACTGAAGTTAACTCACAATACACTGCACAGAACAATACACTGCACAGGACAATAGTATATGATTATTACAACTGAATTTTTGCAACTTTTCTTCCTTAACATACAGACTGCTTTTAGGTACAGATACTATGGATTTAAATGTTCTAGGACATGCAAAAGGATATTTAATTAAAGTACTAGAAAGCCTAAGCATACCTTTTATTGCTTTACGATGGGCATCTTTAGCCACGTAATATATTTCTTCATTTGTGACATCTAGGAGAATTTCTGTCAGCAGCATTTTTGTCAGCAACATCTAAACAATTATAAATAAAAATCCCCAGTTCAAACACAATTCTCAGCAAACTCTTGCAATTCTATTCAGTTATTCAGGTTAGGAAGCATAATGGTTCCACTATCCAGGATTTCTTGGAACTGCTGAAGAAAGCATTGGGCTCACACTATGCAACTGCTTACATGTTCAACCACAAGCAACGTACTTTAAAATGTACCTATTTGTTCAGTATGCACAGCAGTTCACCTTTGCATTCAGTGATGTGTAGTCAAGTAATGAAAGCAGATGGAAACAGAGTTTGGGAGAGAAGAGTGCTACAATCACATTTCACATACATCTTTTCTTCTCAGTAAGAGAATCCAGATCCTTATAGGAATCTGTTGGTCCTATAAATCAAGAGCTTGAATTATCTAAAGTCTGCTCAAGCATTTATAAACCTTTGGGTATGTTATGTGTACCTAACTTGACTCTAGCCATTCTCTCCCCTTGCCATGCATCTTATATCAGCACCATATTATTGATATCCAGTGTCGCTCTAGCCCATAACTTTACAAAATGTCCACTTTTTTTGCCCAAATTTGGTTCTATGTCCTTTCTCAAGCCGGTCATATGTGTAGTTAAATGCTGATGCTGGTTGTGTGGCTTTAAAGTTGGAGTTGACTGTCATCATATTAGGCTGTGCATACAACCATTTCGTTCTTGCCTTAATAGCTACTAGTGGAAGCACTAGCGGAGGCACAGAGAACTTGCTTGCTAACGGACTTGCTAGCTTTCTCTAGCTTAGGCCAAGGGGAACAGCTTTTCCTAATAACTAAGAGTGCAAATTTTAACCAATTAAGGACAGGTTGATTAAAGTTGTTTTTATTCAACTCAAAAAGGAATCCTTGCTTAATTTAAAAAATGTTTTTTAAGTAAGCATAAACAGGTGACAGACACCATCTTTAAAGAGGCACCCCTTCAATTATGTAAAGGAGGGAATGCCTCTCTAAAATTGCACTTGCTGCAAAATACATGTACACGATCTAAAAACAGTTTTCTGCAAACTATTATTTTAGTCAAATGAATTTTAACAAAAATTAATTAAATCAGCATTATTTGATAAACCAACTATGATTTCTTTAAATAGAATGGCAGCCCTACTAATAAGCAAGCTCATACAGGCATGGCCAATGAAATGGTCCCAAACTCCTCCATACCATCTGATACTCCTTTTCTTCCTCTGTCATTTCTGGTTCACTTTGCTCCTCTTGAGGAGCTGGAGAGGGACTTCTACTGACTTTTCCACTACTTGTAGCTTCTACGTTATCAAGATCTTCATCTTCTTCATCACTATCCTATAAAAAAAGGGTTATGAAATAGGTTAAAATACGGGTTAGAATTCAATGCAGCATATTACAACTGTTCTGTCAGTGCAATAAACTTTTTCACTTACAAATTTACTTTTCTGAGGTAACCGTGGTCCATCTTCTTCTCCTGTGTGAGCATTTTCCTTTTTTTCTTTCTTAGACAACTGAGAACGCTGCTGCTCCATTCTCTCTTTCTCTAGCTTCTTTTGCTTTTCTCGTTCCATCTTCTCTAGGCCCTCACGAATCCATGCAGGCAGAGTTCGGCGTTTAACAGCATCTAGATATTCATACAGAAAAGTAGTTTCTTAAAAAGGAACCCATTCATTTTCATTTTAAGCTCATCAGATAATGGATGTGTTTGAGGTTTTAAGGATGTTTCACGGGGAGAAAGCCACTGTAGCTTTCTAATTCTCTTCCTAGGCTAAGCTAGACATTGTGGTGGCAAACACAAAAATAGGAGTTGGGATGTGGCTAAGGTAAAGGACCTCTGGACAGCTAAGTCCAGTGAAAGACGACTATGGGGTTGCAGTGCTCATCTCGCTTTCAGGCCAAGGAAGCCGGCGTTTGTCCACAGACAGCTTTCTGGGTCATGTGGCCAGCATGACTAAACTGCTTCTGGCGCAACAGAACACCGTGACAGAAACCAGAGTGCATGGAAACGCCTTTTACCTTCCCACCACAGCGGTATCTATTTATCTACTTGCACTGGCGTGCTTTTGAACTGCTAGGTGCAAGGGAAATCTCCTGCCCATGCATTTTCTCAGAATTTCTCTCCTATTGGGGCTCCAAAATCAGCACGCTCAAGCTGTGATAGTACTGTACTGATAACAGGAGCTGGTTCAGCCCAAGGCACTACATTTATTAAAATTAATATGATGAGGACATACCGATTTGAGGAGTCTCCTGTTTTGCAGGTAATGTGATAGGTGAACGCTGGCGATCTCTGAATGCTGGCCTCTCCCTTCGATTCTGAGGTGGTGCAGGAGGTGCTGGAGGACCTGGAGGGCCTGGTGGTCCAGGCTGCCAGTAAGGTGGATGAAACCCACCTTGAGGTGGACCAAAATTAGCCCCATGCTGAAAGAGTAACGAAGCTCATTTTCTTTCAGATCAATGCTTCACATTTCCTAACTTTAATATTTGGTCTGCACAAAAATGCACAGTAGAAAGAACCTTACTAAAGTTGAATAGAAGCCCTTTTAATATTTTAAGGGACAGCCTATATTCTCTGAAATTGACAGTTTCAGAAAAGAAAATTGACTAGTCCTTCTCATTTCAGAATTCAGAAATAGGAATTTTGCATTACTGTAACACAACATAAATAAACTGGAAAAGTTCCAAGTCCCTTCCGTATTGGATGGGTGTTGGAAGAGAAGATTTAAGTAGATAAATTAATTATATTAATTGCAACTACAATTATCAGCTTGATTTATAGTTCAAAGGAAAGCCACCGTAGCTGCAGTAAGCCAGCTGCTAGTTTGGGATATAAAGTAAAGAAACATAACATCTAACTTTCTTTCTTTTTAAATCATACTTGCCCCCTGGTTATGAGAGTTGTAAATTAGTTTATGCTATCTCTGTTCTAAGGAATGGTGTGGGTTTTTGGCTGCCTCTTACTGTTTAATTTCATTTTAATTTAATATTTTAATACTTTAATATTTTTGTAAGCTGCCTAGGGAAACTATATAAATGTGATATGTGCGAGAACAATCTGCATAGCAATTTCTGCGTCAATCTCAGTCCCAAAAATTCAATGTGTACTTTTTTATTTGTGTGTAGAGCTTCAGCTGACCAATCTAACAATTACATTAAAGTCTGCAGCATTTTTTTCAATTAAAAAAGGCCAGGGGGGAAAACTTGTAATATCTGCATCTAATAAGAATGTGGGGATTTGACACAGAAGTGAAAAAGGAAAAAGAAAGAGCACTGAGAGAGTCATTCTCCACTGATGTTTACTTAAAAAAATCATTTACAACTTCATATTTGACTGCCATATATCATACTTTATAACACTGTATAACATCGACACCCTGTTTATAATAGCAATTCAGAAAAGTGTAGGCTTGTTTAAGTGCCACTGAAATGAATGGAACTTGGCACTTCCTCTGAAAAGCCTAATCTAGAAAGCCCACACAGACTCAAAAGGATAAATGTGCACAGCGGTCCACACTGCTCACTTCAATCCACACACCTAAAGAAATATACACTTCCAGTAAAATGAATGGAGATGCTTTTTCAGGTAGAGGTGTTCCTTGCACATACTGGGACGCTTGCCCAGGAAAAATAACACAACCAGAGTAAATGGCTATAATTTTGGCCAGTTCTACACTTCTAAATTACAGTATTTCAGAGAAGCTTAGTTGTGTGCAGGAGCGCAGAATTCATTTTGGAAACTGATATTGTGGGCATAATTCACCTTTATGAATCAAATCAAACTGGCTAGAGGTGGAAAAGAAATACTAAATCATCTAGGCTATCTTTCTAAACAGGCGGTTCCTTCTCAGAATACACTTGCTCATGTATTTAAGCATTTTGTTTTCTTTCATATTTTTCTCTTTTACACAAAACTTATTGCATTGGAAAACGAGGTGTTTTAACAACCAAATCATAAAGTGGTGTTCACAATGCAGGTGGTTTGCAGATGACAAATTGTATCTGAGCAAACAATAAAACTTGTGGATTCTGTTGAAAATCAGCACTAGAGGCACAACTCCGTGGAATGGGCTCTGCATGCTTACAATATTTAAGCAAGAAATGTTTCACCTGATAGTCAAACTGGTTCACTGGGCCCATTGCAAAGTTATCAGGTGGTGGTCCCCCAAAGTTGTGATTATTCTGACTAAATATATGCCTGTTGTCAGGGGCAAATTCCCCACTGTCCTGACTGTTGCTGTCTTCCGATGGAGGAACAATATCCATTGGGCCTGGTGCTGGAGGAATCCATGGCTGCTCTGGAGGTGGATGAGGGGGTTGGTGGGGCACGCTCCAGTCTGTTTGGATTTAAAATCAAAATGTTAACAACTCATTCTTTCCATTTCTTCTCTTGAGACTTTCAAAATAAAATCTTTAATGTAAAATACACACAAATATATACCTTAATAAAGCTATCATTCATTGTTTGTGTCCAGACTATCACTGATATTCCTTCTTGATTTTTGTCTGCTGGCTAAATATACCATGAAATCAACCAAAATCAGGATGATCTTGTGTTTCATCATCCATAACATACTAAGAGCTAGTTGTGGACTTGAAAAAGGATCATGAAACAAGCCAGTGAGGAAGAACACTGTTCTTGGCTAGTTTATCCAAGTAGCTTACCATTTCCGTTAGCATATAGCTGTACTAGGCACACAGGCAGAACTGGGGACGGGGGGGACGGAGACGACTTTCAACTATACATTTCCATACTGTATCCTTTAACCAGCCTAATTTGAAATACATTTAAGAGTTTGTGAAACTGAAAAATCCTTTGTGTATATTAAGCAATGTACCATAAGTACATTTGTACCATTTTAACAAATAAAGTTAGCCCATTTGAAGCATAGACGAAGAACAGCAGCAACTGCTGAAAAAGCACCAGACTTGCTGGTATGAAAGTCTGTGTATGAAATGCCTGTGAGGAAATAGAAAACATTTTGATCTATAGATTGTTATCTGACCAGAACCTGAATCTGACTACAGCTGGCTGATTAAGGCAGCATCTAGGAGCGTATCACAGAGCACTACAAAGGGCAGAACTATATGCTCTAATTTACATTCTGTGCATTAACAGAGAAAATAATTCAAAGCCAATGAGGTTTGGATCTTGCAGTCAACTTGCCTTTTCCAAGGATGCTCCAGGCTTAGAAAGATAGAGCATATCAGTGTTAGAATCCAAAAGCAAAGAGGAAAGTATTAAAAAACAAACCTGGCTGCCACATTCTGTTGAAGTTTGGATCACCCTGAAAGTTGCCATGGTTGTTTGGACCAGGCTCCATGCCTGTCATCTCCTGGCCATTTGGCATCATCCCTTGCTGTTCCACTACACTCTGCTGCCCTGAAGCTTCTCGCTGAGCAATCCATGCTTGAGCTAATGCTGCCCAGTCAATTTGGCCTAGAAATAAAATTAGATTTTCAACGTACAGATTTCCATGGCAGAATTAGGAAGACATATTTATCAAGCCTATCAGAACAGCACCTTATTCACATGTCATAGGAAGTATATTAAAAGCTTCCTTTTAAAAGTGTCCTTCACATAATTTATATGCATTAATCTAAGACTATTTTCTGTTTCAAATAAGGCAAATAATCATTAGATTTAGGCTGTAATCCTATGTTGTTGTTGTTGTTTAGTCATTTAATCATGTCCGACTCTTTGTGACCCCATGGACCAGAGCACGCCAGGCACTCCTGTCTTCCACCGCCTCCTATATACACACACATAGAAATGAGCCCCAGTGAACACAGTGGGACTTCCTTCTTAAGACTGCACCTTAAGACTACCAAAACAGTTCATTGTCCTATCACAGTTTCATCCAATCCTCCATTTCAAAAATATCTAATAAACAGAATTTGTCAGCTGTATTCAGAGAATGAAACCTGTACTGGTACTAATACTCCAGTTGCTATAATGCACATACATATTTAGCATGCATACGTAAGCTTCAATGGATTTAGTGAAACTTATTCCTGAATATGTAGGAATGGGCTGCACCCCTGCAATCCTGAACACACGCCAATTTTAATGGGATTTAAAGATTTAAGCAGTCTACATGAAGGCTTGCAGCCTAAAAGGTTCAAATCAGCATCACACTGAAGTCAAGGGGAAAACTGCTGATGGATTTAAATGGATGTGGTATGCGCCCATTTTTAATTGCAGCCTATCTTCTTTCTCCCATCTCCCAGAAGCAATTTTTTTCGGGGGGGGGGGGATACTTTTCAGCCAGACAACCTAAATTTACTATCATTTTCAAGGCTGAAAGTTGCAATATTATTTTTGTGTACCCATGTTACCCAAGTAGGATTCATTGTAAGTATTCTAGTAGAGCCTGGGTCTTTAGTTAGTGCATTCTGATCTAATTGAGGGCTGCTGGTGCTGACCATAATAGTTTTAAAACACTATAACAAATTGTCAACCAACCTACTTCAAGTCAACATACAAGAAATCAAAAGATAGCAAATAAAATACTAACAGTTGTATTCAACCTAGTGTTACATGTACAAGGTTTTCCACTTGTGCAATGGGATTCTCACCCTCTCGCCTTCCCTTGCCTCCCCAATTTATTACAGGGGTTCCCTCAATTTTCTGCAGATTTGGGGAGGCTGTGGGGTGCACGCAGTGGAAGATAGAGGGAGAAAGTTTTGTTGTGCTAATGAGAATCCTTGCACTGGTGGGACATGTTAGTTGCATGCTGCACTATGGAACAGATTAGCTTGATTAATTCTGTAGCAGGTGAAAGATCATGTCCTCGTCAAATTCCTAAAATGCTAATTGCTGTGCTAGCTTTTATCTTGAAAGCATTTTTCCAGCTATTCACTTACTTGGATCTTGCTGGTGCTGAAATGACTGCATCCATTGCTGCTGATTCAAAGGCCACTGTTGCCAAGGCTGTCCGCTTTGATCCCACATCTTTAGTTCTTTATATATTCTACATTTAATCAAAAATAACAGTTGATGTTCGAGTTGAAGCTTCATGTGTTTAGAGTCATTTAACTCTTTCAAAAGTCACAAATTATATTTTAAAATAAAATTAACTACCCAAACATTATCTCAAACAGATCAGGTAGCATTTCCATTTTGTTCCAATTCCTGGTAGCATCCAGAAACACTTATATGCCAGACAATTGCAAATAACAGAATTGCCATTTCATATTGCAGGACTGTCATCAGCTGAGAAACAAGTAAACACTTCCAGAACTTTACACTTTCAGAAAACTGGTCAATTTAGATATTACATGAATTCCTAACAAAATTGTGAAGGAGAGTGAAACAACAATAAACACTTTTGGGAAATAAATATATTGTGAAAAGATGTCTAGAAGAGTTGCCAAATCACAGGCATTGGCCCAGAAGTGCCTTCCAAAGAACCCCTGTCAAGAAAGATTAATTTAGTCTCTGTGACTAGACAGGTGATAACAAAAGTGTTCTCAAAGCACACTATGACTTTGAAGTGGCAACAAAAGCTAATTAATTATTGAGACTATAATGTATTATCATTTGCTTAAATAAAACTGCTACTGGGCGGGGTGGGGTGGGGCATAGACCAGAAAGCTATTGATATGCTTAAGAGACATGTTCCTTAGAAATACTTCTGGATACTACTGAAACATTCCTACTAAGTAGGATTCAACAAATATTTGTAACAAGATTATTACAATTTCAAAAATGAACTTATTATTATTATTTTGTTGTAAATATTACACAAACACAGACAAACTCATAACATGGGAAAGTGTAACTTCCTTCCGTACAATTCTATGAACGCTACCCTAAGCAGTGGAAACTACTGAAGGAAATGCATATTTCTATTCTCCCAAGCAAACATGCTGGACCACTTTTTCTCATTACCAGTCTGCTTGATCACTAAGGTCAGCATCTGAGGCTCTTTCCCATGTGCTTCAATGCTGTATAGTAAGGCATGTGGCTACCAAGTACAAAAAGAGAACCGCCTGTTCACTGTTCACATGCCAACTTGCCTGTGGAATGTTCTCCCCAGGCTCACCTGGCATTCACTTTGATGTCATTTTGGCACCAAATATTTCACACACACCCTTCCAATCTTCCAACGTATTTATTACACTCCACTGATTTTTTTTTATTTTATTATTATTGTATTTAGGTGTTACATTACAGTATTGAAATATTGTATTATTTTCTAGGCTAAAGGGACGCGGGTGGCGCTGTGGGTAAAACCTCAGTGCCTAGGACTTGCCGATTGCATGGTCGGCGGTTCAAATCCCCGCGGCGGGGTGAGCTCCCGTCTTTCGGTCCCAGCTCCTGCCCAGCTGCTCAGGGAATATATCCAGCATGGAAGGTGCTTGATATACATCTTTGAAATTATTATATACTGGATACGAAGAACCATGAACAAGAGATTTGAAAAACAGCTTCCACAAAAATTCATATATAATAACAGGCATGGGGAGGAATTCAACACCATACAGTAATCTGATTTGTCTTGCCAGATGGAATGCTCCCCTCTAACACACCTCAGCCAATTTGGAGAGAGGGAGCCCTGTTGCACAAGCAGAAGTCCTTGCATGGGGCTTTCACTGATGAGACTCATTCATATGTTGAATCCCACCCTTGGTTTATACTATAGCAGTTCAGATGCATCCACTAAGAGGCTGCAGAAGCTCTTGTGCAAGCAGGTGAATTTACTTTTACTTTCTTTGTACAACATTCCAGTGTGAGATGGAAGACAATCTTTCCATAAACAGTAGGAAGCCATCTTCAAATCCAACCACTTGGTTTTGCCTTCAGTGTTTCACAGAAGCCCTATAGCAGGAGTAGTCAATGTGGTGCCCTCCAGTTGTTGTCAGACTGCAACTCCCATCAACCTGACCATTGGCTATAATGGTTGGGACTAATAGGAGCTGAAGTTCAACGATGTCTGGAGGGCACCACTTTGCCTACCCCTGCCCTAGAGTATTAGGGTACTAATCTACATGCTTTATTAAGACTGGATTTGTTTCCACTTGACTGAATAGGAAATACTTTACTTTACTAGATCTAGACATATTGTCCCTTCATGACCTATCCCTTCCATCTTTTGCCTTGTTTCTGAATGCCTTGCTCTTCTGGTGCAGCTAAGATACAATATTCCAGGCTTGAATTTTACAAGGGGGAACCCCAATTCCTTCTGATGCAGTTGGATTTAGAATCTAGAAATATGCTGATGTTCAAACCATTCATATAAATTAAGACATGACCTATAGTTTCTGGGATTTTTAAACTTTTTGAACAAACAGAAGTGACAACAAACAATCCTACGATCATCTAGTATACAAGAAGTTATGCCAAGTTATGCCATTATAGATTTACACATAAAATGTCTCACAGAACTATAAAATAGGTCTCTCCTTCATAAGTACTGTTGAATTCCAAATGATGTGAAATTTGAAATACTAGAACTCCTTCCGCTGGCTTACCAATTTCCAAAGTAAATTCTAAAAGATTGCTATTGCCTAGTTTTTATTTTGTTTTAATCCATTAGAGACCAATATCTTACATATATTAAGAAAAACAATTATATTTAATGGAATGTTGTTGTTGTTGTTTAGTCGTGTCCGACTCTTCGGGACCCCATGGACTAATGAAATGTACTTCCTAATAATTTTGGAAAAATATTTTACTATGTTTTTCTTTATCAGAGCATTCCAAACATAAATGAAAAAGTTGCCTTTTGATTCTTGCCTTCTCCTCTATTCACCTACTCTTCTTAGTATATAATTTCCAAGTGGAAAGTGTCAGTACAGAACCATTGAAAAGCAACACTCTATCTTGCATGCGGGCCCAATTCTCATACATTCAGCTGAGATGGCACTGCAACAGAATAATGATGAATGAGTGTCACAAGACCACCCTCTCCTCCATGTATAACTGGCTCATCTGCTTAAGTTTGCATGGTGACATATTAATGTGACTTTATCCCTTCAAAAAGCAGGGGGAGCTCACAAGTCAAATGGGCATATGCGGAGAGCCAAGTTCGCACTAGAGACTGTTTATGTGTAGGTGAGGAGCAGCCGACATTGGTCCTCCACTGCTAAACTATTTTAACATGAGCCAGACAGTAAGTTTTCATCTATAAATATTCCCAGAATATGAATCATTTTCTTCTTCTGTACTAGGTGTAGGGAAGCTTTCACCCTCCAGATGTTGCTGAACTACTACTTCCATCATCCTTAGCCATTGGTCATGCTTGCAGTGTTGATGAGAGTTCTAGTTCAGCAACACCTGGAGGCCCAAAGGTTCTCCACATCTGTTCTAGATATTCTACCATTTGTACATGCATTATTTTTCAGTGTTCTAAAAAATGATGCAATTGATTCCTTTTTGATCTCAAATGCTTTACTTCTATTAATAAAAGTTTCAAAATTATTATTTCTGCCTTTGAACTTGCATCCCCAAGCTGGCTACCTACTCTCAGCAGATGGGAATATATGTCTAATTTCAGTAAAGGACTGAAAACAGATGACCAGAACATACTAAACATACATGACTCCAACACAATCTAACATATGTACTCTATATAGAAGAGGCTGCAATTTCCTGTTTGTTACTAGTACCATGCTACATATGTTTCACTAAGATCTTCAATAGGTGCTCCCATCATCTGAGGTGCAACGGGTGGCTAAAGAAAACAACCTACTTATTTTTCTTACAATTGGAGTGGATAGCCCTCCAATTGTAGAATGCTGTACCCAGGGAGCATTGCCTGAAAACGCCTGTAATTTCATGAGTAAGCAAATACCTATTTTCTGTTCAAGCCTTTTAATCCTATCTACATTACTTTTATGCTTTGGTTTGCTTTTATGCTGTTTGTTTATACTATGGCTTTTTAATGTTTTTAATTTTAATCTTTTATAAACTATCCTGGAAAACCGTAGAACAGATTTGACCTGAACTAAAATCTATTTAATGGAAAACACTATTTCCCCTAATTCTCAGACACCAGTTTGACTACACAGGATCATATGCAACAAGATACCTTCCTCAATTTCAGGCATTTAACAGATATATTTTACTTTTAAAGCCAAACTGGTCCTTTATATTTTATATTTATATTTCTTTAACTAATATCATATGCCTTGTATATGTCTATTTTGTCCTCTATTAAGCACATTGAAAATTCCAACAAGCAAAATGTTGCTGAGAAGCCATTAAGAGCATTCCCAGAACACCCATCACAGTATAACTAAGTCAGCTCCCAAAAATAAACTGCAATTGGCAAAAATGTGGCCAAGGCTGATGTATGATTTTGCTGAAAAGTAAACTTGGGTGCAGATGTTTCACGCATTAGGTGTGTGAAGTTATTCACTGAAGTTCAAGCTTCAATGATTTCCAGAAGTGCAGCAAAGCCTTCCTGTCTGGAGTTTTGACAGCCAAAGTTTTGACACCCATGTGGTAATTTTAATTTCTAAATATTTTAACTAGGTAGTCTGTTTTTACTTTATTTTCTTGAGCTGCTATTATTCATCCCAAACCTTTCGAAAGAGGTGGGACTTAAAACAAAAATAATTATTTAGACAATGGCTGGTACAGAGAGACATCTGGATGTTATCAACATAGATTACCCAACAGTGAATTTTTGACTATCAGAGTATTTCAGTTTTCAGTGTATGTTGAGAAGTGTATGAAGTTGATAAGTATGTTTTAGTACCTTAGTTTCCCACCATAACCCCACTTATCTAGAAGTCTTATTGAATACAATAAGACCTACTTCTGAGCAGACTACGTTAGAATTAAGTTATCAAAATAGCTGTATGATTTGAACACTATATGTTAGCATGGACAAGATAAGTCCTTTTGTACATATTCCTGAACACTGCATTCTACATGCATTTCCATCAATAATGTAACTGGTTTCATGCATACTGAAGCTTCTTTTCCATGAAATATTTACACTCAGGCCATCCAGAGTTGGTATACAGTGGGGACTAAGAACTGTCAACTGTGAATTCCCTGTTTAAAATCTCAAAGCCATTAACTCAGCTGGTAGCATTCAGCAAAATTGCTACTCTCTCTTTCCTCCTCTTCCCATCTACAATGTCAGAATACTCTCCTACATTACAGAATCTTTATTAGGATTACTTAGATAGTGCATGTAAAACCACTTGAACTGCTGAAATAATCTGTATATAAGTTAGTTAGTTCCCACCCCAATTTTTTGTGTACACAATCACAGATTTTACTGCTGTGAAGCAAAATGAAGTAGAGTGTTTCAGTTAGCACACATGCTTTCATAGCAAAAATGTGAAAGGCTGCAAATTACCGGTAATCCTAACCATGATAATCTTTTATTTATTTCATTTATAGTTCAACTTTCTTCCATCATGGAACCCAAATCATTATACAGAAAGTTCCCAGACTGTCTCCCATCCCGGCACTGATTATTTATTGTGCTTACTCCCCAAGGGACCCAGGCAGGCAAATAAGATACACAACTTAAAAACAAAAAGCCAAAACATCCTGAAAACAATCAGTTAAAAAATCTCATGTATCAAAATCCAGGGTAAATAGGTGCGTTTTCAGCATTTGCCAGAAGCTGTATAATGAGGATGCCAGAATAATGAGAAGATAACACAACTTCAGGGTTGCCACAGAAAATATGTTCTGCCACTGCTCCTCTTGAGCATCTGGGGGCTAAGGAAACACCAAGGGGGCTCCCCCTCTGCCGATCTGTGCAAGATCCGTGAGGTTAGAGCTGCCTTCCTGAGCCTCAATGCTTGCGGCTAGGCCTCACTAAACTGAACAATGCTTACTGCCAAGTAAACATGTGCACGGTACTGTTGAAAAACATTATCACAGTTCAAATGAATAACTGCAAGAATTTGACAAACATTTTTGGGCCAGACGATTATGTAGCGAAGTATGAATTGCTTTACACGAGGGGAAAACCCACTTAGCTTAAAAAGCATCTATCCCCATTAGGGCAACTATCAGCCAGTAATCCTATATCATAAAAACGCCTATCGAGCGTTTTTGACTCCATCCCTTCCCTCCAGGCACCACGAGCAACAAAACCACCACCGGCCCCAAACGTCAAACCCCATATATTTCATTCCGATCAACCGGGAGCGCACCGGCGCATGCGCATTATGGATTCGTAACGGGTTTTAATCTCAACCCGCCCGTTCAGTACCACAGCTAGGACAACGGCGCATGCGCAAAAGGGGGTGGGTACGTGAGGGGTGGGGGAAAGAGAACCTCGAGAAAAAGGGTTACGTGCAGTAAATAAGCGCCCGCTGCGAGTCAACCACTGTGGGAGAATCGAGAAGGGCGAATCCCTCCACGCTTCTTCACATGGGCCCAGAGGGCAGACCCCTCCCCGCCCCCACCTTCTCAACCGCCCCGGCTGCTGGGACAACAGCGCCGAGCCCTGGCGCGCCCCCTGACGGCGAAGGGAAAGGCGCCCCAGTCCTTCGGCGGCGTCGAGCGTCTTTTCAACGGCAGCCGCCCTGTGGGCCGTTACTCACCCCCTCCCGCTCCTTCCCCGCCGACCGGCGGCACTAGCAGCTCTTGGGCTGCCTCCGTCTCTCCGGTAGGCTTTTTCCCCGAACCACACAAAATGGCGCCCGCTAGGACTCACCCGGAACAGAAACTCACGTCACTGGAACCCGCTGGAGAAAGCGGTCCGACCGCCATCTTTGATAAGGGCAGACGCGGCGCCTGAGACTCCCTTAACGAGAAGTGGGCGGGGGGGGTTAGCCATTTAGGGGCTAAAAAAACCCCCACTACTGACAAGAGAATACGGGTCCTCCGAAATATATGCTAGGAAGAGGAAAGAGTCCTTTCATGTCTGCTGGTTTTAGTTTCAGTCTGCTCTTCCCCGCCACCGACACACACCTTTTAGGGTTCGGATAAAGTTTATTCTGCCGGCGCCATTTTTAGGAAGGGCGCAACGCCCTTTCTTCCGCTCTTGGCATTTCCGCCTCGAGGCGAGGCTTGGGAAGGGCAGCGGCGCGTGCCTGGTGGCTCTAAGGTGTGTTCCTGGGTTGCTGGCAAGAAAGCCAGTGGAGCTGCGCGTGCAGAACGGAGGATTAGTAAGACCGTTTCACACTTCGAGACTGCTGCGAATAAGGATGAGCCCAGTGGATGGTCCTTGCAAAATTAAGACATGCCCCACGCTCCTGTGCATGTTTACCCAGAAATAAATTCTACACTGAATGGTATTATTCCTAGGTGAGTGAGCGTAAGGTTGCAAGCACTTACATCTAACGCCGCCCTAAACTGCAATTATAAAATTTTGTTGTTGTTGTTTAGTCGTTTAGTCGTGTCCGACTCTTCGTGACCCCATGGACCAGAGCACCCCAGGCACTCCTGTCTTCCACTGCCTCCCGCAGTTTGGTCAAACTCATGCTGGTAGCTTTGAGAACACTATCCAGCCATCTCGTCCTCTGTCGTCCCCTTCTCCTTGTGCCCTCCATCTTTCCCAACATCAGGGTCTTTTCCAGGGAGTCTTCTCTTCTCATGAGGTGGCCAAAGTACTGGAGCCTCAGCTTCAGGATCTGTCCTTCCTGTGAGCACTCAGGGCAGATTTCCTTCAGAATGGATTGGTTTGATCTTCTTGCAGTCCATGGGACTCTCAAGAGTCTCCTCCAGCACCATAATTCAAAAGCATCAATTTATTTAGAAATAAAAATCCGTAGCAGTAAATGTGATGTGCTGCTCGTTTCCATGCAAGTTTGCTTTGCAGTTAGTCCCGCTGAATTTGAGTGCAACCTACTTCTTAGTAAGTATACAGGTCATCACAGCTTTATGTCCAAATAAATATGCTCAGAATTTGTGGGTGCACTGCAGCCACAGCCTTCTTGTCTAGATAAAACCCACAGAACCCTAGAGCTCCAATCTTGTGCGTTCTTATCTGAGATAGATTTATTAAACACAATACTTTTAATCATTAATTTATATCCCACTGTTCCTTAAATTAGCCCAAGGTCCACATTTCATCCTTTCGCCAACCCTGCAAGGAAGGTTAGGCTAAGAGATGTGCCTGGCGCAAGAAAGGCTGTTGAGTGGTGAGTTGAAGCCTGGTTTCCCAGATCCTAATTTGACACTCTTGACTACAGTGGTACCTCTGGTTAAGAACTTAATTCGTTCTGGAGGTCTGTTCTTAACCTGAAGCACTTCTTTAACTAATGGGGCCTCCCGCTGCCGCTGCGCCACCAGAGCACAATTTCTGTTCTCATCCTGAAGCAAAGTTCTTAACCCGAGGTACTATTTCTGGGTTAGTGGAGTCTGTAACCTGAAGCGCTTGTAACCCGAGGTACCACTGTACTATGCTATGCTATACTGATTCTGAGCAAATATGCATAAACTCATGCTGTATTCAAATTATGTTAATGTATTTTCACATTCTGTGTTGGAAGGGATTTGCATGATGTGGGTGTGTCCCTCTGCTTAGTCCTGCCCAGCTCTGTCATGAGGGAAGCTGTAGCAATAGGCCAGCTGAAGCCACAGCCAGCGGCATCTCTAGGGTGGGGCTGGTGCAGCAAAAGAGTATCTATCCTACCTTCCACCCTGTCTGGTATGAGCAGAAGCTGTGCTGCTCCATCAAGCCCTGCCGTTGTTGGCCAGGGACTTGGATCGACCCCTGAGCTTATGGGTAGGAAAGGACCCTGATCCAATCTACCTCACATTCCATTTGTTTCCACCTGATTATTGGAAACTTTACAACTCGCAGAACAGGCAAATAGTAAGGGGCAAACTGCAGAGCACAGCATCATTCAAAAAGACATAACATAGCTCTAACCATCTGCAGCTGGATCTCAAGAGGTGCATGTGCCAGATTGCCTGCCTGTGTCTCTTCTCTGACTCCTCACAGTGACAGCACTTAACCAAAGCAAAGATAAGGGAGATGATGCTGGGGACACATCAAACAAGGCTGACAGCCACATCCATCCCATGAGCTCAATAGTAAAAGAATCATTTGGCAAGTTAGGGAAGGCTGATCCCCCACCCGACTTAGTGAAATCAAACACAATAATCTGTTTAACATTTGACATTCATTTCTGGAAATTTCCCACTATTATTTTCCAACATCTTAAATATAAAACACACCTCAGAGAAGTAAGGGAACGATAGATTCTGGGTAAGCTGTGGGTTCAAAATAAGCCCTTTCCCATCCTGAAGTGGGGTGACTTTAATGAACCCACATACTGAATAAAGTAAGCTTGGAGAAAGAATAATTTAGAAACCAGAATATGACACCGGATTTCAATTAATAATTTATCTTACCCCTTCAAATAAATGTAAACTGAACATTTTTCTCAACTTGTGTGCTGACTTTTATGTTTTATTTTGACAATCAAAAATAAACAAGTGTTTTTGTATCCCAATGGTATATATTTAGCAGACATTTTCATATTTTGCCTCCATTCAATTAAATACATATTCCTGTTTAACATTCTCTATACATTTTATACATAAAATATGTAAAAATACAGTAATAGGTTCATTTATTGCACATACAAAGTAAATTATGCTTGCATTTGTCTTTGCTCATCATTACACAAGTATCCTCTGCAATATATTATTGGCCTGAATATTTTAATATAATCCAAGTTTACTAGTATACTGAAATATTAAGGAATAGAAAATCTGTTATTCATAGTGCATTCTAAATTTATTCTAAGTATCATCTGCCTCACAAAGTTCCCTGGTTTAATCTATCATATGTAAACCATTGAGGAAAAATATAAAATATTTCATTTCGAAATTAAGTATTTTGAAATTCTAGACTTCTTTTCAACACACTGCTGTTCCCAACAGGCAAATCAAGTTCTCATTGTGCCTTATACATAAAACTCACAGCGACTCTTGAGTTGCTAAGCGAACACCCTTGCCTTGGGAAGTACTGGCCTGAAACTTTGTAGCCTAAATTCCAATAGATCCAGGTTTTACAGTGTGCAGTTCCAAGATTTAGCCAGAAGATGGTGCCACTTGCACTGCTCAGTTACCATACTACAGTAGTGGTCGTATCAGATTTCCTTCTATGACGCCTCCTTATCTGAGGAAGTGTTTTGCAGTCAGAGGACTGATTTCAGTCTGAACCACAACCACACTAACATGGGCATGCAAGTATAGAGAAAAAGAAGTCGAAGGTCAGGAGCCATTTCAAAAGGCTGAAAAGGTTGAAATGCATGGGGGGAAAGCAAAGAGGGAGAGGGAGAATAAGTGATGGTGGAGCGTGTCTGTTATTGGGATACTGAATTCTAATTCTAGGGCTGAATATAAATACAAGAGGTGAAAACCTGAGGTAGTACAAGGAGATTGCAAGGGAGATTCGGGCAGAGATCCTTTTTTCAAAAATCACAGAAAACCACTCAACTATGATAGCTCCAGAAGTAGATAGCTAATTAGGCTTTTGTAGCATGAGCAAAACCCATACACTGTTCATTTGCTATCATGAGCCAGCCAAAGCAAAGCATATTTAAAGCCCACTGATTTTAATGTGAGCATTAAAAAAGTGTAGTTAACTCCCTTTTAATTTGACAGAATTTAACTTTGGATTGCGTGAATTTTAAAGGATGCTCTTTAGAAAGGTGCCACTGAATTTTTTAAATATAATGTCTTTATTTCATGTAGAAACCAAAACATAAATCACATTCCAGAGCTTGTGTATGCATTCTTCAGAACTCCCGTACCAATGAATAGGTACCATTTCCTTTCAGTGTAAGAGGTTTTAACCCCTGTTGAAACAGATAACAAATTCCTGTATGCACTTGAATCTTCATGTCTTATCCCCAAAGTGCTGGAATGCAGTATTTAAAATAAATTCTGGATATGATTGTGCATAAAAAGGTACATCTGAGTAAGCTACATTGTTCTAAATGTGCATGGGTGAGTGATGGATTTGTTGGGATAGATACGTAATCTGGAAATGATCAGTCACTGAAACTGATTAATTTACTTTAAATTATCAGATTAAATGTGGATCATCATGGATTACTACAGGTCACAACAACTCTCTCTCCAGTGCTGGGATTATAACGTAATATCAATAAATTATCATTAAAACTGGAATTAGTGAGGTGGGTATGGAGACATTCTGGATGTATTCTGCAAGAAACTACTCAGAGATAGATGGATACGTATGTGCATGACACACTCACTGCTGTCCCATTATACAGCTTGTTAAATTGACTCTTTCTTTTGTTTTTAGCAGGCAGTGGGTTATATCCAACAGTGTGGCTCTGCTGGTAAGCAAAGCTGCTGTGACTGGAAAGGGAGGGAAACAATTTCCCACGATTCCTCCTCCCTCTTGCAGCCCCTTACTTCCCTTAAATAGGCTCTGGAAGCCCCCGCCCCGCCCCGGCCAAACTACTTTTCTCCCCATTCCACTGATGGAAGCCTTACCATCGGCTAAGACACATAACTGGCTGGAACCCAATGGCTACAATTTAAAGAGTATCCTAGAATATGAGGGGTTCAGTGCACAGGAGAAACTTGGATTGTCCAGAAGCTGAAAAGGAGCATCCACAAAGAGATTATAATTTTTCTTTAAAATTCTCCAAGTCCTAAAAGTAGATCATGTGGTGCACAGGTAAAAAATAAGAAGTAAAAAAACTGCATTTCACATGCGGAGCTAGTCCCACTGTCCTCTGTACAATAGAAATAATATGCATAAATCCATATTATTGAGGACAGTAATAAACAGCAGCCCTGATCCTTTGTAAGACAGCAATATACCCCCACCCCCATATTTAATAGAAAAAAAAGTTGAGTACAGTCGGTAGTGTATATATTGTGTAAATCACAGAAACTAAGAAAATGTATAATTATAAGTTATCCAGTCACCACCCTAAAATGTTGGGTGTGCAGTAAATCAGCATGCTTGACTATATGATGCTTTGCAGATAAAAATGGCAGAGAACATAATGTACGACTAGAAAGTATATTTGGATATCTATAAGCAAATGCAAAACACTACTAAACCTTAGGCTACGTAAGTACAATCCTGGTAACAACACACACAACATAACGGCCTGTTTTTGACTATGTAACTTGTATTTCAATCACAATTCAACATATAATATCTCACAAAGTGTAATTCCATAGACCAACACATCATGCAGAACATATCAAGAGAAATTAAAGTCCAATGGATGGTCAGGAGAGTTAGAATCTATACTGCCTCTCTGTTTAAAAAGGAACTTTGGCCAGTGATTGGATTTATTTTGTTCCATGTTTCCGTCATACAAGAATACGGTATGTAAACTTGTTTAATTTGTATGTTATGTTACTTAGTTTGTATAAGGATTATGTTACATGATGTTTGTTTAATTTAGAGCATGCACAGCTGACGAAGCCCGCTTGGGCAAAACAAGGTATTATCCCGGAATCCTTGTCGTGCCATACCTTTAAGTTTTCCATCTGATCCGATATCTACATACAAGGAATGTCATACCTCGGGTTGAAGTAGCTTCGGGATGAATATTTTCGGGTCGCACTCCGCGGCGACCTGGAAATAACGCAGACGCTCAAAATGACGTCATGCGCGGAAGCGCCGAAACGCGACCCGCGCAGACGCGTCTTACGTTTACTTCAGGATGCGAACTGGGCTACGGAATGGATCCGTTCGTATCCAGAGGTACCACTGTACGTGGAAAATCATAAGATAAGCATACCATATTGTGGTTATTGCCAATATGCCAATTTAGGAACCGAATGGACTTGTGAGATATTATATGTTGAATTGTGCTTGAAATAGAAGTTACATAGTCAAAAACAGCCTGTTGCATTGTGTTTGTTGTTACTATATCTATAAGCAAAGTCAAATGTTCTGAAAAAGTAGCATAGTGACTATAGTCATGGTGCATATCTGAATACACTCCCATGTCAAGCACTCCTTGAATGTGAAAAGGGAGCACATAAGGTAGAAATGTTCTGTTTTAATGGTTCTGTTGTAATCTACTCCCTGATGTACTCAACTTTCTGCATATAGAACTCAACATGCATTCAGAAGAGAATCAGTTCTAGAAGAACTGTGCAACATGCCTTTTTTTAAATATATGAACTGACAGAATTGTAAAGTTAGAAGGGACCCCAAGGGTCATCTAGTCCAGCCCCCTGCAATGCAGGAATCTCAACTAAAGCATACACAACAGAGTAGAACTCAATTGTTGAGCTTGCAACTTAAACTACAGCAATGTTTTAAAGGAACACGATTAGTGAATGGCACAGGCTAACTCTTAATGGTTGCACAAACAGAAAGCCTGTGCAATCTCTCTCTCTCTTCCCCACTCCCTTCTATACTCCCCCAAAAAAGCCTTCTCCAAAGGAGAGGGCTGCACAGTGAGGGTTGTGTTATACCACCTTGCAGTGGGAGGGGGGAAATCACCAAAATTAGGTGGAAGAATTTTGCTCTATCCTCTGCTGTACAGTCCTCTGCCTCCCCTTTTTGCAAGAGAAAGGTAGAGAAAGAGACTGCTTATGTGAGCTGCAACCCTACCTCTGTATTAAGAAAAAATCAGGCACAACTCCAATTCATTTCTCAATTCATGTTTTTTAAAATTTTGCTTATCCGAAACTGAAATTTCACTACAGTATTCAGTTTCCAAGCACATTGTTTCAAATGCATTTTGGGGATTTAAATAATGAGCATGTGGGCTTATATTCAGAGAAACATGACGTTATTTCCACTTACACATGACATGATTTTCTGTTCCTCCACTCTGGTGGCAGCTCAACATGCCCCTTCCAAAAGCAGCAACACAGGGTGCTAAAACTGCATCCTCTGCTGTTTGATGGGCAGCTGCCAATCAGCATAGTAAGCTACCCAACTTATGTGTGCATCTAGGTGCTCTGTGCATGCACCAGCTTCTCAGAACACAAGGCATTGTTTTTAAAGTAAGAAATCACAGTAAATTTTGTATTAGAGAACAGATAAAAGCACAATATTTACATTACTGCTGCATTTAAGAAAACACAAAAATAACTTAGACTTTCAGTCTTGATTACAGCTACAGTATTCTTTCATAGAAAAGCAAGTAAGCTTGTGAATTTAATACTCTTGATTCGGTAACTGCTTGTACATGGGTATCACTGACATATACCCACTGTCCTGCAGTGGCTCCTACAGAGTCTTTCAAACCTGAAATGCAAAAAACAAAACAAAAAGAGTTATTAATTACCATCATAGTGCAAAAGAGAATACAATATGACTAAGCCAGTAACTGTGAGAATTTTGAAGGTTTGCTATTGTATAAAATTCACTGAAACTTTGTTTTCATATTCTCAGTACTGCCAGCTTTGAAAATTGTCTTAGCAAAAGAGTACAAATGAGGAAAGGCAGTGTTTTCCCAACTGCATGTTGGAGTGAGCTAGGGTGGCCTTGAAAACTGAAGCTACTTTGTTGGATACTTCCACTGCTCTGTGCTTGGGCAGGGAGACAAGGGCCAGTACTGGGGGCGGGGGGACAGAGAAGAAATGGAAATAAAAGTGCACAGAGCACCAAAACCCCACTACATGAGCAGTGGATTTCTCCTCCTTTCTAGCCTCTTGAGATTTCACTAGAAACTTGTCCATGTTACAAATACATTTCTGCTTCTGTGCAGGCTACACACTGATATTTTAAAAAAGAGAAAACTTAGCTTCTGAAGATACCCATTTTATGGGGCTGCTTTGTAAATTCAGAATCATTGAGTCTACAGCACAGATATCCAGCAGTCCTGGATACTACACTGAACAATGTTAAATGACGTATTATCTCCAATGTAGAAGATACAAGATTTCAGCAGTAAATGTTAAGTTAAGAAGAGCCCTGATAACCCATCAAGTCCAGCACTCTTTTGTCTTGGTGGCTAACCAGATGCCTATGAGAAGCCTATGAGCAGAACCTAAGTGCAATAGTGCTCTCCCCACTGACTTCCAACAACTGGTATTCTGAGCCTTACTGCTTCCAACATAGTCATCATGACTACTAGCCATTCATGGCCTTACTGTCCATGCGTCTGTCTAATATTTTAATGCCATCCAAGTTGGTGGCCATTATTACTACCTTGTGTGGGAGAGAATTCCACTGTTTTAATTATCATGTGCTGTGTGAAGTACTTCCTTCAGTATGTCCTGAATTTTCCAGAATCCAGATTCAAAAGTTACTATTTATGACCAAAGGCTGGAAATCTTGAATGTGCAAATTATTGCAAGCGTAAGAAACGGAATGTCTTAATTGTCCTTTTGCTGGAAAAAGGTGGGCTGGATCTAAAAGATAAATGTTTATTGTAGCCTGCAGAAGTACTGAACTGATAAAACCAACTGCGTGATACCGAGAAAAGGGCATGCATTTAATGTAGTAGATGTGCGTGTCCCCAAAATACATCATTTTATTTAGGTACATACCTTGAACATTTCTGTTGCTAGAAATGTGTTCCAAAATCTTTTTGGATGGTGCTCTGACTTTCACATATGCTGCATAGTGACCTCCTCGCATGGACCCACTATGCTCCACAATTCCATAAAGAGAATAGAGAACTTTCCCACCATCTGCCACATTCTTCATTGCAAAAACAAAAGGGAGACAGAAAGGGGGAAATGTGATTTCTATGCAGTGAGTTTTGAGAACATACTTAGCTTAAAAATATAACAATTAGCAAAAACAGTGACAAGCCTTCACTAATTCTACATCTTAGGCTAGCAAAAGGTGTGTTTTTTTAAGCTATTACCAATTCAATACAGCTATCTTGACTTGGCAGAGAAATGAGGCTTTCTGTAATTTAAGGGGAAGCCTTAGGCTTCACTTGAAAACAAAGACAGCTGTAAAAACTGAAGCCTGAAATTATCTTTGAAGTACTGTATAAATTGAAATGGTGCTTCTGACATGCCATACCTTGCAAGAAGCAGAACAAAACGGAGCCAAGTCCAAAACAAGAGGGAAATCCACATGACGGTTTACTTTCCTTAGACTCATACCAGCCTGAAGAAGAAATGAAATATTTACTGTTTCTACTTGAGTGCCACCTGAATCCAGCTGTACTGCAAAAGCACAGTACTGAACTTTTTAAATTCAAAAATTCTGAATCGACTGCAATGACAAGAACAGTATACATACACTGACAAATTTATTTATTTACTTGTTACGTTGATAAGAAAATTGCTAAATTCAGTCATGCAGAAATGCAACATAGAAGGCTAAATTGCAGTACCACAAAGAGAAAGGCTGCATCTGTTGAAATTATGTATTGTACAGAACTAAACTGCATTTTAAAAAAATCCTATAAATCTAAAGACCCACTTACAAAATGGCTTAGTCATTTCTACCTTATTTATTTATAAACCACACAGTCATAGAAAATATAACAAGGCAGTACACAACATTAAGAGCCAACAAATCCTACTCAGAGTAGACTCTTTGAAATTCGTGAACCTTTGTTAGTCATGTGTATTAACTTCAATGGGGTCTGGTCAGAGTAGGATTAGCAATGGATACCACCCTAAAACACAATTTTCTTTGGCTGTGTATAAAAGGATCAAGTCTTTGATATTTCTTCCACAGTCAAAATGTGACATGGATGAGGATAATTTTCATCAGCAGAAGAATCACTAGTCACTCTGGAGAAAATACAGTTTTACAGAAATTCAGTACAGTCCAAAATTATAACTCCTTTCAATAACACCTTATTTCAAGACTTTACCTGATGAAATCTTTTCAGATGGAGAACAAGAACAGCAGGAACCGAAGAAATCAACAGCTGCTTCCTGGCATTTGTATATACACCTTCTATTTTCTTTTCTGTACAGAAAAAAAAATACCAATTTAAAAAGCATGGCAGTATTTTTTATTTTCTGTAGTATTTTAAGTATGCATACAATCCCCACAAAAATCCAGAAAGATGAATGTTTAGTAATAGTCCTATATTGCTATTTTTCAGATGGCGGCTGAGGTTAAATAAGCAATGATTTCCCTAAAGTCACCAACACAGCTAAATATCTGAGCCAAAAGTCTCTAAGATCTAATTCCATTAGACTTTCTACTGAGAACACTGGCTCAGTGAACATACTGAATGTTCAAAAATGGTCAGAAGGACCTCTCTTTTTTTGCTGGATATTTTGGACATAATATTGTAGAAAAAATATTTCAGATTTGATTATTAATTTTATAGTCAAACTAAAGGAATGGCTCTGGGAAATCCTGTTGCCTCTAGCACAGCAAATTTATGTAAGTCCTACTTCAATAGCAACTATCAGTTCTGAAAAGAAGAAAAACCTTCATGTACAGTACAGCAAGTGTATGATATTACTGCTCATCAGGACTGTGTGCTTTCCCCATGTTTTATACAGGTGAACATGGATGATATTCAGTCATATGAACTTACAACAGACACGGTGTCCGATGTTATGATTTATAACTCACACATACAAATTTGTGTAAAAAAATTACAGTAAATCCACTTTTAAAACAGATAGATACAGTCATGGAAGAAACACTTATCAATTTTTAATTGGCCCGGACACTCAAAACAGTGTTTCCATGCACTGAAGCAATATATCTCTGTTTATCGGGTGCTAAGGGCAAACAACTTGTGGAAGTAGACAGACCTCAGTCTGGTCCAGCAAGTCATATTGCTAAACTCCTAAATTATGTTCTGAAGGGAGTAAGTTTCTGCCAGAGAAAATTCAGCTAGAGGCAACTATTGCCACCTAGCCACTCTCCAACTGCATTATTTCCCATGTTTACAAATCACAAGACAAATCTCCATCTCTTTCACGTTGGAGTGATTTTGCTGAGAGGAACTGGGAGACATCAATAGAAGAAGAAAAACACTGTAAATGCATTTTGGCCACAAGAGGGCATTAATATACAAATACAAACTAATGAAAGATGGTGACAAATGTCGTATTTATTTAGGTCCTCTAGAATATATAAATCACACATGCACGTATAGAAAAAACCTATTTATGCTACTGGAATAAATTACATATCTGGGGAATCTGCATAAATTTCATCAATCACAAGCTTTGTATTATATGCCAATTAGAGTTAAGGTTTTGTGGAGTTTCTTGGGTTTTTTTAATTTGAAGTGCTTTGAATGTATCACATCAATATGTAATTGAGTGCATTTGTAGCCAAAATGGCATTATTCACACAGAAGAGGGACGTTATTAGCATGCTCTGGAGAATCTCAAGTTCTGTAGAGAGACAGCCAAAGAGGACTGAGCTTGCCTGAGTGGGCATAGAATGACAACCAACTGTCCCGAATCCTGCACGGGAGCACTGCACACCACAACCTTATGTTGCAGGCCCCATTTGTGCTTGTGTCATACAAATGTAATGGTTAAAAAGATTTAAGATTATTGAAGAACTGTACTGAGGTCAAAAAGATTTGCAAAGACATGGTGAGATGAACAGGCTCCCCTCAAAAATGCACATTAGTTCAGTCTCTTAAATGTCACTGGTTGTGTTCTGTGGTGCAATCATACAGCTTTGCAGGGTCTCTTGGTTATTCAGCCAGAATCCAAAAGGACTATTTTAGGCTGATGAAGGTCTTGGAAATGCCCAAAAAGAGTTCTGAACTTTATCTCTGGAGAGCGGACTTTCATGCCGGGTGACAAAAGGTCTTTGAAATTCCTCTCTGTTTCAAATGCAGTTTACCATGCAGGATGGTGGCTGCTTTTGAAGGCATATAATACATTCCCCATCCCTCCCCAAGTGTGCCAGAATCATACACTCCTTTGGACCCTAGAAAGTTGTCTATGTGAAACAATATACTCAGCCACCATTTCATTACCTGTGAAATTTCCTTTCTTCTGGTGCTTCTGTTTCCGTTCCGTACACTTCTCACACAAAAGTTTGTTGTTTCCCATTAAGAGCTCCACATATGTAAACTGGTAGAGGCATGACTGGACTGAACATTCTTTAGAACTAGTTATGTAACACTGAGAAAGAGTCTGGAAAGCATTTTGAGGGTTTTGCAGTAATGTGGGGTTCTCTGCTGAAACGTCTATGTTGTTGGACAGACTTGACAGCTGATCTCTACTGAGAGTCCCTTCAGTTTCACTGACACCACTACCCAAGCAGAGGTTTGATAAGCCAATAGTAAGTCCCTCTGTACCGCCATCACTTGATTTGTTACACTGTGATTTAATGCTTGCAGATAAATGTTTATGCTCATCAGTGCACACACCAGGTGTGCTACAAGCTCTGCTGGAAGCAGTTTGCTTAGAATGGCTTTCGCTTTCAGAGGCCTCACTGTCTGCACCAATGCTACTTTCAGAATGACTTGCTTCTTTTTCACTGCCTTCAGTCTGACTTCCATTTGCTGCAGATTCCATTACCGAACTGCTGTCTCCTGTATATGGAACAGCAGATCTGCCTTCACCTTTAGTGTTTCTGACTTTTTTGTGCATGATAAAATGTCTTGTTTCTTCTTCAGCAGAGGAGGATTTTTTGGCAAATCTTCTTTCATGATTTTCTTGGTTCTGTCAATTTCCACATCATTAGCAAAAGGGAGGAAAAAAACCCAAACGTAAGTCTGTTGAAAATCCATAAAAGCATTGCATTAACTCTTAAAAGCATATCGAAAAGATGGGTTTTAAAAATTAAAAAAAACAACAGTATTTATGCATTTGCTTTAAAATGTCTTTGGCGATGTACTCTAACCTGAAATATCCTACCTTTCTGAAACAGAAAAACCCTTTAACCTATCTTATGGAAACCCTACAGCCCCTCCCAGGTGTTAAGATCAGCAGAAGGGGCTTCTTGGTAGTTCCACTACCCTCAGGAGTTTGGGTGGTGGTGGTCCTGGAGAGGGCATTCTCTATGGCAGACCCCAATATCCTCGTGGATTTCCATGGTCTTTATATAAGATGACAACAAAACCAGCCACAGAAGGCACAAAGACATACGATTTGATAATGGTTTTGAGGGGATTCCTTGCACAAATGATGATGATCCATAAGTATCTGTGCATTGGATCCATGTTTTTGCATGGCAGTCCTGGAAAGCTCTGGATCTGTGATGTTTACAGATCAGTGAACACAGACACAGCTGACCAGTTATTTGATAGGAGTTGCAGGGCAGTCCACTTTCCTTTCCCCAAATAACTCGCCTACCCCCATGCCCTTCTCAGTTACTCCACCTTCTGGTTAAGCTACTCAGGTACAGATAAGCTCTGAAAAGTATATAGAGCTGAAAGAGGTAGTGCCTAAAGGTGTAAAGGGACCCCTTACCATTAGGTCCAGTCGTGACCGACTCTGGGGTTTTATTGGCCGAGGGAGCCGGTGTACAGTTTCCGGGTCATGGGGCCAGCATGACTAAGCCGCTTCTAGTGAACCAGAGCAGCGCACGGAAACGCCGTTTACCTTCCCGCCCGAGCAGTACCTATTTATCTACTTGCACTTTGAGGTGCTTTCGAACTGCTAGGTTGGCAGGAGCAGGGATCGAGCAACGGGAGCTCACCCCGTCGCGGGGATTTGAACCGCCGACCTTCTTATCGGCAAGTCCTAGGCTCTGTGGTTTAACCCACAGTGCCACCCGCATCCCTAGGTAGTGCCTAGGATATCTTAAATTTAATGCATTAATTTAGTATTGCAAACAAAAATATTTAATTACTAACCAAACTTAAAGCTGAAATTCAATTTTTGATTCCATGCAATTCAAACTTAGATTCAATCTGTAATAAAATCTCTTACGCTTTCAAAATCAATTTATCTTAAGGGCTTGTAAAACTTCTGCAATAAATAAAGAAAAAACAGTGGCAGCTCATTCCTCTCATGACTCCAATTCTACAATATTTCATGGATGGATTATTCTTAACATAAAGCTATTTTGGCTGGTTTGAGCAGTAAGTGGGATATGAAAGCATAATAAAAATGAACGTGTACAACTTAAGTAAAACTGAAAGTGTTTAAAAATCCATCTTGAGAACTATATGAACACTATTATACATTTATCAACACTACAAAGTTTAACTTTGATTAACAAAAGCAGCATTAGGCTCAGCAAAAAGGATTTAAAAGCCTGCCTTCCAATGAAGTGTTGGTTTTTTTCCAAATGCCCTTGGATATTCAGATATAGCTGGGCTTTCTGTCATCCTTGGCTAAGGAAAGAGGTTCCCAACACATGGTGTTTCGAATTGGCAGTGCCCTATCTCAAAATAAATTTTCTAGTAAATATAAAGACGGTAAATATCCCTTAGGTGATAGTCCTAAATTACCTCAGCTGGAACTAAAGTCCACTGAATTCAACCGGGCACACATACAAGTTTATGTTTATATGACCAAGGGGACCAAGAAAGCTTTCAACTAGCAACAAGAAACTTTCTAAATGAAAGTGAACCATTTAACTATAGAGTGTAAAGACCTCTTTAGGTCATTTACACACTCCTCCTCAGATGTATTTCTCTTTATTTTAATTCAGACTTTGAATTCTAAAATTAATCAGCCTCTAGACACTATTAGAATTTTCCCAACTTGCTGTATTATTATGGGCAAGTCACTCATCTAAAAATGGGAACGGCTTCCATTAATTTCTATGGCTCAAAGCTTATACTCTTAAAAGCCTTTCTAAACAATCAGGAGGAAGGGAATTGCACTTTAGCTGCATGGGATCCAAAATACCCTTCCTTACAGAAGCGCTTGTATTGGCTGCATCACATTTTCCTAGTGCTCAAATCACAGCCTATGTTGCTCATCTCCCAGCAAGCAAGGTCTTTGGATTGAAAATTCTGCCAGGAATGTGGCTGAGCAAGTTTCATGGGCCACCAACAGGCCACCATCATTTCAGGAAATGGAAGAGTCCAAGCCTGTACCCCAGAGTAGGGGACCCACTACCAATACCTGTAGGCTCCTGATCCTGATATACTCATCCTCGCTGCTGCTGCTGCTGCTGCTTGTTTATCCGCCCTCTTGAAAGGAACAAGCAAGGAGAAGGAGCAGAAACCCAGCATGCCTCACTTATCTTAGAGGACTGGGCCAGTGGGAGAGGTAAGCAAGTGAGAAACAGCAGCAAGGTGGAGGGCCATCTCATGCAGTATCTTGCCTCAAAGTACCAAAAAGAAGCACTTGTCAGTGACTTACTGATACTGCTGATGACATTCTTGATCACCCCATCCCACGTCTGAGACTGCACAAAAGAGACTTGCATGAAAGTTGAAACTGACTGCTTTCCCACAGGCAAACTATTGGGGGGTGGGGCAAAACTCATAGTGTTTACAATTATTCGATTCCCATTGAAGGATTTCCCAAATAGCCCCTGAAATTCAGTTCCCTGTATTGCTAGCTCTGGATTCCTCCACATACAGTCCGAGCATTCCCACTTGTCTTGCCTTTTAAAAATAAGAAGGGGGGAAGGGAACACAGCACAACTATTATTCTCCATGCATTGTACATGGCCTCAATTTCTCACTGCTACCTCTGAATCAAGATGGATTTTTTCTCCCAAAGATTAAAACATAGCAGGGGCAGACTGTGGACTGATGGTCTTGCCACAATTCTTTTAGTGAGCTTTGCCACTATACAAGTGGTAGAATGTTTGAAGGAAGCCTTGTGGTTCAGTTTCTGAGACTGGAAAAATAAAAAAAGCATCTCCTAATTCCAGACTCCACTAAAAAAAGAGGGGGAGAGTTTCTACAAATTTGCTTGACTGCATACAAAGAGATGCCAAGTAGAAGATTTTGTGCTAAGAGCAAATGTATCAAAATCTGAAACAGACAACAAACATAAAAATCATAGCATTTGTGTGTATATGGTAGTGGTGGGGGAGGGAGGGAGAGACGGAGGGGGGAAAGGGAGAGAACACAATAATGGAAGGGAATGGAAAAATAAAAAGCATAAATAGCCATTGAAACCTTAATGCCATCCAAAGAGAAATAAGTAGGTTTTTAGATTTTCAGCAATAGTATTTTTAAAGTCAGTGGATTAAAAGAACGACTAGGAGATGGGAAATTCTGCCAGACTGCCTTAGAGGCCTCATGCTCACCACTCAGCTGTTAAGCAAAACATTTTTTCATCTGTCAAATGCTGAAGGATATAGGTTACAATTTTAAATGAAAAATGGTCTGAAGTATTCTATTTTCAATAAATGATCTAAACATAAAAGCTTTCCTTGTAAAATAATGTACAGTAGAATATTTGCAGCAAAAAATATCAGCATCTCACATTGTATTAGCACATCATATCTGCAGCATGCTGTGCCACCATCAGGAAGAACCATGTTAAGAGGCTGAACTATGGTTCATAGGCCCTTGGGCCACTGGAGGCTGAGCACATCATGGAAGCCATGTTCCAAGTCTCCTGGGAGACTGTGTTGGCTGCACTTCTCATATAGTACACCCTGCCAACTGATCCACCAAATGGCACGAAGGCTGACTTGTCTGCTCTCTTGGCCAGCCCTGCACTGCTTGCAATTGCAGCCAGAAACAAACTTGGACAACACTAGAGGAAAGCAGGGAGGAGGGCACAGAGTGTGGAGAATGAATTTGAAAAGTAGCTTTTTATTTTATTTTATTTTAAGAAAGAAAGATCATTTTTAAACCCATCATGTTTTTTAAAAAATCACCTAGACACATACACACACACACACACACACACACACTATTTATAGGTGTGGGTGTGAATATATCATACACTTTTAAGTTTCATAAATACACTACTTTAAAATGTATTAACACCACATCATGAGCCCCAGAAGTATTAGGTGTACATATATCCAAAAATCGGTAATACAGTGCTGTAGATTAAAAGAGACCTATTCAAACCAAATTTGCAGCTACTGCAAATTTCCATAAAAATGTGATTTGTTATACAACTAGTTGAACTACAGATCAGCAATGCTGTTGCATTCTTACCTTATCTTTTGTTAACAAATGTTTTCTAGACAATTTAGATTGTTGATTATTCAGAGCAGTAACAGAAGAACAGTTGTACTCAGCATCTGCTTCTTGGATATGTTTACCTCTGCTTGTCCTCCCAAAAGGAACAGGTTTTGAGATCTGGAAAATACACGTGGTTATTCACGGTAAAACATACACTCTCCTATATAAAAAAATATCTTTCCCTCCTACCTTTTCCAAACAAGATAGTGCTGGCTTATATCAATATGCACAGGGTGAATTAGACATTTGACACTTTTAAATATATATATCTGGTTAGTTTACTGGTCAAGTCCTAATCATATTGTGTAAAATAATATTAATGTGTTTCAAAATTTAATTAGATTGTGTTAATAATTACAAGGACATATATCTTCTAGAAAACTTCACAAAATTACTACTCCCAGAAACTTGAGAGAGTAGCATAGGTCAAGGCTTTCCTTTTAAAAATCAAATACAATGGGCTAAATCAGCCCTTTCCAAACTCAGGTCCCTAGTTGTTGTTGGTATACAGCCCACATCAACCCCAACCATCAGCTATGTTTGAAGGGAATAATGGAGGTTGCATCTGGGCACCCAAGGCTACAGAAGGCTGGGCTAAGAGAGAGTCCTAAGCCTTGAGCACTTGCAATCTATGCAGGGTTGCTCTTTCAGGAACTCCGGAAGCTGCCTTATACTCGGTCAGGCTACTGTTTCATCTTGCTCAGTATTGTCTACAATAACTAGCAGTGACTTTCCAGGTTTTCAAACTGGGTTTTCTCTGTAGATGTAGGGATTGAACCTGGGACCTTCTACAGGCAAAGCAGATGCTCTGCTAACAGAGCTGCAGCCGTTCTCCATGAGCTATGGTCCTGCCCTCAAATGTTCCGGCAACTGTAGCTAAGTGTCTATGAACAGCTGCAGAGTTTCCAAACACAAATCAAGTAGTCCCTGAGCATTTTCAGAGCACATTCATCTATTATAAATTCATTTGGGTATTTTATACCCTGCTTTTAGGATTAAAATTTCTCAAAGCCCTTTTTTGTTAAGTTCACGAAGAACTAATGTCTGTCTCACCATTAGGCTGACTACCTAGGATGGCTGCAGTATGAGAGCTGTAAATCAGTGGTGACTTAGGAGGCTGTCCGAAGTAGGGGAAGCAGCTCAATAAACCAGGGTTAGGGAACTTGTGATGCCTCTCCCCCAGCTGTTGTTGGACTCTTAACTCCCATCAGCTTCGAGCAGCATGGCAAATGGTCAGAGAAGAGTTTGAGTCCAGCGACAGTTGGGATCTCCACCAGTTCTCCATCCCTGCAATATGTGAAGTCTAGGTATTCCCTGCAAAATGGTGACATCATTGCCTTATTAAGGAGGGCATGCATTTGCACATACATATTCATTACATACAAGTGGTCAAACATGTAGGAAATTGACCAGCTTTCCAACTCCAGAACAAGTATAAAAAGTATAAAATTGCTTGAAAAAGGAGACACACACTGAAAAGACACAACCCACAAGTAAAAGATCCTGCAAGCTGACTGTAGAGATTTAGCCAACTCCACCTAGCTTTCTTCACTCCACCTTCCATAGTCATTACATGCTGGTTTCTCTGTTGAGAGATACTGTTTACTAATCTATTTTACATAGCAGGGTCCTAGGGTTTTAAACTTCCCCTCCAACTGCTTGACTGGCCAAGTACCGCATGCTTCAAGGCATATCCTTCCTTTCTTTTCTATTGGTGACCGATTAAAGTAATACAGTACAGCTGAAAGTGTGTACTCACATATGCTTGTTTAAAAAAAATTCAATTCACATAAAAATGTGGTAGATTTGTACATGCATATGGGCTATCCAGTCCAAATCAGTAGCACTGGCCTAAGGAGATCATATGATGCATAAAAGCAAAACAACTTCAACTCTACAGGTCATACTCAAACATCTGACAAGGCTGGGCCTGTACAGAATACAAACTTCATTTATTTGCTCATTTCAAAGTCGTGAGGCGCCTTAGATAACCAGCTGAGGACTGCATCCATCAAAAATAGCTCTTTTCCCACAACAGTGATTCTAACCCATCCCCAATAATGCTACTTGTTAAAAATACCTGATTGCCTGAAGAAGTTCACCCTTCATGGGTCAACACTGAATAATTTAGGTCATTTATTTTAAATATAACTGATGTAGCTGAGCAGATTCCTTCTCCCCCCCCCCCCCCGTCCACCCTTCAAATACCAAACACTGTGAGGGTGCTTATACTTTATGAGGAAAACACCTCTTTTCATAAGACACTCCAGTTACACTGCATGTTTTCACTGTGAATAACTGATTCATAGCAGAGAAAATGCTAATAACTACTTGCCAAGTACGGTAACACATCAAGTACTGTAAATGCTTATAGTGCTCACCTTTTATATCAGACAAGATCAGTTGTGTGCTTCTGGTATAAAACTAGTATATCATACAGGCAAAGGGAAATGGCTAGATAATAAATGTGTTTGAATTTATTAATCTTACATAAGAGTCCCAATTCAGGAAGGGCAATCCACACACATTAAAAAGGATCCAAGCATGATTTTTTTTATAAAAAAAATATGATAGTCACCCCTTTGGTCAGTGCAGATGGTCAAGTTCAGTTTGGCAGTGCCAATATCTAAGGTAGGGTATGGAGAGACTGAATCCTGGCAATCTAATGTTTTGGCTGCTCCGACATCCAGTCAGTGATCCGCAAACACAGCAGCATGATGCTAATGTAGCAATTGTAGCTATTTATTAAAGAAGTTGTTTCTTACCCTCTCTTCTATTATAGGAAGTGAAAGATCAATGAAAGGTTCCTTTACTGTGGAAATCTTAGAAGAAAGTAAAAAAAGAAATATATCAAAGTGGAGTTTCCATCATGCATTAGAATCTATAAACAATATCTATAAAAAATAAACAAAATTATGTTGTGAACTACCCTGTGATCTTCAGATGAAGGGTGGTAAACAAATTTAATAAATAATAAAAATTAATAATATCTGCCTAATTCAAAAATATTACACACATTAAGGTTTCTTTATGTAGTGAAGAACTTCACAATACTGTTTTAGAAATGAAGTGACTGTGATTTCATTTTGGTTGTGTTGTTGTTGTTTATAAAAAAAGCAAAACGGAAGTATGAACACTGTCAAAATCTAGAGGTAGGCATAGATTTCATTCGCAACAGAACATTTTGTCTTTTAGAACTTACTGTCAATACTATCAGAACATTATTAGAGGCTAAATTTAGGCACAGAAATCTAAACATGTTTAGTTTTTTGCTGTTTTACACCGACTTTAACATGCTCCCCTTTCTCTTAACCACTAGCATCACTTTAGGCTTCAGCAACACAAGAACTCTGGCAATGGGCCTATACTAATAAGCAGAGGCAGCAAAATGCCCCACTTAGAGACTCCACTGGAAACCCACACATTAACATTTAAAGGTGGGTCATGTTTCTTTCAAAGTTGAACTTTGAGAGACACTGATGAAGTCTTTCCAGATACTAGGAGAGGGAGGGGGAAAGAAATATTTTTTCAAGTCCAACTACAACTGTATCAATGTGGTGCCTGCCAGCAGGATTCTAGCCTTGTTTCCTATGGACAGGGAATCTCCATGTCCAAAAAAGCAAGCCAACTTTTGCAGTTCAGGGCACCGGTTTCCAGCGACTAGTCCCTGCCAATGCTGGCAAGGGAATACGAGTCGGAAACTTGTTTACCAGGGCTGTAGATAGCTCATGCCTGACACCAGCATGAGCAGGATTGCAAGGATGAGGCCACAATGATACAGAACAGTTAATCTTTCTGGCACCCCAATCCTAGCCATATGCATGGATCTAGCTGCTTGCAAAGGCTTTGGCTCAATGACATGTTTTCTGACATTTTGCTTATGAAGTATTCAACATGCATCACACTCGGTAATTTCCTGGTACAGCAAGTCTTACGGATGTATTTCCCTCAGTGGTTTTTCCCAGGAGGTATCTTGGGAACAAATGGTTCGCACAGTTGTTGCAAGATGGTAAATCCCACATTTAAGAACAATTTGCCCCCCAGGGACATTCTGATCTACATTGTGAGCAACACTGCCCTCTTTCAAGGTAGCAAATCTGGCTCCAGTATTTCCATTTATGCAACTGTTCAGCATCATCACTATGCCAGTAGACAACATCATGAGTAAACATCTCAGTATGCCACTTCAATGCCACAGACTGCAGGGCTTATTCAGGAATAAATTATTATACTGCTTTTTGATGGTGCAGCATAATAATACTCTAAAACAGGTGTGGCTAACTGTTTTTTACTTGAAAGCTGACCAAATTCACTACTGACCAACCCTTCAGGGTCCACATGCCAGTGATAAGTGTGGCCATTCCACACATAGGATAGGGGCAAACAGCCCCCCCTTCTCAGAAAACCCATGCAGATCAGCTAATTTCAAATGTTTGAGCTAATGACTGAGAAGGTGGAGATTTGGATTCCCATAGGGGTGCTGGGCTCTGCTCACCTCAGAGCTGTCTCTACTGTGAAGTGTGTAGAATTATTTTTTTTGGCCAGAGCTGCAAATTCTGAGGTCTTGAAGAGCAAAGAAACTGGCTTGGGGAGTTGGATCAGGTCCCCAAACTGAGGGTTAGCCAGCCCTGCTCTAGAAAAAGGAGGAGCGTCATGGAATGATTAAAATTGTCCCTTGTTATGCTGGAGTGGAACTGGGTGGTGTGAACAAGTTTGTGGGACAGGGCTAAAGGCTATAGAAAGATTTAAGTCTTTCAATGATGTACTTATTTAGATTGATATTATAAAACAACAAGTCTACTGAAAGTTATAATGGAATTGCCACACTGGGGAATATCTCATATTTGCTAAAATATGAAAGCCAATATATTGTCAGCTGGTAGAACTATATAAGGCTACTGAACAACTGTCTATCTACCTGTCTGTCTGTCTACCTATCACCCAGAGCCAGCCTCAGGGATCAGCATTGTTGGGCAACAACTGAGGCCCATGGCCTAGCGGGGGCCCTCTGCCAATCCCTGGAATCTCTTGGCCCTCTTGTTGCTTCCTATTTAACTGCTCTTGAATCAAAAGGAAAATTAGAGAAGAAAGAAGGACTCGCATACCTTCCCCACCCAACACACACACACGCTTTCTTGAAATTGGTGGAAACAATCCGGAGGGAGGAATGAACAGGTAGTGGAAACAGTAACAAGGAGGTAGGTATGCCCAGTTAGGGAAAAGGGTGCACTGAAAGAATTTTGTCAAAAGACCTCACCACCCAAAAAAAACCCACCCCCATTTATAACTGGCACTACTAACAGCTTCTGGGATATTAGTATTTTCTGTAGATGGTATTTTTAGTTCCATGCTGTGCATGAGGAACTAGCTAAGGAACCCTGAAGAGAATGTATAAGCACACACAAAGACCTATAGGTCTTTGATGATAATGTAACAAACCTGCAGAAGGGCTGAGGAGAACATCTAGTTTTTCTTCAAGCAAGGAAGCAGCTACATGGCAGCTAGAGGGATATGTTATACTTAATGCATAATTAGTTTTTGATCTTACTTTCATTACAGTATTAGAATTCAGATCTCCAACCTAAAATTATCCAGGTGATCAGGGTTGTGTTTTTTTATGAAACTCCCTTCTCTATATGAAAGTGAAATTTAAAGGGTTGCACTTTGAAATAATCTGTTTCTAATATACTATTGCAAGACATTGATAAAACAGACAGTACAGAAGTTAATAAAAAAACACAGTACATTCAAATCATTAAGTGATCTTTTACTTTAACAAATCAAATTCCAGAATACCTACATTTTCACATTCCTCACACATGATAGTGCTAGTCAATTCACCAACAAAGATCCTATCTATGAAGTTCATCTTCACACCCTCTCTTCCATATGCTGCAAAAACATTACCCTTTTTTAAAGGAGGAAACACATACATCCATTCTAAAAACAATTCATTCTAGGATTTTCTTCTTAAAACAATTAGTGCATTGTAAGTAAACATCTGCAATACTATCAACACAGAAACATTTCCATTCATCAGTCCTTAATACAGTTTTGAGAGTGATAAAACATTTAGAATGTATTTCAAACCGAGGGATTAAAATGCAAAATATGACTATACCTATCCATATACTCTTACACAGTGGACATTTTATTATGCTATACAAAGCATCAACAGCACTTCAGAGTGATCCCACTATGTTTTTCCTCCTTGAGTAGTCTGCCTTAAGTATTAAAGAACTAACATTTAAGGCAGACTCCTTTGCGGGGCAGGGAGAGGAACTTTTGGTTTTCGTATTCAAAACAAGACTCCATAGTAACTTGTAATAAGATATCAAAAGCAAATACTTTAACATAAATCGTAATGCTTGTGTTTTAAATTCATAGATAAAAATATATTCCAGCTCATGTTTTTCGTATGTGTGCTTTGATATTTTGACTTATGCAGCTGTTAAGGCAGTCCTGCTGGTTTTGCCTGAACTTGCTTCCCAGTAAATGTGGAATGTGGCCGTATAAGTTTACAGCCTTATATCTCTGTCTTACAGGGTAATTTATGGACAGCTTAATGCCACAGTTTCTAAGTGGTGATTTGCCTTGAACTAGACTTCATAGACTCATCCTCCAAGGGCTGAGAAAAAGGGGAGGGTGTTTTCCATTCCTTACTCCTCTAGCCTTCCCCAAATTGAATCCTCAACTTAATTAGAATATGTATACTTGAGTAGCGGGCAGTGAGCAGGACTTCCTGACCCACTTAAAATTCTAGCTTTTCTGTATATTTTTTTTACAGAGGGCTAAAGACAGAAGACAACCTAGCTATGTGAATCATAGCTAGATCAGAGAATCAGGTTACAAGTGTAGAACAAAATGATCAATGGGAGTGTTTTGCATGCGCACTAGATGGCACCAGAATAATAGGCACAAGCCCTGAAAAAGCCACACGGAACCTCCAGTGTGATTCATTTGAATGAAATTATATATTCATGAATAAAATATTTCATAGTCAATTCATTTGCAAAAGCAAACTCAAACCAGACTCTGTGCAAGTTAACACAATGGCACATTTGCTAAATACCTTTGACTTTCCTTTTTGTCTCTTCGTCTGCAGTTTTAGTTGTTGGATTATTGAATGCTTTTAAGATTGCAGCTTGTATGCGCTGTAAGAAACATTCAGCACATATTTTGTCAAAAATTCAAACTTGCAAGGACAGTGAAATATATTAAACGGAACAAACAACAACAAATAAGAAGAACACTTGACAGTACTGTCAAAAATATGTAGCCTCTTACATTTTATACATTGCTAGTAAATTTGAAACTTAAATTGTTAATATTAAAGGTATCTATCAGCTGCCCCACTTCAAAGATAACTATGTTTCTTCAGGCAAGTAGCAAACTGATTACACAATTGTAGAATGATTATCTTTTTCCCTCTCTAAAAAAGCCATGGAAGAAACCCTGACATGCCAAATAGAAGACAACAAAATTGCCGCCCTAATTTAACTGTTTTAATGGAAAAAATGCAGCTGTATTTACTGAGCCAGCTTTCTAACATACAGGACAATGACAAAAGTAATTAAAGTCAACCTGGTATCTTGGTGATGGGGTATTTGTTACAGGGCTCAGAACCTGTGGCTCACCAGATGTTGTTGACCTACAACTCTCATCATTCCTGACCACTGGCCATGCTGGCTGGTAGCAAAGGGAGTTGTAGTTCAGCAGCAGCTGGAGGGCTACCAGTTCCCTGCGCCTGACATAGAATCTATAAAAAAAATACTGGTATGGTATAATGGCTAAGAGTGTGAACCAAAGTGCCCAGTTTGCTTTTGCCTCAATGTATATGAATATATTTAACATGTTTCAGCTTTCTCTCTATATAAACAACAGAAACAGCAGAGAGACAAGGCAATCAGAATTGGGCCTGTGTTGCATGCGGGACAGAGATTAGCTCTTTTCCCCACCGTGGTCCAGATTGAAATAAAATACACAGACACACACTGAACCTCCTTTAAGCCCTGCCAGGGAAGATTCCATCGGAGTCAATGGAAACTTTATTGCTAGGACTTATAATGACTTCAGGGGGATACAATTTCCACTGGGACTACTGGGGAGGGAGTGGAAAGGTTAACTCCTTCTCCCCATACATCATGGTTCCAATCCTTAGGGATGCCCCCCTAACACAATTAACAATTGTGTTAGGAAGAGTGAGGCCACACACACAACTGAACTTCTGAAAATAGAAAATGTTAAGTATTAAATAAAGCCATAATGTTGGGGGGGGGGGCGTTATAGCTAAAACATATATGAACATGGCATTCAATGAAAATCTAATTATATAGTCCACATGTAGCCAAACATTTAAGAACATTAAGTATCTTCCAACTAAGTCATGTTTTACTATGCAGTGGCATTCTAGATATGGGCCTTTCTAAACTCATTCCTCACATGTGCTGATAAGATGTGTCAGTATCAACATCAGAAAAGAAGAGGGAAAAAATACAATTGTATTTCTAACTTAGAAATGATGTACTTGCTCCACTTATACACCTTAACAGAGAAGTACCATGATAAATGTATTTTGAAATATTAACTACATCACTAGTGAACCAAGTAACAGCTTCTACTTCACGAGTATCTGACCTGGCTAGTGTATTAACTCCCAGTGCCTCAAGCTCTTTGTTCATCTTAAATCCAACAATATACTAAAGAGGGCTAATCAATAAATAACTCAGCAAGTTGGATACCATAAATGGGTTTAAGGCCATAAGCTACTCCCTTTTTGTTGGGATGAGTGCGTTGAACCATTTATTTAGGTCAAAGAAAACATAGTCTTTGAAGGGTTTGGGTGCAACTAACAATGGCATCAGACATTAATCAATTAGCAGCAGGGTTCAAATACTTCAAGCCCTGGTGTGAAGCATCTCCCAGTGCTGGAAAAAAAACCAGACAACATGCAATTTTGACTGTGGTATTGACTATTTCCATTTGCTGTGCCGTTTTCAAAAAAGGCTCACTTGCATACATTAATGTAATTTAGAAGGATGCAAATACAAAGAACACCAAGTGTTTGGGAATAAGGAAGCATTCTGAGTCCACAAATGAGATTATCAGCATGAATGAAAATTTGAAAGCACTTTAACAGGAAACAAAATGCAGGATCGACAAGCAATAGAGACTCCCTGCACTTAAAAAAAAAAGTTGTCATAAATTTTAGTTTAAAATAGTCTTTATATTATTGTATTTTAAAGGATCAGAAGATTTTTTATTTAAAAAAATAAAGATCAGATTTTTAAAAAATTATATTTTAATTTATGCAGAATAGATGGTTCAGAAATAAAAGTTTAATATGGGGAAAGTGAAAAACGTGGCTGTTTGGCAATTTAGGAAGACTGGTCTAAACTTTTACACTCAGAGTAAATACATTTAAGAGCAGCGTGAAAAACAGGAAGTTTTAAAGGATTCTGGTGGCAGACAGATTGCTCTAGGCATCCCTTCAAATAAAAAACAAAACACATGGTAGTGACACTCTCTAACAATAGCACGATTAACAGCTGTGGGGTTCCCATGACAGACAATGTTGCTCATGTTTTGTTTCAGACTGGCACAACTGTCACGGCTCACAAGATTGACCAGATCCACAAATCTGACATTTTCAGTTTGTCACACATCTATAAAATCGAAAAGGGAGAAGGGGGGGAAATCCCAAGAGCTTTTACTAGTAATGTCCCTTGCTGTGATGCCTGAGGTGATAAATTCCCAGTTCATACTATTCCACCATTATGGCAAAACATGGGTTTAATTGTTATCAGGGGTGGGATCAAGCTTTGTTTGTCCGTAAGTGGAAATGGGACTAGGAAACAACTTCTACGCAGCTTTTCTTTTTCTGGTTTAAGTAAGACTAGAATGCATAATTATTGGCAAGGTAATGAAATAAACAAATAACTTTTAAGGTCCAGCAAAGGGTGTGTGCTAATTTTGGTTTATTTATTCTAACATAGTATTGGCCAACATTCTATTATAGGCAAGCGTTTTCTTGCTATAAAATTTTGCACAAAGCGATCAAGTGTTTCAAGCTATCAGCTGTGAAAATTAATATCTAATTAATACCTAAACAGGAAAAAATTCCCCCATTTCTACTTTTGGTTCTAAACTAAAGCATCAGCATGTCTGAAGTGCTCACGCAACAATCTCAATATTTCCCCTCTATGTGTAACCTATAACGTTATTAGCTAATTAAGCATTAGGGATACTTTTATACTCCAACACCCTAATAGTGTACATGCAAAACCAAAGCATATTGTAAGCAACCTTGTCCACCATACACAAAGAGCATTTCAATAAAAGCAAAACATGTTGTGTGATGATGACACAGCTGGACTGTGTGACACAGGACTATGTGCACCCCATTACATTGCTTTATTTTCCAGCTGAACAAGTTAGAGGGAGATCCCAGGACAAAGAAAGCAGTTTCCACATTGACTCATGCCATGTAAGATTTTCTCGTCCTTATTTACACTGTACAGTGACATCTAAGACTTGTGGCTTCAAACCAAGGATTCCACAAGCTATGGCAAACAACCTGGTGAGTAGCCAGACCTTACTGAAGCTAAGGAGGTGTAAAATTACTGGGAGCGTTATGTTAAATTGCCCTCAGATTACTAAACAAAGGAAGACATGAATACAACTAAATAGGAACAAAAAGGAACAAAAACAGACACATATTTGCTACTATTGCACAGATGTGTTAACTTTGCTGAGCCTGGAGTCCAGGGGTCCTCTCCATGCAGTAATATCTTTAATATAGACTCATAGAATTGCAGAGATGGAGGGGACCGCACGGATCATCTCATTCAACACCCTGCAATGCAGGAATCTTTTGCCCAACGTGGGGCTTGAACCCAGATTAAGAGTCTATTCTGCTTGTCTCAACTACCACATCAGAGCACCAAAAAATAGTTGAAATGTAAATTTAAATCTACTGCCTACTTATTGATTTACAAACATATCACCTTTGTCTCTTCTATTCTCATTGCATCCAGCAAATAGTGGAGAACTTCTTGGCTGTCCTGCTGTTGAAATCCCTTAAAGCGAGGAGCCCTGCAAAACGGGAGAGAAGAAATGAGTACGTCTCTAGCAGATGAGTTTTCAGATTCAATAATAAAATCATACGTTTTCTAAATAAGGTAATTTATATACAAAAGTGTGCTTGCTAAGGAAGCAAAAGAAAACCATGGCCAAAAAGAGAAAACCACAGCAAGAAACAGGAATATATAAAGGCGAAAGGGAGGTGGAAAGCATATGAGCTTTGCTTACTTTTCAAAAAGATTTCAATATGAGACATAGCTGAGAGGCAACAAAACTCAAAACTGTAGGGGCAAATTTGAGAAAAGAAACAACCTTATCACAGTGGTGTCAAGTTTCTCCTATACAAGTAAATGGCTGCCATTTGCTCCTATGACAAAAAATAAAGGCTGGAATCATGGCCAAAACCACCAACCCACCACCTCTGAGATCAAATGGCTGATCTAAAATCTGCAGAGATGTTCACAAATTAATCCAGGCAGCCAATTTTCAGAAGGACAGTCCACAGGGCATTACGATTTTAGAATAAATGCTGGAAATTTACAGACCTTCACCCTGAACACATACTGACATGGTTTTTTTTAGTTCCAGTAAAAAATATTTATTTTTTTTAAAGCAATTTATTGGGTTTTACAATAAGAATAAATGTAATAAACAATATAGCATTCGTCTTAACATAATTTCACATTTTCTTTGGACTTCCTCACGTCTCCCGCTCCCACCTTCATCATTATAACATTTTGTCAGCAATTTATCATCTTATTTAAATTCTTATATCTCTTCGATATTTCATAATCTTAGAGTTCTCATAAAGAGTTAAACTTTCACAATTTTTCTTGTTTCCTTAAAAAGTTTCTAAGTTAAGTGGTGCTCAGTTATTTAGTCCAGCATCTTATTCAGCATTCAATCAAATCACAATGTTTTTGTAGGTAGTTCTTAAATTTCTTCCAATCCTCCTCGATTCTCTCTTCTCCCAGGTCACGGATTCTGCCAGTCATTTCAGCCAGTTGCATATAGTCTATCAGTTGCATCTGCCATTCTTCCAGTGTGGGTAGATCTTGGGTTTTCCAATGTTTTGCGAGTAGTATCCTTGCTGCTGTTGTTGCATACATAAAAAATGTCTGGTCCTTCTTTGCCACCCCTTGGCTGACAATACCCAAAAGGAAAGCCTCTGGTTTCTTAGTGAAAGTATATTTAAATACCTTTTTCAATTCATTATAAATCATTTCCCAGAACGCCTTCACTTTAGGGCATGTCCACCAGAGGTGAAAGAACGTTCCTTCACACTCTTTGCATTTCCAGCACTTGTTATCAGACAGGTGGTAAATTTTTGCGAGTTTGACTGGGGTCACCAGTAAAAAATATTTAAAGGTACTTGAGTTTTGGTATATTGAGGGTTATACAGCAACTATTATAAAGTATATGAAGGCTAATCTTAAAAGTCCTACAATATGTAGAAGAGCAGGTAGCTTGCTTCTTTGCTGAAAGAGCAGCAGAGTATTGTCACATTAGTGCAGCGCACTACCAGTTGTCTTAGGTGCACAGTGCCGGGTGCTTAATGAAAATTAAGAATAGGTTTTAGCTCACCATTACCAGCATTGTTCCTATAAAAACATTTAACTTTCCATAAAAAGACTGTGGCCCTGTTCACACATAATAGTAAAATATAGTTGATGGTTTATAATAATCACACGTGAGTGGGCTCTTTCATTCTTTCCTGCTTGCGCTAGGGAGAAGCCATGCAAAGCCAGGCTTTCCTGGTAATCAAACTGGACGTACTGATCATAGTTTGTTAAAACAAACCATGATCCCTGGTTCAGACATAACACAAAGGGAGGGATCAAATTCCCCACTGCCTGCTCCCCCCTCCCCCCCAGCAAATATACAGCGTCCTCTTAGGTGCATTCACAATAAATTGTTAACTGTGGTCTGTCCAAGCAAGACTGCAGAATGCAAATGTGATAGATACATGTATAAGGCTTATAAATAGTGATTAGCCATGGCAAGTAAGTACTGTATTGTCTCAAGGTGAAGAGGCCAGAAAGCATTACAGAAGTTTGATCTTTATTTATTTTAGACCTAAACACAGATCAGCTACAGACTTTGGTGGACTGATTTCTTAAACTGAAATATTATATTCAGAGTCTGGTCAGTTTCAAAACAAACAGTAATTCTTACTGCAGAATACTATACATTCTTATCTAAGCTGCCCCTGAAAGGCACTATCTCATGGGAAACTGAAACTTGTTTGTAAATACCAGTAAATGTCAAAGCCATTACTTATTTGCGTAGAGAAGTAGAATGGGACACATGCACAACGCCTGTCCCCTCCTCTTGATATACAATCCAGAGTATAATTGACAGAACACAGCTTATGGTGATATTTAATAAAACTTGAAGTCATGGGGAAAGAAAGAATTTCCTGCTTTGGCCTGTTCCACCTTTTAATAAAATTAGAAGAACTGATTCCAATTTTTGTTTTAGCCTAAGGAGAGATGTTCTGAACAGTAGGAGCAGCAGAAGAATTTTCAGTGTATGTCAGCAACTTGTCCTGTATACAGTAATTTCATTTGTCATTTGCCCAACCAAGGCCTTTTCTGTCAAGGTCTTATACAATTGTACCAGTTAGTGAATACAAGAAGAAAAATGTTAGAGCTAGCCCAAAATTTCTCATAAAGTATTTCTTTCTGAAGTTTTCCCTTTTTCTCACCTACAGTTGAAAAAGAGGACACCTTGCAGAACATTTTCTGAATCTTCTCTGCCATTTATTGTGACACAAGCCATCAACACACTTTCTACTGGATCTACTTACATTTTTCTCTAAAAAAACCTCAGTTTCACTCTGCCCCCCACCCCACCCCCCGGCCATTTTATTCACAACAAGTACTTGTGAAGTAAGCTAGGGCAGGCTGAGAGATGAAGGCTGGCCCAAGGTCACATACTATAAAGGTGTAATCAGCACACTTTTCAATATAAAACAACAAAAGTACAGCAGTTTAAAAATAAGACATTTTGTGGTTAAGCCAGTTGCTTAAGGCCTATGAGCAATAAATATTAACGTCTATTAACATACAATACTGCACTAAAATTCTTAGTGAGAAATGGAAAGATTTCTACAGGAAACCTTTGTCAAAAAAGCTAAAGAAAGAAGAGTGGGGAAGAGTGCGTAGGAAAGGGGAAATAGAAAAGCTCTAATCAGCATTGATATGTTCAGATTTGACAACTAAAAGATGTGCATTCTTGTCTCCTTGAAAATATGCTCCAAGCAAGATCCTTGGCAAAAGTGGAGGACTCTAAGATGGTTGGTTGAACTGACCGTTCACAGATGTGCTAACATATGGAAGCCAGTGTCAATGCGCTACAACCTGTTGTACAGTGTCAGCAGTATAAATGACAGAACAGGTTGAATTCCTGTTAATGGCCATAAGTAGTGAAGGACAACTGTGACAGCTATGTCATGGCAACTCAAGTCTACCATCGCAGTGCTCAACATGGTACAAAACAGAACTGTTTTGAATAACACCTAAATATTTAGCCAGTACTTAGATATAGCATCTATTCATTTTAAGTGAAGGAGAATTTATTTTAGGTAAAACTTTCATGATTCGATTGTCAGTACATTTAAACAAAATATGCACTGTTAATTATCAACTCCAAGGAAAAAATTAAATGTCAAGACTGCCACCCTGGACTCCTTCAGGGAGGAAGAGCAGGATATAAACTAAACAAACATTTCACTGCATCAACCAAGTATCATGATGGTAGGCATAGAAACAGGTAAACAGAAAAAGAACCAGAATACTCTGATCTGCAAAACAAGAAACAATGTTTTTCTTCATCAAACAAATAGCTTGAAAACTTAATGGTGTAACTTAAGAATGGGTGGGAAAGTTTTGATAAATATTTTTATGGACAATAATACTGTAGTGATATCAATATCAAAGGTTTATCACAAGAAATACAGTATGTCACAAGAAATACAGTATGTCACCAGTATGCCAGGTTCGAGTTAGTAGTGAATTTAAAAAGCTTAGAATTTAAAAATATTTAAAGTCACAACGATCTTAGATTACTTTTTGACCCTCACTTGCAGAGCCCCTTCCAAAGTGCTCCGCGAGACAGCACTTTGAAATGGGCTTAGTGAGACCCAAAAATAAGCCCCTTCCAAAGTGCTTTGCATAGGGCAAGGAGCCTCCGGCCATTGGACTTAATCGGGTCTGCCAGGTCTCCCCATGTGGTCCATGAGGCTGTTTCAGACAAGCCACAACCACATGGAGAAGGTAGAAGACCAGTTCAGCCAAAAAAGGGTTTGCAAGCACTGCCAATGAGCTGATCTGTGGTGCCTGCAAAGCGCTTTGAAAGGGGCTTAGCAAGACTCTTGTCTGAAAGGTGCTGTGCAAGTGCAGGGCAAAAAAGTCACCTGATGTCATTGTGATATTAAGTAACTGAGTTTAAAACTTGGCCCCAGGAGAGCCAAGGGAGATAACTATCCACCATACCCCCAAGATTGGACAGTAGGTACCACTAATCAGCTGTTCAGAAGGGCCAGCAAACTCTCTTTTGCCTGAGCCAGATTTTTACCTGCCACACATGTGATGTCATATATGATGTACGGTGTAGGGAAGATGAGTGTGGCTTGGATGAAGTGGCCTTGTGGACCAAACAGGGAGGCCTGGCAAACCTAATCAGACCCACGGGTCAAAAGTTTCCTATTCCAAATTTATGGGAAGAAAAACAAATGGTGTGTTAGGTAATGACAATGAAGAAACATTTACATAGGGTAGGATAGATTTTGAAACTCCTTTGAATCTTTGATAGCCTTCTTGGATTGAAAGAGTAGTTTAACTACAAACATTAAAACATGCTTAAGAATTTTCTTTTTAAAAGTGTAGATATTTTAGAAACTTAAAAGTAGTTGTATACTAACAGCACCTCACCCTACATAATTGTAGAGAGGCAGGATAACAGAATTCTAAAAATAGGAAATTATCCTGTTCCTATTAATTGTAAATTTAAAATTAATGGAGAAGGAGGGGGCAGGGGAGAAATGCCTCCCATTCATTTATTTAGCTCTGGATACCAGAAAATGGTACCCATTGGCCCCACTTCATCCTTGGACACTTCCCTTGGTTTCTGTCAAGGCCCTCTGTCCAGCAAAATAACAGTTTTATAAAAGGTGCATCTAACGGTGGAATTCCAGAATGTTTGCTCAAAAGTCTCATTGAATTCAGCAGAGCTTGCTTCACAGATCTTAAGCCACAGATTTAAGGCTGCAATCCTAAATGTATGTAACTAGGAAGTAAGCGCCATTTAAAACAGTGGCACCTATTTCCAAGTAAACATAGTGGAGAGTCTCAGGCCCAAGAGCTAAATGAAACTCTTCAGATCTCGATTTACTTCTCAGTGCTCTCCCTAAGCCACACCTCTCTCTGGCCCTGTTCCCATGCCTTTCCTGAGTGCTCTGCCCACATACATTGTTCTACCCACTTGACCTGTGGAACCACCCACCACTAGAATGCAGTCCATAGAAGGTTCTTTGTGAAGGAGCATGGCCTTGAGGCTGAAAATTGTATATATGATTTACAGATGTATAGGATTGTGTAGCTGATGCCTTAAAAACTATCTACAGCAAAAAGAAGTGACACATATACTAAGTGGTGGTGTTTTTCAATCTGAGCCATCTGTGGTTATCCAGAAAAAGAACCAAGATGAGACAAGTTCCTCTTTTGCCCACTATGTGACCTTCTCTTTTTCTTACAAACTACTGGCTTTTCTAAGCTCCAAATTACAAGACACCATAATTATTGCTACATTATTGCTAATAAAGAAAACGTTACCCAGCAATGCTAAAGCACAAGTTTGGGTTTTTTAAAAACGCCACTAACTGCATTTTTTTGAGCACACCAAGCAGAAACAAAGCTCCACCTTCCAATTCAGCTGAAAATCTACTCAATAGCAAGGAGTACTGCCATAATACCTGGCTTCACAATTTCTTCCACTGATAAAATTACCCAGCCGTAACAAATAAAAGAATTATTTATGTCCTCTTAGTACATAAATGTTGTGTGAGCCACTAAGTCTCTAGATAAGTCAAAAGTCTGCATCCCTAATATTCAGAATAGTGGAAAACAAACAGAAGGGCCCTGTAGCTATGCACACAATCTGTCTTAGCAAAACGTCTGACAGCTGCAACACTAACAAAATTAACAGTGGATGAATTAGTACCAGACGCAGAACAGTTGCTATAGAAAGAATCATCAATTTCTTTCTTTTTTCCTCAATAACCTAACAGTTAAGAGGGAAAAACTCATATAAAAATCATTGCCGTTTTATTTCAAACATGATACGCCATAATAAATTTCTACTGATCTAAAGAAAAAGGATTATGTTAGGCAAAGTATTTCAAATTTAACGTGTGAGTGCCATGCATGTGAAACATGCTACCAACGTGAAGTTGCTCTTACTTTTGACAGAGCTGGCTGAAAAGAACTTTGGGAGAAAGAGGCCCTTTTCCAGTTTCTTTCATGCTGTGAAGGAACAGGAACATAGCTGAAGTCAGTGGCCCAGGACTTGAAAGGTTCACGACCAAAGGTTCCTTTAGGATCAAAATAAATATCAGATGTTAATTCACAGTATTTCCTCTTAATTTATAAATGTAAACTAAACAGTTGATGAAACAGCTAATTAAATTTAGGAAAAGGTGGGAACCCTAAAACTCTCAAGGTTGGCACTTCATGTGTAAAGAAAAACAATTTGTATAATCCTATATTTAAAATTAATTTAAATTAATTAATTAATTTAAGATTTAAATTAATTAATTAAGATTGCTGGAAGAAATATCAACAACCTCAGGTATGCAGATGACACAACCTTGATGGCAGAAAGTGAGGAGGAATTAGAAAACCTTTTATTGAGGGTGAAAGAGGAGAGCGCAAAATATGGTCTGAAGCTCAACATCAAAAAAAGAAGATCATGGCCACTGGTCCCATCACCTCCTGGCAAATAGAAGGGGAAGAAATGGAGGCAGTGAGAGATTTTACTTTCTTGGGCTCCATGATCACTGCAGATGGTGACGGCAGCCACGAAATTAAGAGACACCTGCTTCTTGAGAGGAAAGCAATGACAAACCTAGACAGCATTTTAAAAAGTAGAGATATCACCTTGCCAACAAAGGTCCGTATAGTAAAAGCTATGGTTTTCCCAGTAGTGATGTATGGAAGTGAAAGCTGGACCATAAAGAAGGCTGATTGCCGAAGAATTGATGCTTTTGAATTATGGTGCTGGAGGAGATTCTTGAGAGTCCCATGGACTGCAAGAAGATCAAACGTATCCATTCTTAAGGAAATTAGCCCTGAGTGCTCACTGGAAGGACAGATTGTGAAGCTGAGGCTCCAATACTTTGGCCACCTCATGAGAAGAGAAGACTCCCTGGAAAAGACCCTGATGTTGGGAAAGATGGAGGGCACAAGGAGAAGGGGACGACAGAGGACGAGATGGTTGGATAGTGTCTTCGAAGTTACCAACATGAGTCTGACCAAACTGCGGGAGGCAGTGGAAGACAGAAGTGCCTGGTGTGCTCTGGTCCATGGGGTCACGAAGAGTCGGACACGACTAAACGACTAAACAACAATATTTAAAATATAGCATTTTGTTTGAGGACAGTCTACTTGGTGAGCATTTTGAACAAGCAAACAAAGAACAAAGCAAGATTTAACATGCCTTGCCATTTATCAACATAAGGAAGTGCAATATATAGACTAAAACACATTTTACAAGGATAATATTTTTTTTAAGTCAAGTGTGATTTTTAATTTTGTTTTAGAGCTGAGCATGAAAAAGACATATGTGGGTTGAAATGTTATTTGGAGACAAAATTGGACATCAGTTTCTCCTTAAAACAGTGGTTTTCAACCAGTGTGCCGTGGCACCCTGGGGTGCCCTGAAGGATGGTCAGGGGTGCCGCAGGCAACACTGGCCTCTGTCCCTCTTTCCTTTTGATGCCCTCTTGCGTCTCTGCCTCCTAAAGGCTTGCACAGCTGTTTGTTGCAGCAGTCCTGGCTACAAGTTCCCCAGGTGAATGGCGCCTCTGGTGCTGGCCAGGGGGTGCTGGTTGCCAGGAGCTGCAAGCAGGAGCCCAGTCAGTCGGCCCTTGCTGTAGGGAATGGACAAGTGGGAGGTCAGGCAGGCAAGCAGGAACCGCACTTTCTTGTGCTTGCTGTGTGCAAAGCCTGCCTGGGAGCTGAGTGCCCAGTGCTGAAGTGGAGCCTTTACACCCGGCAGCACCCGCTGCTGCCACCCAAGGTAAGGTGCTGGCCTCACATTCTTCACCTTTGGCTAGCCTCCATTGGACCACTGAGGCTGGAGACATCCTCTTCCCAGGCCACTGTGGGGCAGTGTGAGGAGGCATCTCTCTTTGGGACGGGGGGGGAGGGCAGCTCAGAGAGCAGGGTGGCAGAGGAGTGGGGAGAGGAGAGGAGGTTTGAAAAAGGTGAGAGGCTGCCAGCTATGCATACAAGGGGTGACATAACTGGGCTCTTGAGCCCCACAGGGGCTCCACATTAAGAATGTAGTTGGTCAAGGGAGCCTTGGACTCAAAAAGGTTGAAAACCTCTGCTTTAAGAAATAAGAACACTGCTGAATCTCAAGGTCCATCTAGTCTCACATCCTGTTCCAACAGTGACCAGACGACTACAGGAAGCTGGAAAGCAAAACTCAAGTCACACTTCTCTTTTAATTTAGCAGAACATCACCCCAGTCACTAATTTTATAGAAGAATATGTCTAAAAACTAAAGTAGAGGCAGATATCGTGATCACTGAATAAATATTAAATTGGTCAAGAATATATTCACCACTATCATTTTTCAATGTCCAGTCAATGCCATTCCCAAAGGAGGGTCCTCTGAATATTTCACACAAAGCATTTCTCACTAAATGCTTACCAGTTGAGATGCAGGACTCTGACCAATTTTAAGCTTTGTCCCCTTTTCTTTAACTTCACACATTAGTTCATTTAACAAGTGTGTCTGTGCCATGTTCTAAAGAAAAAAGGAAGGAAAAGGTTATAGATGACATTTAATTGTTAACTGGACTACTCTAACAAATTATTATTGAAAGTGAATTTATACTGTGGCAAGCATAATTCTCCTTAATGGCAGTAGTATAATCACAGTCCAAAGAGCTCCTTCAGAACATATGTCCAGCGAGGCTTCTGACCATTTCTTTAATGTGCAGCTGCCTATGCCACATCAAAAACTGCTTTCGAAATTCCCTCAAGTTTCAAATTCTGCAAACTGCCATTTTAAAAATACATACTTCAAATTCTAACTGGTCACACAGTTAGCAGCAACAAAACTGCTTCTACACTAGCTGCTCAGTTCAAAATTATCATAGTTTTTTCACTCAACAAATAGATCAGCTAGATGACATCTTTAGATCAATGTTTCTCCTTATTCTTCCTCTGTTCCATTTAGGAGCTCATTTATTTTGACTTTTTTAAAATAATAAAAAAAGAGCAGCACAACTCCAGCAATAGTAGATCACCTTTGTGCTACAGTTTAATTAAAGCTGGTCCTTGCACTTCTCCTTATCTCCCACTACCCCTTGAAATGCAGCTACTACAAGAATAAAGGTACTGATATATTGCTAAGTAATATAAAATAATTGAAAATGTAGCCTAGCATCAGGTGAAAGTTCAGAAAACAGGATGGAGCTGTCCTAGGTAGCCAGTGCAGCAGAAGAAGGCTAACAGGGAAATTCATTGCTAGATTTTTATCAGCATATTTCAGAACCCAAGACAAAAATAAGTGCAACCTGCAGCCTTAATGAAATACATAGGTGTACTTCAGAATACGGTGGTGCATCTTAATTCTTACCTGCATGACAGCATTAAAGAAGCATGTGTTCCCTAGGTTATTAATGCCTTTAACCGGAACTGATGCCCAACTAGAGCTGATGCCTTTGCCCTTTAATATGTCACTTGCTTCATTGTTTTCTCCATGTAACCATATAATTTTTGATGATGAACCTTTAATAGAAAAGAAATAGCAGTAACAACTATGGGTAGAAAGTCACTGTGTGCTTATGAAACTGATATAAAAGACAAAGCAGTGAAGACTTATCCACAGATGCTTGATCAGTACAACCTAATTAGAATAACACCAAGTTCCTTAAGGTAAATGAACACACTTTTTTTGAGTTTGGGATCAGCTATCACATGTGCTGAATACCATGTTTGTACTCTTGACATAGGAAGGTTTGCTAGTCAGAATCTTATTGTCCTGTCATATTAGCTGTCCTCAAACTCATAAAAGTGTGTAAGCAAAATGTTCAAACTACAGGCAATATCTGAACTTTCAATATCTGAGCATTGCAGAGAGTTGACTATATGTCCCTTGGGTTCCCTTCCAACTCATGCTTCTATGAACTACATGTTTAAGGGAATTTCTGACTCCCTTTTCTTAAACAGAAGTCTAAGATTTTCCCCAAAGGACCAGATTAGAGATACACCTTAACTGTGTTTTAATCTTTGATGTAATTTTGCTGTTATATTTTGTGGTACACCTACTGGGCTTTGCTGGAGCAATGTGATAGATAGATAGATAGATAGATAGATAGATAGATATCAATTTTGAAAGCAGCTTAGGGTATGGGTAAGGAATCATCCGTTAAAAGAAAAAAACAAAATTTGGCGGGGCTAGCACATGCACCTTGAACAAGCCTAAAACAGGTATTTATAATGGTAAAACCGTCATGTGTGAAGTGGCTCTCAGCCTTTATCCCAAACCAGCCACACATTTAGGTGTTCTCTGCTATGAGGGCTATACTTATATGTAACTATATATCTAAATGACGGTTGTATATAGGTGTTGGCAGATCATATGATTAAAAAGGCTATAAAAATATAAAAGCTATACCAGACTCATACATGTAGGGCAATTTCTGTGTCTTGCAATACTTCATATATTTTTTCAAGTACATAGTAACATGCACTGTGTACATGACTCCAATGTTCAAGATGTGTAAGACACATGGTATCTATGGCCCAAAGAATTATGGATAGCAGATCATATATATATGGCCACTGATTCAAAGGGCAGCAACAATGCTGTTCTATTAGCAAAGGCATTTGAGGCTGAAAAACTATTATCCCACAAGGCGTGCTACGCTAACTTGAGACTTTGGGGTGGGGAGGATGATGTATATACCCAAGCATAACCCCAGTTTTCAACCCCTTAAAGTAAGAGAACCCTTAAACATTAAAACATAAATACACAGTTCAGAGAACAGCATTACTTTCTGAAATAATCCTGAATATTCTGGGTTGGACAAATGAAAAGTTAGTTATCAGTGGAGCCAAACATTCATGACTTAGTATCATGTTGTTGGTCATCATGGTCATTTCAACCATCAATATGAAGAAATATACATCCTATCCATACTATACAGAATGCACAAAGATACACCATTAAAAGACAATGTTAGCCAATTTATACATACGTATATATTTTAAAATGCAAACCAAAATATTTAAGTTTCTTTATTTCATTGACAATCAGGTCACTACAGTCCACCATATTATCCTTGATGAACATTCTTCTCAGTTTTTAGTCATGACTTAAGTCCTATTGATTTAAATGGGAACCAAGTGCAAGTAACAGTCTACAGTCTACAAACTTCCATTATTTCCCTTAATATATCCAAGAATCACACAACACTCCCCTCACAGCCTCTGTTGACTATTATACTATGTCTGAAGGGCCTTTCATGGAACTTATAAAATGCAGAGTATATGCCAGCTGCTAGAAAGTCTAGTTCATAAATATTCCTGTGGTGGCAGAATTGAGAATCGTGCAGCACAATTCAACACATTCCACTCAGACATTAGTCCCATTAAGTTAATTCTGACTTACTTCCAGGCAAGTATGTATCGGATTGTAGCCTTAGCATCCTGCCCATCAGGAGAGCAAGAGCTCAAATAAGTTTGCAGCAGATCTTCAACAACTGGATGGATATCATATTTTCCCTATAACATACTTGCACTGTTCTCTGCCCACCACAGTTCACCATGTGACACAGACTTGTTAATTTAGAACAAGATGAAGCGACTGCTTGCTATTTGCCTTAAACCTTTAAAATCCAATATATTTAAACAAACTGTAATATAATGTGCTACCAGTACGGTGTCCTTGTATTTCCCTATTTGCCTTATTGCTTAAATATATATGGGGCAGTGAAGTTAGACAGCCATTAACTTGTAGCCTAGAGGTAATAAGAATACTTGAGACACAGTATTTAGCCTAGATTTCTACTAGCAACTTTCATACTGTCATGGCTGCTGTACTAAATATGAACATTACTGACATCTGCAGCATTTCAAGTATTGATTAACAATGCATGTCAATGTGAACAAGTTATGGACTTAATGGATGCCAAGAGCTGCAGTGCTGCAATCTACATTTTGACATATGAATTCATATATTTGCCCTAATGAGTTACATACTGAGGACTCATTAAGTGTTCTTGAGAAATAACTAAACAGACCTATTTACATTAATAGAACTCTCATACTGAAATATTTCTCTATGCATTACCCTTAGATACTTACATCCTCTGTCGGAAAATAGAGAGGTGGTTGGGGAGGGTGGGGGAGGGACTATAATTAAATAATGAAAGAAACCAAATATGATTAAATATTCCTATTATAGCTGACATAAGATGGCTGAACTGATTTCCCTGCCTTCCAGTCAAAGCACATTTTTTTGGAAATTATGCCTGGGTTTGTAAAAGATGCAATTTCATTTTTGACACCACCCCCACTGCCTGATGCTCATAATGAGGCAGTTCATATAGAATACACCCAAGTTCACTGATAGAGGCCAGTAAAAAGCAAACAAGACATGCCAGGAGATTCAGGAGCTGCTTTACTGAGCTAGTTCTCTTTGTATAAGTGTGTGTGTGTGTGTGTGTGTGTGTGAGAGAGAGAGAGAGAGAGAGAGAGAGAGAAAGATATATGAATCAACTGCATATTCAATATATTAGTGGAAACATACTTGTGCTGCTCTTCCTACAACTGTGTGTGCTGTTTTCTGCATGGATCAGCTGTGTGATTAAGTTCCCCATAAGGAACTTGGTGATGCAGCCGATCCTGCTGTGTCTCTAAGATCAGAAACCTGAGAGGTGCATTCTCCAAATGGTGCACCCATAAAAACCTCATTCACAATGCAAGTCTCTAAAATCTCCAGTGGCATAAAACTTATACAATACGTTTATTAATATATCTCACCTAAACAGAGCTCAACAGAGTACACATGGCTCCCCGCCCCCACCCCTGGCAAATGTTATCCTCACAACAATTATGTGAAAGAAAGTTAGGCTGGAAGATAAACCCACTGAGCTTTATCACTAACCAGAGATTTGAACCCTGGATGTGTTTGTCTAAACCCAGCATCTTTTTACTACCTTATACTGGCTCTTTTCTTTTAAAAGTAAATTAAAGTAGAAAGAATTTTTGCCAAAGTAAAAAAAAAATACATAAACATACTGGTTACTTTTTATTTTAAAAAAGTCAAAATGGTGTACATAATCTGAATATTGGACTACCACAGTTGTTTCATTTATCCATCGGCATTCAACAACATCTGGGACAACATCTTAAAGTAAACAATGCTCACAAGGCCATCTGGACAAAACTGCAGGCAAAAATTAGAGCAGAAGCATATGGAAAAGCAGATTTTTCTCTCCCCTTCAGCAGTGCAGGATGACAAATGTCAAACCTAGATCTGTCCACGCTTCACTGTGCTATGCTTTGCAGCACCACCTGGCTCTCCTTGTACAGCCACCAAATATGGACAGCACTGCCACAGAGGACCATATCTGGAGGGCAAACTCAATAAAAGCATTTCATTTCATGGTTAAATGACAGCTTCACACAAGTAGCAAGGTTCTGTTTACTGAATCTCAAATGTGAATCATTCAGCGGTGGGGGGGGGGGAGGAGAGAATAAAACAAAACCCACCACAAAAAACAATGACTATGAACAGGACAGCTTTGTTACTAAGACATGAATACCCATATAATTATAAAATGCAGGAAGCCATAATTATACATCCAAACAGCACATTAGCTTAGCAGTTATCAGGAAACTGGAAATATAAAGAAAACGTGTTTTGTCAGTTCTTAAAATCCAATCCATAACCCAGACTGAAATCCTAAGCACACTTAACTGAATTCACTGAACACAGTGGGAATTACTTCTGAGTAAACATGCATAGGCTTCCACTGCCATTTAAGGTGAAGTATGAGGATGTTCAATGGGACTTAAACTGAAGAAAACATGAACAGGATCTGACTGTTAGTTCAACTGCCCTAAGAAATGAAATCTACATACTTTTGCTTAGCTGATCTTCACCTGAAACATTTTGCTTTTAATAGATATGAGAAGTATTTACATGTTCATTGGCAATTTGAACTCCACAGAATTCTTAAATCTGGCTGGTCCAGATCTGACCAAAGAATTCTGTTCCTTAAACCATTTTATAAACCTCTTTAACATTCAGAGAGGGTTATAACCAGCACAGCATTCAGTTAAGGCCACACAGGCATAGGAAGTTCCCATGTGATCTACCCTGTCTCAGGAAACTTTGTAATGAAGTTATATTCTTTTTAAACATTTCAGTCTTACAATGTAATTTTTTTTTAGTTAGAAAAGCTACAGCTCTACTGCAACTATGTTTACAGCATACAGTATTCACTTCACAGACATCCAAGACCGGCAGGACTTCTGCATCAATTTGCTTTAACCATATTTCTTAGAAGAACTCTGTCTTTTGTACACACGTTTCCCATATTCTTCCTGAAACAATAATTTAACAGGATGGGCAGATGGTATAAAAGTAAAAAGAAAACAAATGTTCACTGTTTTTCTTTTATCAGGGGATTTTGTTGTTGTTGTTGTTTTCCATTAAGTTAAAAAAAAGGGGGTGAGAGAGATCAGGGAACATGTTTCAAGGTCAATGCTTTTCTCTAATGAATATTTCTCTGGAATAAAAAGCAAGGTTAATAGTTTTCTTTCCTTTTAGTACATTCACACAATGCTGTATTATAAACATATTGCCATTGTATTACAGAAAATTAAGAAAAACTGAAGCAGCAGTTTTCCCCCCAATACTATGAAAAGGTTACGATTTTCTAATTTAAATGAGAAAAATCAAGTGAATGCTCCATTCTTAAATGGTTGATAAGACTATTGTGCCATTTTTTCCATACTATACTATAACACCACTGCATCAAAGAATTAAAATGGCAATTTATTTATAAGGCAATGACAGAATAAATGGGTATTGCTTAATTTCATGAAGCAAGCACAAGCCCCATCAGAATGGAGATATTATCCGCAGCACTTAGTGATAAACTCTCTACATCTAGTTCTTTTACATGATCCCAGGCTTGAGTCACAGCCTTCACCCTCCAATGTTGAGGTACTGCCTATTTCAAATTAAGCAATGAAACTTAAATAGTTTTTAACTGAGTCAGCACATCTGTAAGAAAATTCTCCTTACTTGACTGGTGGGGTCCCAAAGGATCAAGAGGCATCCCAGTTACAGAGTGTCCTTCCCAAAGCAGGTTTATTTGGTCTTCAGGAGACAAGTGAAAACCATTCCATCATACAGAACCTTTATATTTTAAGTTGAAGAGTTATTTTTAATTCCTTGCCTGTGCTTCTCTTTTTAATTGTAGTGTTATGCCATGATTTTTTATAGATTTTGGCCACAATCCACAGCTGAATTAAGTGTGCTTAAACCCATTGATTAAGTCTTCTTGGATTATAGTGTTTATTAGTTGTTTTGTTTTAAATCATGCACTTCATTTTAAACTAATCCAAGAGTTTTTCACTGTGGAGTGGTGTAACACATTCAAACAATAAAAAATGAGATTTGATATGGTTTCATTAAAATGTTTTGCTAAGAGAACATGGGGCTGAAATCCCACATGACTAAATCCCCCTGATTTTAATGGATTTACTCTGATCAAATCTGCATTCAACCCTCACCTGCATTCTCACCCAAATACATCACATTCTAATAAAGCACAGGATCCACCTAACCAGTCCTGTCAGTGGAAGTCCAGCACAAGGACTTCCGCTTGCACAACAAGGCTTTCCTCCCGCTCCCTGCCTGCACACCTCCTACCCACCCAAAATTGGCTCCGGGAGAATTGAGAAAATACTCAAAACAGCATGGGAGTGATCTTTCCATCTGGCAAGCGGCAATGTTTGTGCAGACAGAGCAACCGGAAGACTGCAAAAGGATTCTGTTTCCAACTCTGGCAAATTCACAAACAGAACATGATGGAAATGATAATTTATTTGCCCAGAACACCTTTAAAAGACTTAAATTACACCCGCAATAAAATAAAAATAAATAGGAGCCTCCAGAATGCATTGCAATAGCATCATCAATATTTTATAGTGTTCTCCTTCTGCAGAATATGATCGGATCCATTCTCAAGGGAGATGTTTGGAACAGTAACATGTTTCTGGATCAGTTAAGCAAAAAAATAGATAGCTATTATAACTATTTCCCATCAGTTTCTTCAACTGCCTGATTAGATATAACCTGAACAGAACTCTTCCTAGAATGTTTTAGACTTAGTGTTCCCCTTCCTTCTATTTCTCACCCCAACAGAGAAAGTAATAAATAAGCTGGATATCCTATGTGTCTTTGAACGCCTGACTACAAAAAATAACAACCACTAGTCAGACCTATTTATTAGCATTATCTACTTCTATTGAGATACACTGCCCAAAAAAGTCAAGAGCTTATATAAATCTACATACAGAGGTAATATAAACCTACAAAGTTTAATTACACATAGTTTGCAAAAATGCTATTTATAAAAATTGTACACCACTTAGAAAAATCTTCAAGTGGTTTACATAAAAATGCAGTAAGTACAGTGGTGCCCCGCAAGACGAATGCCTCGCAAGACGGAAAAACCGCTAGACGAAAGGGTTTTCCGTTTTGAAGTTGCTTCGCAGGACGAATTCCCCTATGGGCTTGCTTCGCAAGACGAAAATACCTTGCGACTCTTGAGATTTTTTTTTCGCTTTTCCCCCCATTTATCTAATCTGCTAAGCCTTTAATAGCCTTTAATAGCCTTTTAGCAGCTAATCCCCTAAGCCTTTAAGCCTTTAATAGCCGCTAAACAGCTGATAGCGCTAATAGCGCTAATCCGTCAATGGGCTTGCTTCGCAAGACGAAAAAACCGCTAGACGAAGACTCTTGCGGAACGGATTAATTTCGTCTTGCGAGGCACCACTGTAATAGAAATATTCAATATATTAGTGAAAAAACTAGCACATTTTTAAACAGCAATTAACACTCAGTGTCAATGTTACGAATCTCAAAACATAAAGCTGCACTGCAAATTTTGCAGAAACTCTGCCACAAGCAACAAAGGCAAGTACGACATAAATAAAAATGGTTTTCCTGCTCCCATGAACTGAAAGAAAAGATGCAGAGAAAATAATCTGCGTAAGCTTTGTTTCCAGTGATCAAGCACACCCTTGTTTCTAATTTCCCCCATTCCTAGAAAAGACTGGCATTCAAACTGTAGCAGCTCAGCATGGTTCCTGTGTGTTACATGTGCACTGGGTTCATGTGAAACTCACAAGTGTGCCATCACAACAATAATGCACCTGCTTTACTGGCAAATAAAACATAATGGCCTGCTAACCTTTTCCACAAAACTAGGTTCTGCTGAGTGGTTACTCCTTACAAAGCCCTTGCTTTATTCTTCCATGTTGTGCCAAACATGCCCTTTTAACCAAACAGATTACTTTTTAAAAGCCAGGGCAGGGAATTGGAGGATGGAGAAAGCAAAGAAAACAACATATTGTTGGATATGGTAAAGCACTAGATCATAGTTGAAATCCACACAGCTGCAAGCATTCTTTTGGGAAACCCCACACTTGGGTTTATCTCAACTGCTTAATGTAATTCCCTGGGCCAGTCATGTAGAAGTAATGTAATTTGCACATTTCTGCAGCTAAAGTTTAATCTTTACGAACTGCCAAGTGGAAAGACAGGGTCCTGCTGCCACTCTAGTCCTTCACATCCACACTAATCACAAGCATTTTGCTTTTATCATTCCTCAAAATGTACCCAACAGGATATCTGTGTTCTCAACACCCCCACCGCAACATCTTTGCCTTTCCTTCAAATGAATTCTCAATTAAACTGAAACAGGACAAAGTTGCCATGCCCAAGTTCTTGTATTCTTGTTGGGCACATGGTATTTAGAAAGATTTCCATGTAATAAAGGTGGCAAAGTTATTTTTCAACACACCATAATATAGTTTATATGTTTATAAAAGAACCGGTGCTGTTTGAACCACAAATACAGCAATTTTTCTTCCTAAGGGGAAAAAGGCTATTTTCATGGGCCTTTTGTTATCATCCTTTATATTCCTAGTACAAGGCTCTTCTAAGATGTAATGAAACACCTCTTGTAAGATGAAACCTGTTGCAATACAAACGCAACAGCCAAAAAAAAGTATGCATTCTGCTTAAAAGCTATAGTAAGTTAGGTAAAGGTAAAGGGACCCCTGACCATTAGGTCCAGTCGTGGTCGAATCTTGGGTTGCGCGTTCATCTCACTCTATAGGCCGAGGGAGCCGGCGTTTGTCCGCAGACAGCTTCCGGGTCATGTGCCCAGCATGACTAAGCCGCTTCTGGCGAAGTAGAGCAGCGCACGGAAATGCCGTTTACCTTCCCGCCGGAAGCACTTTGAGGTGCTTTTGAACTGCTAGGTTGGCAGGAGCAGGGACTGAACAACGGGAGCTCACCCCGTCACGGGGATTCGAACCGCCGACCTTCTGATCGGCAAGCCCTAGGCTCTGTGGTTTAACCCACAGCGCCACCCGCGTTCCTTTCATAAGTTACTTAATAACTTAGGAATAGAAGTCACTTAGGCACATAACTTAGTAAGTTACTTCGGCACGTAACTTAATTATGTATATCCTGTACCTCTTCCTTCATTACAGAATAACCTCTCAAACCTCAATACAACTAGATGTCAGGGTTTTCTAGACAGATGGCTAGAAAGCCTGGCACCGCTCTTTTGCAAGTGAACTACTGAGGTGCTCTGTAGAGTTGTCGAGATAACCCTCTCACATACATACATACATACATACATACATAATTTTATTTGTATGCTGCCTTTCCATAGTTAAAACTATGCTCAAGGTAGCTGACAACATGTAAAAAAAATACACAATCAAAAACACAACAAAAGTAATCGTAAACAATAAATAAAACATCAAAAAGTACAAAATTGAAGAATTTCCACATAAATCATATTAAGATCTCAGATAAAGATACAAAAAAGTAATATCGGTAACAGCAATTGTGTCGTCCCCCCCAACAAATCTTCCCTGAGCAATTCCCTAGCCCAAGAGTCTGTTCAGCAGCCACAGTTTTTGTAGCTGGAGTCAGCCAGGGCCCCACCCTCCCAGGCTAGGTGGGAAAAGGCCTGCAAGGCAGGGAGCAGGTCTTCCAGGAATCACCGCCAAGATGGTCTCTTAAGATTCCCTACTAATTTAGGGGCATTACTTATTAGCACTAAAGATAATTCAGTCATTTGTTTGGTGCATGACTGTAATGTTGTGGGCCACACGGGACTCTTAAAGGACCTGCTGGATCTGTAAGCCTCATGTTTAATTTCTCAAAAATAAAAAGAGGCATGATATCGACTTTAGCCCCATATAACTTTTATTAACGCATACTTACTTGATTCATTTCTAGTAACATGTCTTTGGAGGAAGTCGACTATCTGCGCCAAAGCCTTCTTGTTACAGTGTGTTGATAGCTCTTCATTACATTCATAACACCTAGAATAAGGATTTAAAATGTTGTCATAACGATTCTCCAGGCAAATCTTAAATTCTTATGACTTTATATGAAGTCATAAAACATTGTGATTCCTTATTTCAGGTAATGTCTATATACAGACTGCATGTTACAACTACTATAAACAACATATTCATGTTGGGACTTGAACCAAGCAAATTCCCCACCACCAGCACCACCTAGATTTTGGTGGCAGCGGCGGCAAAAAGAGACTGTGTAGCCACAATGCTAGGGTGAGCATACTACAGTGCCTGGATGGGGATGTCAACAGTCCTCTCTCCGATCACAAGGAAGGCACAGACAGAAAGGGTTAAAACACCCCTGCTCCCAAACATATGATATTTAGTTTGGCCCTCGGTCACAAGGGATGTCCGAAGCAACATTACTGACAACAGAACTTCTGCAGATGAACTGTGATCTATCCCTGAAAAGGAAAGTCCCTCTTAGGTATAAGCAGTGTAGATCACTTTGCTACTGTGAATCTGACTGCTTAAAAGAAAAAAGAAAAAAGAAAAAAAGCCATGTATGAGAGAGGGGAACATGAAAGAGACTTTGTCCTTCCACAATTCCACCACCTCAACCACCACCAGGTGGTAGAGTGAGGGCTGGATCCCATAGCCATTACATATGGAGTAATTATCTTCTCAAACTACTACTGGAACCTCTGTGTCTGATCCTATTGACACCTATTAACAGCAGGGGTAACCTTTTTCAGGGGTTGACCTCTGGGAGGTCCAATGTGAAAAGTGGGTGGGGCAATTTCCCTTTTAAAAAGTGACACATTTGGTGGGTCTTCGGGTCACAAAACCCTTTCGGCATCACAGAATCACAACACTGGACCTGCAGGAGTAGCCGGTAAAATTGTTGTTGTTGTTGTTGTTGTTGTTGTTGTTTCACCGTAGGGTGGTAAAAAACTGTAATAAAGCAGATGACCCATACGAGCAGAATTATATATATATATAATATATTTTATATATCTATAACCTCTGGGGAGCAGAAGCTACATTTCAGAGTCCACATTAACAAACTTCACATTCTAATAAGTTATTAGTTTGACATACTAGAATTATCATTCGCAATAAAACAAAGGTCTTTCTTTAACCAGCTTATATTTTCTTGTTGAATAACTAAATCAAAAAAATGTTAGTGAAACTCCAAGAAGAATTTCATGTACAAAAGGAATGAATCATTGTATGTATGCATACCTGTATATTACGGGGTGTACAAGTGTATGTCTTCCCTCACAAACACACACAGCTTCCCCTCTCAAAACACAAGTTTACTTACCATACGATCCATGTGCTGAGGTTGATTACAATGCAATGAGGCTCGCCTAGTGCATTCTGGAAATGCTTAAGTGAATGCTGGCCTTCTGAGTTTTGACTGCAGCCCTGAATTCATTAATAAAAATGTTAAACTAAAGTTATCATAACTACTATGTTCTTTAGTAAAATCAGCAAATTTTCTTCTTGTCAAGTTTCCGTTCCTGGGCTGACCTGTTGTAGCTTGTATGAAATTTTAAAGACCCCTGACAAAAACAGCTTCTAAACAATCCAATGCCTAGATAAAGAGTAATTGTTCCAAAAATGTTACTCTTTATCTAGGCATTGGGTTATAATAGACACAAAATGGCCAAACAATTTCATTGTTTCAAAACATATGCACTGCTCTAATTCTGGCTTTTCTTCAAAACATCCAGACAAAAAGACCTAAGGAATAACAAGCTGCTAGGCATACCTAAGCAAGAACTAAAGTGTTATTGTCCAGATGCCACAAATGAACAGAACTCCAAACTCTTAGTCCTAGACTGATTTCTATTGGTACTTTAGTGGAACTCTACTAAGTCGATGAGCTGTGTTATATACCTTGTTATGGGCTAGGGGGCAGGTTAGAAACTATACATATTACGTATCTTTAAAGTCACATATTTATTTACCTGAGTACCACATTTGAGGCACAGCCATATGTCAGAAGGCATTACTGGCTCACCATCACATATTCTTCTTTCTTTTAAGCACTCTGAACATATTGACCAGACATTTTGAGCTACTGCTCTCTTCACATTATGCACATCCACTGCCTGGCTTACATGCTGGCATGTCAGACCTATGGAAGTAGTAAAAAAAAAAAAAGATGAACATGTTTAAGGCATATGTTTTATTGTTGTAACAGATCTTTGGCAAGAAAACATATTTGTAAATTTGGAAGGGGATGAAATCACGTAACGGTGAGACTGCCATTAATGGCTTCTCAAAGACTATAAATGCACACCCCATCCCCTTCATAGTATCATTTTGCTATGTATTGATGACATGTTTTTACTGCTGTTTTATTGGGTTTGCTTCATAGGTTACTGTGAGGCTTTGCTCTTTTTTATGTTATGCCATGCTTCACGCTTTTAAGTTTTGTGAATCACTTGGAGACTTTTTATATGTCAAGTGACTAATAAATTAAATAACAATTAGCAGTAATAGTGGTCGTGTATGAAATTTCAGCCGTTGCATGAACCAACAAGATTTATGCACTTTCCCCTCCATTGTGCAAATCAGATAAACCTATTCGGTCTGTCCTTTCCTCCTCCTCTCCTCCAAGCTTTTCAGTAGTGTCGTCACTGCTATTCTTACTTCCCTTCTCATTCCACCATAAAAAGATGCAGTTCTACAAACATATAAATTCCTGAAATAAGAGTACTCCAAGGATAATATCATTTCATAAATCATCAAGCCATAGATATTTCAACTGAAAGCAACTGTTGGAAGTCTGCTAATTAAACTAGGAACCAGCAGTTCCCATGGACTGTATTTTTACAGTAAGTTTTTAAACTGTATTTTAAATTGTTGAAACCCACCTTGGAACCTTAGGGTGAAGGATGAGTTAATAGTAATAGAAACAATATGGACAATGCTTTCCTTTCCTTGATGACCATGGGCTGAGTCACTCCAACCACTCACATTTAGTAGTTGCTCAACAACTACCTAAAATCACAGGCAATATTGCCTCCTTGTCTGTGGCAAAACAGTTGCATGCAAGCACTATCAAGATCAGGCTTTTAGCATTAGTATGGGTTACTGGAGTGGAGGTGTGCTAAAAGCCCTTCTTGATACATGGTGGGGTCTCCACATTTTCTATTCATCAGAGTCAGGAACCAGCCGATACATTAAATACAAATTATTACTACCCACATGATTGTGTCAATTGATTCAGACCATTAGATGGCTTTTTTTTACCTGTGATATCATCTGAAGAATCATCATCTTGATGCTGATTTGACTTTGTGTGTGTCTTGGTTTTGACAGGGATAGCCCTTGATGGATCTTTTACCCGCATCTGTTATCTGCTGGAAAAGAAATGAAGAAATATGTATTGCTAATACGGAAAGGTTTGGCTACCATAAATGACTCCTAAAATTCTGCATTATGTTGGCAAAGAAATGCAATAAGCAGCCCCACTCTCAAATAAATGGCCTGGAGAGGTCCCAGCAGCAATTATTCCCACTGCCTTAATTGGCAGTGACTCTCAACTTATGCTTAAAAATATTGTTGTGCAATGAAACTGGAGCTTACCAAAAATAGTGGAAAGGGGCTACATTTTTAAAAAGTAAGTTTGACTATAACTCTACCTGCTTTTAGTATAACTCTGCATAATGCAGACCCCAATTAGACACCCCTGGACTTTTCATTGGAGACATGAATGCCTTACAACTACCCTATTGGTACTTGCAACTATGACATTTCTCCCCCAGGATTAGTGTATTATTTATACCTTACATTTTATGCTATCCTGCTTCCAAGGACCACAGGGAATTCCCATCCATTTTATCCTCACAACAAACCTGAGAGGAAAACAAGCCTGAGTGACAGTAGCCCAAAGGCATTCAGTGAGCTCCATGGCCAACCAGTTATCCTCAGGCCAAGGCCAATGCTCTCCTCAGAGCTAGAACACTGGTTACTGCCGCTATATTAAAAGCAATTTTAATAAAAGAAAATACGTAAAGCTTTTATCTGTTTTATACAGCAGTGACTGCCTGATCAATACTTAACCTCATGATAATTATAGGATAAGGCTTGATTTTACATGTGGTCAAAAAGCATGGATGATGACAGGTCTTGCTTCCTCCCATTTTCTATGAATGACATGTTTACAGATGTCTTGCATTTTCACATGAGCTACACGCAGATGTGTTTCATAACTACCTGTGGCATTTTAGATGTCCAGAGCTAGATCAACTGTCACCCAATTACAGTCAGGACCGTATTCGTCATGACTAGCAACTGGACAATGTCATCAATCAGCAGATAAGACGTTTCAGCACAGCGACAGCTCTGAAAGCCTTTCAAAGCATACAAGCACTTAATGCCTCCTGGAGCAGTAAAAGAACCAGAACTACAGGCTGGTAGTAGCAGAAACGCTGTTTCCATCCCCAAACGTCATTTGAAATTCTCAAAGTGTCATAACCATGATATTCCATGCCATAGGCACAGCCCACCTACAACATTACTGGGGTGGGGGGTGCCAGAAGATTACTTCTCTTTTTCATGGGGTTCTGTGGGGATCCATCAATGGTACCCTCTACTCATATGCCAGATACACATAGAAGGGTCATGTAGAAACTCAAAAGCAGGAGAGACAAGACAAACACAGAGAACAGCAGTAGTCTCCCAACACCACCTTCTGAAGCCTCCCAGTAATGCATGAGTAATGGTACAGCTAACACAGCCCATTCCTACTCCTAACTCACTTATTAGGTCCAGAAGGATACCAGTCTGGATCAGAATCCCCCTCTCAGCACGGGGCATCAATAATGAAAACACAGGAAGCCTCCATCTCAAACGATATCACAACCTATTTCAGTTCATCCATAGAGCTGGCCTGCCCTTTTCTGCTCTGTTTTTTGTAGGAATGGGAAGTTAGACTTTAAATCAGGCGTAGGCAAACTCAGCCTTCCAGATGTTTTGGGACTACAACTCCCATGATCCCTAGCTAACAGGACGAGTGGTCAGGGATGATGGGAATTGTAGTCCCAAAACATCTGGAGGGCAGTGTTTGCCTATGCCTGCTTTAAATCCACAACTCCAGGGTATCTAGAGAAGCCTTTTTCAGTCGAGGCCTTGCTACTGCTTCTTTTGAAGAGGATGTAACTGAACCTTCCCTGAAGGAAGCTTCCACAACTTTGAAAATACAGACCTCACTGACTCCAATCATCACTAACTTTGATGCATATGGATTGAACAGGCAATGCACTGGCATGGACTGAATCCAGCACCCTGTCCACATTCTTAGGTCTCAAAAATCTAAATTAATCCAAAGAACTCCCAAGTTTCTGGATGCCTCAAATTATGGAAGACTACTGTAGCTCAGACTTTAATCCATATGTGACTGGCCCATATGGTGAGCCACAAACTACCAGCTATAATATCTGCCTAAGCAGCCAAGGCCCTGAACTGACCCTGCTCACCCATGGATCTTCCTGGACAGGAATAAGAATAAGAAGGCTTCTTGTTCCAGTTAAGAATAAGCAACACAGTCTTTCTGAGATTTAGAATGCTCCTGTATCCTTTGGTTGTCCTTAACACCAGACTGCTGGCTTCTCTACTTCAAATCCTTGGTGCAACTCCAGGCTCAACACTGCCTACAGCTCAGCCCTGATAGCTATAGACGTTGAATCTGAGTCCAAGTAATTTTATCCACAAAGCTCTAAGGAACCCAGAGTTTGTTGAATTTACCATAGTAAGCAACTGAGATTTTCAATTTCTCAGCAAGAAAAGTGGCAGACTGCAACAGGCCCTTAACCATTTGGGAAAGCTCAGCAGGACAAGCCTATTTGGGCATAATGATGGCAAAAATGAAATCTCATTACTGTCACCGTGGACTAGGCTTTAAAATAGGTTCTACGGCAGAATTCAGAAGTGCAGAGGCTTAAAATCCCAAAGAAGAAGCCCCAGCCCTCATTTTGCAGACACAAATCAGTCATTAGCTGATCAGAATAAATTACCAGATTTCAAACTGTGACCTGTAACAAGCATTGGGTCAGATACTCGTTAGAGTAAGCCCATTATTGCCATGATGGCTATGAAAACCTGAGCACATCTCTTAATTCAGCATACAAATGAAAGTCACTCAAGACAACAATACTAGGAAAACCTCAACACCTCTTCAGTAATTTAGTCGAAGTCTGTTGGCGATAGATACATTAACAAGTACACCAACCAAAGCATAGCCCACATGCCTTTGACGTGGACAATACAGATGGTTACAAGAGACAGGGTCTTTCTTGTAGTGGCATCAAAACTTTGGATTGTCCTTCTTGGATAAATCTGTCATGTTCCCTCTCTTCCTGAATTTAGATGGGTTCTGAAAAGTTATTTTTTCTGTATTCAAGAAATTGATTTATTCCAGTCCTGCTATTTGATGGTTTTAACTGCAGATTTTTAAATGAATAAGTAGGTTTTACTGATTCTTGTTTTTATAAGCCATTCATGTCTTCCAAGGTCATTCATGTGGGTCACTACAGTTTGCTTCATCACAAATATTTTTGACAACTCTCTACAGTATTAAACTAAATGTTGAAAAGAAGGGAAATATCTGCTTGCTGGCCATCTTTTATGATCCAATTTAGATGCTGCTTCTATGGTCAGAGAACCCAGGAGCTTGGAGATAATGGGTTCTGAAGTGTGGCTCTGGTACAGCCCAAGGGGAAACATATAGTGGTTGACAAGACAGCAGGATGTCAGGCCGATGGAATGATTAGCACTCTTTCCTAGGAAGCCACTAACTGCCGAGGGTGTAATATTACATCACTTTTTTTCTACATAGCAGGCTGCCCCAGTTTGTTCTTCATGACACATGTCAATCTCAAACCAAGGACAAGTTGCTCTACATTGGACACTACCAGCAAAACCCAAGACAGATGGTGTGCTGTTGCACAACTTAAGGGGGAACAAATCTACAGAATACCAGTTTTGCAATATTTCCTGGAGAAATCTGACAAAAGCTTTACAACTCAAGTACATTATCGAGAAACTTCTCAAGTCAACAACATATAGCCTACTTGTAAGCTGCAGTGCTGTCTTCATTTTGAAGTCAAAAAGAGATACTTAGAAAGCTAAATTACAGTAACTGGCACAAATATTCTAAAATATTTGGCTCAGTACTGCATAGCGGTAACTTTGCACAAGTGTTATTCAGGTGGCTGTATTTCATAGAAGTTGCTTGGCTCATGTTACCACTTTAGTTCAGTGATAAGGCTGGAAACAATAGAGGATGTCCACCATGCTACAAGCATGAAGGGGTGGCTACTGCTAGAAACAGGATATTAGATTTGTTGGGCCTTAGTCTGATCCTGCAAGGTATTTCTTATCCAAGAACAAAATAAAAAGTAAAAGCAAGTAAAACAAACGCTCATTAAAACTACGTATTTTCTCATCAAGTGACCAGCACTCAGAGAAGATGTAGGCGTTACGGAAAAGAGTGGAAGCAGTACATTTTTTAAAGCATTTATCTCACTCAGGGTGGCTTGCAACAATTAAAAATTACCATATCACAATAAAAGAACCTAGGATCGAACAAAATGCAATAGAGGCAGGTGTGACTGATAAAAACCAGTTCTTCAAATAAAACATTATTTGCCCAGTAGGACAAAGTGCATCTGAAAAAATTCTAGGGGTTTAGGTCTGCACAGCACAGAGGTTCTACACAATACCCACGGAAATGAATGAAAAGTCATACAACTGATGGATGAACTGAACCCTAAAATTCCAAGTTGATGTCACTGCTACAAAGTTGCCTGTGAAGGACTGCAATCTTAATGTCGGTGTGGGCGGGGAGGGATGCATTAAGAACCACATTCAACATAATCATGGGCTCTGCCAGCAGGGTGGAAGTGAAGATAAAGAAACGTTCTGCACCACTCAATAGGATTCCTGCCTCCCTGAATAAGTTATTCCACACTTCCTAACTATTCTTTCCAAAGAGAGGGAAACAGGAAGGAGGAATTTAGACACACATATCTACATATCTCCCTGGTCATGGCCTAGGCTCCTTCAGATCCTGGCACCTACTGGCACACCACAGAAACACCCATTTTTTGCCCTTCTGACATCAGAGGTTGAACCAGAGTGCCAAATGTCCCTCTTTGTAGCTGGAAAATTCGATTTAACCCATCCTGAGAGATACTCTCCCAGAGACCATATGATTGAAGTCTAGGTGGAGCAATGGTGTCTCTTGATAACAAGACAGCTTCAGATACCCCACCCCCCAAAACAAAAAAGACTGTGCTCATCAAATAAACTGGATTTCAAATCACTTTCCAATGACTTATTTTGATTCACAAGAAAAAGAATAACTGCCTTCTGTAAACATGCTTGATCCTGCTCCCTTTTTCCTCTAACACTGAACCACATGACAAAGGGCAAGGCACATATGACACAAGGGCCTACTGGTATAACTAGAAGGGACTAGACAGCAAGTCTGATTCTTTTTTAATTGTTTGCATTTCTGGTCATCTGTCACACCTTAGGAATAAAGTTCACATTTATAACAAAGAAGCAAAGGAAAACTTCAATGATATGCACAAACCTATCAGTCAGCTTCTGGGCACCAAACAGGTAAGCATGCAAGTGGAAAAAAGTACAAAGGCACTCCAATTAGCTTTTACTGAGCCAGTTTCTATAATATATATGTAATAATTAGCTATTCCTATCCAACAGAGGTCTATGATATAGAATACTATATTCAACAATGAACCAAGCTTTAGAAGCACATTATGAGCAGGCTTCAGCTAACCAACCAGCCCTGTCAGCAGAAGCCCTGAACAAGAACTTCCACAACACTCCAGAGCAGGTGGGGAACCTGTGGGCCTCCAGATATTGTTGGACTACAATTCCCATTATTTCCTATCATTGGCCATTCTCGCTGGGGCTGATGGAAGTTAGAACAGCATCTAGATAGTCACAGATTTCCCAACCTGTCCTAGAGTTCTTAATGAATTTTTCTTAAAACATGAACTCCAAGAACTGGGTGCTCCTGCAGGTGAAAACAGTGTTCAAAACTCCCATTGTTCTAGGTGCATTTTGCAACAGGGAATTTCATCAGCGCAAGCAGTTTCTGAGCTCAGTACTGAGCCTAAAATTTCCGATTAAAACTGTAGAGTGGAATGAGTGGAAGGAGGACTTTTTTCTGCCTCCCCACTTCCAGCTACTATCTGAAGACTGGAGAAGAGACCCCCTTAAGAATATTAGGGGGTGGACAGGCAGGGGAAGGACTAGACCCTATGAAAAATGAACATAGTATTTTAATTGCAGTTCATTAATTTTCAGTTTTGTATTCTTGTTAGTAAAAAGCGTGCCTAGACATTCTGTTGTTGTGCCCATAACCTAGGTTTAAGGTGCCATTTAGCTCCTAGCCTTCATATCTCAGTTTCTAACACGGGGTGGAAAGGGGTAGTCAAATATTCACAAAATATTGTTCTGTGCTATTTGCACTGGCAGTTTGAGATTGGTTTGTTCACACTTCCTCTTGAGCATTTATTAGAGCTCTGTGTGACTTGGCAACTTGCATAAGTGTGTACCAACACAAGGCAGCCTCAAGCAAGACAGCTCAGCTTACCTATTTTGTTTCTCCTCCTTTGGGACTAATATAGCAACAACTCCCTGCACCCAAACTGCCCTTACTACTTGACTCACAATTTCCTGCGGACATATACAGGACACATTTTCTCCCCTACCTTGGGTGCTCTTTATGCTTTTGCAGTCCCCATTCACCATGACCAGCAAAACAACTACCTCCTTGCATGATCTGAACATGTTTTCTTGGACGCAAATCCTGAGATGTTCAATAAGGAGTGTTGTACACTACAGAGGATATGTATTCCCTAGATCAAGGCTGGGGAAACAACTGGCCCTTCAGATGTCACCAGAGTACAACACTCACCATCCCTATGCTGATTAGGGCTGATGGGAACTGTAGTCCAGCGACACCTGGAGAGCCCAATGTTCCCAAGATTTGCACTAGTTCATAGAACTGCAGTGTTGGATGGGATCCCAAAGGCCATCTACTCTAGTCCAACCCCCTGCAATGAAGGAATATGCAGTTGGCCCGTATGAGGACTGAACCTGCAACCTTGGCACCACAGAATCTTGGAAGGGACCCAAGGGTCATCTAGTCCAATCCTCTGTAATGCTAAAGTATCTATGACAGATGGCCATCCAATCTCTGTTTAAAAACCTGCAAGGAAGGAGAGTCCACCACCCCTCGTGGGAGTCTGTTCCACTGCTGAACAGCTCTTACTGTCAGAAAGTTTTTCCAAATGTGAAGCAGGAATCTCCTTTCTTCCAACATGAAGCCATTGGTTTGATTACTACCCTCCAGAGCAGGAGAAAACAAGCATGCTCCCTCCTCCATGTGACAGCCCTTAAGATATGGCTATCATATCTCCTCTCAGTCTCCTCTTTTCCAGGCTAAACATACCCAGCTCCTTCAAGCGCTCCTCATAAGGCTTAGTTTCCAGGCCCTTGATCATCCTGGTCAACATCCTTCTTCAATTGTGGTGCCCAGAATAGGACACAGTATTCCAAGTGTGGTCTGACCAAGGCAGAATAGAGTAGTACTATCACTTCCCTTGATCTGGGCACTGTACTTCTGCTGATGCAGCCTAGAACAGCATGAGCTTTTTTGCTGCTGCCTCACACTGTTGACTCTAGCCAACTGGGCCAACAATACGTTAGTGGGCACACTCATTTGGGCAGCAAACACTATGGAGCCCAGGGTCGAGGCTTACTCCCAAATACTCCCGCGTAGGCCTGGGCCCTTTAAAGGATCGGAGAGAGCTAAGCGTTCACCACCCGGGACCCGGCCTACCAGTTCTTCCGCCAGGGCGAGAGGTGCAAGGCGGCGTCACAATTCAACCCCCAAAGGTGTCCCCAGTCAGCGCAGGCCGCCTGCCTAGGCCACGACTGAGGAAGGCCGGGTCAAGGGCGCCTCAGCCACCGCCTGCAAGACCTCGGGCCCTCGGGGAAGCACCGCGGAGCCCTCAGCGGGGGTCCCCAGGCACTGCAAAGCGGACGAGGAAGGGCCCACAGGCCGAGCAGCCCCTTCCCCGCCCAGCACCTCGCGCCCCCACCGCTTCGGTTTCCACGGCCCCCACCCAAGCGAGATGCCTCCCCTTAGCTTGCCTCCCCCGGCCCGCCGCACTCACCGCGCTGGGCGACGGGCTTCGCCCTCGCAGGCTGCAGGCTGGAGCGGCGGCGGCAGAAGCCAAGGAGGAGGAGGAGCAGGAAGCGGCAAAGGAAGCCAAGCTTCGGCGAGGGCCGCTTCGCTCGCTCGCCTGGGCTGCCAGTCCCGCCCTGAGAGCGGCGAAGTGAGAGCCGGGGCGGTTGAATGGGGCGGGATTGTGTGTTGGGGGGTCCGCTCTGCTTTGTAAACACCAGCAGGAGCTGCCGCATCGCCGATAGGGAGCCGCCTGTATTTACATCGATGTCAACCCCCGTTGAAATTGCTGGTGCCCACGTGTTTGGAGAGGCCTCGCTCCTGACTCCTTTGAAAACGGGTGCGGCTGTTTGCACCGGGAACGCAAGCCATCATCGCGCTAAATGTGCACAGCGGCTTTTATTCTCCTCCATCGTTAAAGGAGCAGGCGTCACGTCCTAGGCTACGAATTGTGCAGGATTCCGGATTGCCCCAGCCCCTGCCCTTTACGGATCGGGGGATGGGTCTGGGAGGGCTGATCCACCGATCCCTGCTTTGTCTCCTCTTGCCTGGCAACAGTAGTTGTCTAGGATCTGAGGCAGAGTGGGGCCTTTCTCATGATCTATTAACTGGAAGTGCCGGGGATTGAACCTGGGACCCTGAATATTTTAACTGAATATAAAACTAAGCTCTTGCTCTGCATGGTTTACTTCTGAACAAACAATTCGGCTCAAACCACTAGGTTGTTCAGGGTTTGAGCATGTGTAATTGTACTTCTGGGCATATGCAGAGTGCATTTCCTTGATAGACTATGAATCTAGAGTCACACATACACTTCTGCTTGTTAGAACAGGCCACACCCAGTATTTTCAGGTGGCTGCATAGGACCCAAAGTTGAGACTTGAGATTTCTGTCTCAAAGTCCTGTTCTAAGGGCACCTCTGCCCTAAAGCTCCATCAGAACAGATGCCACAACTCTATAATACCTTGTTATTTTTAATGTTTTGTCTGGTACAGCACCATGCCACTGACTCTACCTCTTTCTTTCCTGCCATCTTTCTTGGTATGCCACATAAATAGGCAAATTTACTAAATAACACAAATTAGATCCATCTTTAGGTTTAGGAAAGATTAACACAGTGGGAGTGGATCAATCAGAATATCGCGTATATGTCATGTATACTGCAACACTTGACTTACTTTTTAATTACGCTATCATAAATATACTCTTCTATCTGTAGAAAAAGGAATGCCATATGGATAGGCTGACAGCCAGCAACCAGAGAACCAGTTTATATGACAGCTTAAATTAATCACCCTTTTACAGAGATGTTTTATCCTCGTTTAATTAAAAACCAAGGGGAAATCCTGTTAGACATTTCTTCAAATTCCACCTTTGCTAATGAAAATGTGTTTGATCAAAATTCTTTTAAGAACTGTGTCAAAGAATATCAGAAAGAAGCAGTATTTTTCCAAATCTCAGAGCCATTGGTTCTGATCCCACCCCCATAATTGTGCGCCCTGTTGTAAAAGCATAAATGAATGGAGATGTCCTCCTTCATTGCTTCACTGACATGAATGGGAAAATTTGCACACATGGCATCTACATGCTGCACATGCAAGACAGTTGTCTAAGAAATATTTCCAAGTGATTTCCATGGATCACAGTAGACTATTGCACAGCAACCTCTAATCTGGAAGCCTCAAATAAGTAAGGCTTGTGGTGGAACAGTTTGCAGGTAATTGCTTATCTTTATAATGGTAAAGCCACTCAGTTTAGCACTGTACTGAGGTAACGCTATGTGATCATTTGTTTCTGGGACTACTCTGGAGCATGAGGCTCTTAATTCTTAATGTTTGCTTTAATCTCTAAATATGTTACCTTCTGTTTCTTCAGCTAGAGATCAGATAACTGTATATGAAGTGCCATACTGTAGCTAGCTATCGTATGACATGACTGGTTTGTACCAGTGATAGGTCTTGCATGTGGAAATGCAAAGCCACCATATGCCACAAGGCTGGCTGCTAAAGGCCTTTCAAAATATTGTGAAGCATATATTTTAAACAATACACATTTCATTACAGATGTACACAGAAAGACACTTTGGAAAATTGCACCCATGACTGTTTTATAGAAAACTTGCTAGCAAAAAAAAAAAAAAAAGGTTTCATATGAATGAATAAGCCTCATCTAGGTTTTAAAAGTATTTGTTTGCATAAAGCAATATAATCTGAAGCATTTCTGTGTAAGAAATGTTGTCATAAATAATGCTACCGGGTGAATCACCAGTCTGTAGTCTCAGCTGGTAGCACAAGGCTTGCCATGTGGAAGGCTCAAGTATAGGAGTGATCTTTGCTCCCAAGACTAGCCCAAGGGTGAATATAGAGTTCTACACTTGTTAGTATATTTTTTAAAAACATAGCAATACTTGAAATCTTGTACCATCAAATTAAGGTAAGGGGGGGAGTAGAATGCTTTCCCCAGCAATCTTTCAACATTCCACTTCACTGATTGTGGAATTATGAAAGAAGCTTTGCTCTATCCACTTTTATCAACATCATACATATTTTTATACACTTCTAGCATGTACCCGCTTACTCCTAAACTTTTTCCTAAACTACAAAGCCCCAAATATCATTTCCTCATAGGGGAGTTGTTCCAGTCCCTTGATCATTTTGATTGCCCTCTTCTGCACCTTTTCCAGCCCTACAATATCCTTTTGAGGTGAAACAAGGGCATAAACAAAAGAACTTCTTAATTGTGCAGAAAAAGGGAAACTGAGGGCACCCTGAGGGGCGCATCCAGAGAAAAGGAAGTGGTGTTAACATAATATGACTCATAGAATCAGAATTGTAGGGTTGGAAGCAACCCCAAGGGCTATCTAGTCCAACCCCCTGCAATGCAGGAGTCTCTGCTAAAGCATCCATGATAAATGGCCATCAAACCTCTGCTTAAAAACCTCCAAGGAAGGAGAGTCCACAACCTCCAGAGGTAGGGAAACCGTTCCACTGGGTTGAGAAGAAAACGAAAGTGCTTATTTGGCATGCAATTCTAGACTCACTTTAAACAGCAAACGTTTAAAGCACAAACCCCACTCCCAGGAACCTTGAGAACTGTAGTTTGTTAAGGGTGCTGGGAACTGTAGTTCTCTGAGGGGTAAAGTACAGTTCCTTTGAGGGATATGTGTGTGTGTGCACTTTAAATGTATTTTGTGCACTCGGGAGTAAGCCCTACAGGAGGCTTCTAAGCAAATGGGCATAGGATTGAGGTAGCAGCTTCTGGCGCAAAGCGCCTATAAGGCACAGACGAAAAGACAGGCAAACGACGTGGCCTGCTATAGCTTGGGAAGCCCGGCAAAGAATGGGAGGAGATATGTTAAAACGCGCAGATACCTGAGCCGCGTTGGGCAGCATGTGGGGCTGCTGCAGCCGGCTGGGTCGGGCGACCTTTCTTTTGACAGCAAAGCGGACAGGGGTCAGTGCGAGAGGCGGGCGAGGAAAGAGCCTGCTGGCAGGGAGCCACGGTCGCGGCTCCATTCTGCGGCCGGGATCGGGAGCAGGCCGTGGCCCCTTCCGGAGTCCGGCGCGTAAGTGCCCCGGAGTGGGTGGGGAGAGAGGGGAGACGCCGGCGGGGTTGGGGAGAAAGCCTCTCTCCTTCCCTATACAGAACGGACAGCATAGTCTGACATTCGCTAGCGTCAGTGTAAGATCAGATCCGCACTTGCATAATTCATCAGATCTGTAGAATCGGTAGAGCATGAGACTCTTCATCTCAGGGTCTAGGGTTCGAGTTGCACGTTGGGCAAAAGATCCCAGCATGGCACGGGGTTGGACTAGATGACCCTCGTGACCCCTACCAATTCTACAAGTCTGTCATTCCGTGTGGCATCCCTGACCATAAAATGTGCCAGTTATGTTTCATTAGTGGAACATTTCTCAGTCCTAATTTTAGGATTAGGACGTTTGGCTCTGCTTGCGAAACAGATCCATTGCAGTCTCCAGATCTAGCTTCCAATTCCAAAAGGGGGAAAGAAATTGGGCAAAGTTGCCTATGCTATATTTCGGCCTCATTCTTTCTTTATAAAAGAGTAATGACCTCATGTCTCTGTAAAGCAGCTGGGGACAAAGGTGTGAATGATTTTGCGTGTAGGACGTTTTAAGGAGGAAGTGGCATCTCAATATCAGATCAGATGCTATATATTTAAGTTATTCCCAGATCAGTAGAGAATGGTAAGCACACCCACATGTCACAGGAGACCTGGTGGTGTGACCAGTGGGGCTTTGTGGGTTTGTGCTCCACAGTTAAGTAGCAACTACTGTACATATTTCACACTTAGTGAGAATAGTTCTAAGCTGTTTTTATATCTTTCATTGCATTGGTTGTTTCCCTATTCCTCTGGAATGGGAGGGAGAGGCTGCAATCCAAGCCTGCTTTGTGCCAGGCTGGGAGCAAGGGTGGTTGGGGCCCCCCTTCTCCCTAAAAGGAACACATTTAAAAAGGTACCACACAGTAAGTCCAGACTAACGAATTTATTATAGCATGTGATTTTGTAGACTATAAAAATACTCTGAACCTGTAGAGTTTTACAACTCTCAGCAAAACACAAAAAAAAGCATTTTGCCAATCTTAATAAACCCTCGCCTGCTTTAACCTAATCACCTTTAAAATGGTGTGTAGGCCAGCGGCCTATACCACATGATGTGTTGTTTGATGAAACACTTTCTCTTCTGAGACTACTACTCCCTTTCAATTTCACTGTCAGATCCTGAGTTCTAATGATACAGAAATTATGAAAATCTATAAGTACATTTGACAATGCAGTATTTTTTTGGGGGGGGAGGATACTGTGTGTCACGACATAGTGTGTCAGCTGCAGTGTGTATGTCTAAAAGTGTATCACCAACATGAAAAGTTTGAAAAGCTCTGCCCTATAAAGCCACTGACATAAACTGTGCTCACCGGTAACATTAGAAGTTGCTAGTAGATGTATTTGAGAAATGATGGTCCAGAGACAATATTGCTTGCTTGAGTAATAGCTTCTTCTCTTTACAGATCTAAAAACTGAAAAGCCAGACGGGATTGTTTGCCGTTTTTGCACTGCTAAAGATAAGGTCTCCTACAAAGAACTCAAGGAGTTGCTGCAATCCAAGGCCATTTTGCTTGTTGATGTTAGAGAAAAATGGGAAATTGAGCAGTATGGGAAAATTCCTGGATCCATCAGCATTCCATGTAAGCTTCCACACTTCCTGGTCATGAGTAGAGTGAGGAGGAAATACAAGGCCAGCTAGCTCAAAACTTTTTACCTATGTAACAGGAGATATGTAAGGTTCACCCACGTATCATGGATTTTATGACCTGTTGCACTTACTTGCTTTATAATGATTCATCATAGTCAGCTGCTTAATTCAACAGTCAGTCTTTGTTTTTGTAGTGGGCGAGGTTGTGGAAGCTTTGCAGATGGAACCGGTACATTTTAAGGAGATATACAATCAAGATATGCCTTCTAAATCGGACATTTTAGTGTTTTCCTGTATGGCAGGAGTGAGAAGCATACAAGCTCTAGCTGCTGCAAAGTCTCTGGGTTTCAGCAGGTGAGTATATATACTCAGGGACAAACTGCATAAATGTATCTTTACTGACTTCTACCTCTGCTTTAATACTTACACTGATGTTCTACTCTGAAGTGTGGTGAATCAATAGCTTTTCATTCCATAGCCCTGATCTTTGCTTCTAAGTAACTTATTGCTCAGTGAAGACCTAGGCCTGGCACAAATGAAGCAAACCGGAACCTTTGTCTCCAGCCATTCAAAACTTATTACAGTTGCAAGTAGTCTGTGCCATCTATTTGTGCACATCAGTGAAGTTGAAGCAGCACTGGTCACTCTAGTCCTTTAAACAAAAAACAAAAAAACTAGGTCATCTTGTTTTAAGTTCTTTGGAATGCTACAGGCATTTCATTCCGTAGAAGCAATCAGAAAAAGTAATGTTCTCGTGCATGTAGGCTGACAGCAAACTGCCTAGAGCAGTGGTGGGCAGAACATAGATCATGATCTAGTAGTAGCACTCTGAGTGACTTGCAATAGATTGTCAAGGATTCCTGGCAGCCAATCATTTAACAGCCACAACAAAAAATGTCACACGAAACACCTACATTAGACTGCTGAAATGAAGACAGCTTGAGATAACTAGGATTTTTTTAATGTATAGAAAGACTGGAGTTCAGCTCAGTACTGGTACACTAATCTCTGTGCTCAGCAGCTTCCCAGAATTCTTTAATTCTAAGTGTATCTGTTTTGCACAGGGCTCCATTTGCAGTAAATATAGCCACAGAGCCGTAGCTGGGTGATCTTGCACACCTGGCAAAACCGTCCAGATTGCTCCCCCTAGCCACGGACAAATTAGCTCTTCTTTCCACCTCTCCTCCACCCATTCAATTCACCCTCTATTTAAAACCTTTTCTTATGAGGCAATAATCAATATTTTTATTTACAGACATATTTATGGACATATTTTAGCTGATTTTGTGCCTCCCCCACCTGCGGCCCTGGCGGGAGCCCACCTCACCACCTGCTAGCTACTGCCCTGCATAAAGTGACAGATCTTCCTTGAAGATAGTACATGGAAATACAGGCAACCCCTGATTTGTGTGGGGATTGCATTTCAGGTCATCATCGCATGCAACAATGAAGCATGCATAAGCCCATTAGGCCCCCTTCTGCCCCCTTTTCTAGCTACTTCTGGGCCGCCTTGGACATATGTAAATCAGTCATTGCCTTCAATCTAAAACTGCCACCTGCCATTTCACAGCTTTCCTCTTAAAAGGAAATCCAATTGTGATTTTAAAAAACATAACTAAGGTGATACCTTATTCTGCTTTGCTACATCAAAGATTCTGCATGGACTCTGCAGAATCTTAATACCTTTGGCTGCTGTTACAAAAACCAGAATTAAAAATCTTGTATGGGCTGCAGCCAAATCCAGTGGTGAGATTAATAGTTTTTAATCAACAAAACTATTATCTGTTTTGCAAAAATGAACTATTTGTTTAAGAGGCTATTGTGGGTTGTGTTGTTTGAGGAAGATATCATATGCATGCTCCTTTGTTTCCTTGTCTTATTAAATAATAATTGTTACACCAGAGAATGCAGCAGATAGTATTTTGAAGTTGGAAGTAGAAGGTTAACATTCCCGTAAAGTTTTGAGCCCACTGAGTTCTGAGCAAATCAGTGATCTGGCCAGTACGTTTTAGAGAAAGGATAACTAACAAAAATACTTTGTACAGTGTGAAATGTTAAGATGCTTACTTTATGTGCTTGCAGAGCTCAGAATTATGCTGGTGGCTTCAAGGAATGGGCTGAGTATGAATCTTCTGTGGGGAAATGACGTCTGGAATAGTGACCTATTCAGTATCCTCATAGTACACAGAGTGAAAGCTAACTAACTTTTATTAAGGATCTATATAGATTTAGGAACTATTTTGTGTAGCAATAGATTGGTTGTGTTACACAGCAGGAAAGAACTGATACCTGTTTTGAATATTCAACCAGGCTACTCCCCATTATGGAAATATCTTCTCCAAAATTTGAATATTTCCTCTAAAATAGTTTTGCTATTTGAATGAAATTTGCAATGGATCAATATAATAGCCTAAATAATAATCAGGTTGTTCTCTTAACAATGCAATTAATTTCAACTCTTACATACTAACTGAATTTTGGTTAGTCGTGATTTCAAATTAAAGTTTTGCATTTTAAAATTAGTAATTAGACACTTTCTTCAAACAACTTTAGCTAATTTTCCAGTAATTTTTCCTGCACATAAAACAGAGCTCAGATGTTTATCCAGCATGTAAGAGATAACCTTGGTTTCTTCTTCTTGCTTTTAAAGTCTTTGACTCTTTGTATAGCCCTGCTTTTTGCTTTCTGATAGTAAATGCTCATGGAAGTAATAGTGTGTGGAAACATGTTTTCATCCAACAGGGGAAGTGTTCATAGTATGAATACAATATGCTACATCTACATAACCTATTACTATTCCGCAGTTAAATCAACAATGCAATCATATTTCCAATTAAACAACTTCCACTGATTTCAGCAGATCATGATTCCATTCTTTATTTATATATCTGCAATACCACCTGGATTTACTTGTATCGTTTATTTATCACTCCAGAATAAAAGAACCAGACAAAGTTGTCAATTTGCATTTGTTTTTATTCCTACCCAGCTAGTTCATATTACAAATAAAGTTTAAACCCTCAGGGGAACAAAATTAATTTCCATATGGCTAAGGACAAGGTGTCTTCAACCAATCATGTTAGCACGGGTGTGGAACAAGACAACAAAATAAGCAGAACAAATAAGGAGAGTATGAAAAGGCCAGAAACACATCACTTCTCACAGAAGTGTTTTCGTAAGTCAGTATCCAAACACGCTTTATAAAAATAACTTACAGTTAAGTGCAAAGAGCCCAATCACTTGCATACAAAAACACTTTGGTTACACTTAATTGAATGACAGCTCAAGTAGAAGCAGGCACTGCTGCTTTTTAAAAAATCAAGTTTTAGAACAAGCACCAAGTGACAAGATTCTTCAAACCAACATTCCTCTGGTTTTGTACCAGTTTAAAGTTGTTCTCTGGGATGAAAAAAGACCTAAGACTGAAATCCAGTAGTTATTTTTATTTGATTTTGTTTTAGGATAACAGACACTTACTTCATTATGAAATTGTGTGTATAATGTTCATTAAAATCTAAAGGCTTTGAAGCAAATCCCATTTTCAGTGGAAGGTGTGCCTGAGTAAAGAGCACAGGATATGGCCCTGTGCTTACAAAAAAATTAAGCCTCTCTAATTAAATTTTTACAGTAATTAATAAATAGTTTCCTACAGAGTAAGTTTTATTTTCATCTGAATACTTGCTGCTTTCTTAAGAAGCCTCTGCTACGATGAATGATTTGTAACAATGAAGGCAAGCTACCTTCTATAGCACACAACACATCCACCATTACCTCAAATAGGTTAGATTATTCAACTTGATTGGATTGCAAAGTATGACTTAATAGTTTAGCACTTGTAAAGATTGAAATTTTCCTCCCTACAACAGCCACAATTTGCATTATACATATTGCACTTTTTTGGGTACTGGATTTCAATTTCTGCTAGCAAATTATAGGTACAGACTAAGACTATCTTGTTAAATTTCAGGTGAGGAATGCAAAACTATCTTACTCTTTGTTTAAGGAGTCTTTTCCTTTCAAGAATTTACTGAAGAAGTGCATTTTCCTTCTTGTAAAATATTCACTAGCATTTAGAGTATAAACCTGGTCAATTAGGATTTCAAATCCAACATTTCAAGCCACCTCCTGTGGTCAAACTGGTATGGGGGCAAGATGATCCAGTTACTCACCCAGCTTCGTGATAACAGTTTCTTTAACTCTTCATTTTTTAAAAAAACAACAACTAAAGTGTTGAATGCTGTCCATACTGAAGTTAATCATGTTTTTTTCTAGCTTTATCCAGGCTTTTGACTTGTTTGGAGACTGAGAAGTGGTGTTAAATGTGTTAGTGCCACAATTCAAATGGGTGTGTATTTATGGGAAAGTTTTCAATATGCTTGACAGAAACATTCTTCAAGTTCTTTCTGAAAAGACATTATTGAAACCTTGTGTTCATGTCTTCCACACAAGAAAAAATCCATCATGACATAATCCAAAGTGGTCCACAATGAGTTTCTTTGGAATGACTTAAGACTGGCTGTAGCTAGAATTCTGACTTCCATTTGGGCCTTGGTCGCCTTCACTGTTCAGAACAAAACAAATATGGATATATTTTTAAAAAATTATTTCTTTTACTTCTGTGAATTCATTTCATGAAGGCATCTCTAATGTAACAGCAAGGCAGGAGATTACAGTCTTAATTATACAATATTGGAAGCACAAGAAGTCACAATGGACAAGGTCAATCATCATGCAGCTCTTTAATTACATTTACTTCATGTGAGAGCATACAAGAATTTATTCTAGGAGAGCCTGTGCAAGTGGCAAAATGTAAATACCACCACAGAAATTGGCCTCAAACTCCTACAAATTGTGAGTCTTGCTTAAATCATGACTGAGGAAATTAAAAAAAAAAAAAATTCTGAGTCCTTGTAGCTTTTGTCTTCATACTGCCTTCATTCAACAACTGCCTGGGTAGGGAGCAGTGTGGTTATTTAAAAAATTATTTGTTCCTGAAATGCACATTTGTTTTTCAAAAATCAGGTATAGAATTTAGCCCACACAATGATCTCACACTCAGCTCATAACCAGAGTTGCAAGGGGCAAAGGTTATATATATCTTATCCAAAATCACAACAACCTATCCACCAACCCCTTGCCAGTAAGCCTGTACTAATCCTGAGTATTTGTTATAAGCAGACAATGTGCTTCGTAAAATGATTCCTGAAAACCAAAAAGCTTTAATATGATAGTCAAGGAACAATGTCACTCAGTTTACAAACATCCAGTGACTAACAGTCCAAAACCATAGTTTAAAGCATTATGTTCAAGCACAGCCATTCATCATGTTCAAATGACATTGATAAATGTTGTTATAGTCCCTGAAGATTCAGAAGGAGGATGCCTATGCCTACACAATTCTGGAGAGTTAACTCATTTCTATTAGGTAATTTCACAAAAGAAAAGCAGGAAGTTGTGTAACTGTTAACCTGAGAACTATCAAATTTCTAGCAACTAGGAATACAATACATTCTGATAGATCTCTGGAATATTGTTAAAATTCTTGTTTACACTTTGGATACACTCTTCAGATAAATAGAAATATAGACAGATATAGAAATAGGGATAGGTAAGTACAACAAGGAGAAAACAAAGTTTGAAGACACCTACCTGTTTGGAGGTGGTTTTGGTTTAGGCATCTTACTTAGAATAGTAGCCATTTCTTTCCTTTCATCAAAGTTCTTCCATTGTTCATACAGTTTCAAGATAACCCTGATTATTTCTAAAATCTAAACAAAAATATGTCTAGATGACAAAACGTAGGCATGTTTCTATGTGTCTGTCAGCAACAGGCACACACTTCATATACAAGGAATAGGTCCGAAAATATTAAGTCTTCTGTTACCCTTGTATAGTACCCCTGTCTGTTTAAATTTAGTAATAATATATTTAATATTTTACCCACTGGGGGTGGGGAAGGACAAATTCTGAGCCTACTTTAAAACATTCAGCATCTTAAGACATTGGTACTTGGGATAATTTTGGATTTGTTACTGGGAATTAACATGAGCTTTGATCTTAGAGCATAACAGAGTTTATACTCAGAGATCAGTGCACTAGGAAATTAGCTGAATGGTCAGTAATTTCAAGAGGAAATAAACACAGCCTTCATTTGATTTACATCACCTCAGTTCCAATACACATAGGACTTTGAAAATAAGCACCTCCATCATGAATTCTGCCCCCAAAATGACCAGAAGCTAGTTCAAGCATTGTCAAGAAGGGATTATAATACCTGGTCCTATGAAGCTACCACTTTACAGGAGGACATGTGGCTAGCATACATGTTTTCCCATTACACAATAAATCTGTACCTAGGAAAGAAAATGTATCTACCTTCTCCATATCAACAGAGAGCTCAGCAAACCACTGTCTAGCATCCTTTTGCTGGACAACACAGGCCACATGTAGACAAGCTACAAGGGAAACAAATGTTGATAAGGTTAGATAACAATACTTGTAGAATGATGGGTAACATACTAGTAATGGCAAAGGACATTTCCAGAACATGTTCTTTGTACCACTGTCTACCTCTCAAGAGAGGATTTTTCCATCAAGCCATTCTCGATACTTTTCACACTGCTGACACTTAACATGTACATTTAACTTTGGTTTCCTAGTTGCTCCATTGGCTTTTTTAAAATTAACACCATAAAAGCATTTCAGTTACTAAGTAAAAAAATGAAACTGGGGCTTTGACGTCAACACCAGGCTTTATATGAAGATGGTCATGGGTGGAACTCTACACCAAATCATTCCATTCAAATAGCGATAAAGCATTTTTTAACGTGTTACTTACCTAGAGCTATCATGAAAGGAGGATACAGCAGACAAAGATCAGTTCTATACGTGTCATTCACTATCCTCCTGCACAAATAAAAACAACCAATCAGCATGCTGCCATTCATTTCTTCACCTAAGGGAGTCAAGGTAATATGCCACAAACACACCAGCTTATTTCTCCTTTAAACATTTACGTTCTGTTTGAAATCAGGATGTTGGTTATCATTATATACACATTTCATTGTATTTCCCCCCCTACATACTTTGCAGTTTGGAACACTGGTTTAATTTCTTCCCAAATCCATTCCGGAAGTCCGTTCGACTTCCAAATCACGGCTTATGATTGGCCGCGGAAGCCCCTTCGGATGTTTGGCTTCCAAAAGAACGTTCAAAAACTGGAACAGTTACTTCCGGGTTTCGATCATTCAGGAGCCAAAACGTCCAAGTTCCAAGGCGTTCTACAACCAAGGTACAACTGTAATAGATCTGTATTCAGAGGCATTATATGATGTCATCTTTCCTACTGCAAGACAAGGTTAGGGATGGTTTGAGGGCAGGCACCTTGCTGAAGCCACCTTGAGTTCCATGAAGAGCAGGGATAAATATACTAAATAAATAAAATAGTAATCAGAGTATCTAATTACTATGTGTGCCCCTTGGGTGTTTTGAAGAAAAGGCTGTACAGGTCATATGTAAAACAATCCAATGGTGGCAAATAAACCAAACTGGTTCCATGTGTTCTCCAGTATGTATTAAACTAATACTGATCCCCAGGAAAATGTCTAGATATTGGCTCACGTGGCTTTGGCAAACTGGGGAAAGTGTCTGCAAAGTCAGTTAGCAGACTTCACCTCCGTTGTTGTATTTAATCTTGTACTCTTCCTCAGATGAACACACTCTTTAAACATTTTTATATTTATTACCAGGCAAGGGGTAGCAGCATATCTTCTTGGCCCATATCTTGCACATACTGGAGTAGAGGTCTATAAGGATGGTATACTATCAAACAGCAGTCCTGGAAAGATTGATTTTAAAAGGCCATTTAAAATTAAGTGCAGCACAAAGCTCATTGTCACTAGCAAGAATTCAAAACATCTGACTTACAAATTTAGGTGCTTCCTGCCTTCCATTCAACATGTTACTGTTGCAGCACCCTTATTCTGTCAAAATGAGGTCAGTAGTCTCTTTAGAATACTCCTCTGTAGAAGCTGACAGAGTGCCTATCAGACTATCTCCCTCGGAGACACAAAGTGACACAACTGCAGCAAACAAAAACCTTATTTGCCCACAAACCTAAATACCTCACTGGAAAATGAACCTTGCAAAAGAACAGCCTGTGTTTAAAACTGCATAAACTAAAAGCTTGCCAAAATAACTGGCACTAGTTTGAAATTCAAGTAAGTTCTCACTTCTCTTCTTGTAATATAAATGGGGGATTATGTCAGAGAGACTGTAGGAGGAAGCTCCTCCTCCACTAGTTCAGAACAGAGATGCAATGTGCAAAGGTGCTATGTGTTGCAAACCACATTAAAAAGAGGGAGAATTTTTAACCACAAAGCACACCTTAGAACAGAGTTTTTAAAAGTCAAAGGTAATCTGATAGAAGCCACATGCCAATGGTGAGCAGGGCCAAAGCTAAAGGTGGGTGGAGTCCAAAGTATTACACTGCCTGTTGTCTGACTAACATGATGAATAGAGTAGCTGTGCTGCCTGTACTGGTTAGCTGACTGATTGGAAGAGCAGTTGTCAGTATATAAAGTAGCCAAAAGTACACACATTTCCAGAGAAGTATTTATGAAATGTAAGAACATGACATGGGTCCCTGAGCCTATACCTGTGGTTAAGTATTTATAGTACAGTGGTACCTCAGTTTAAGAACAGCCCTGTTTACGAACTATTTGGTGTACGAACTCCGCAAAACCGGAAATAGTGTTCTGGTTAGCGAACTTTACCTCAGTCTACAAACGGAATCCGAACAGTGGAAGGACACCAGCAGCGGGAGGCCTCATTAGGGAAAACACGCCTCGGTTTAAGAACGGCTTTGGCTTAAGAATGGACTTCCAGAACAGATTAAGTTCGTAAACCGAGGTACCACTGTATATCTTATAAACTGAATATAATGTATTCAAATATCTATACAGTGGTACCTCGGGTTAAGTACTTAATTCGTTCCGGAGGTCTGTTCTTAACCTGAAACTATTCTTAACCTGAAGCACCACTTTAGCTAATGGGGCCTCCCGCTGCCGCCATGCTGCTGGAGCACGATTTCTGTTCTCATTCTGAAGCAAAGTTCTTAACCCGAGGTACTATTTCTGGGTTAGCGGAGCCTGTAACCTGAAGCGTATGTAACCTGAAGCGTATGTAACCTGAGGTACCACTGTACAAAGAAAACATTTGGGTTTTGTATGTAATTTGTGCAACTCTATTCTTAATTTCTGCTTAGCTGTCATGAACTACTAAACTATAAAAAGGAATGCTCCTTTTTTAGGGACTTGCAGTACAACTGGGGAGAGGTGTGGACAATACTGCCTATTTAAAGGTAAGTGCTGTGGGTAATAGCTCATTTCATCCCCTTTAACAAACAGGAAAGCTGTATATAAAGCTGTAATATAAAGTTAAGCCAATGCAGAGGTAAACAGATGAACTTACCATTAATTCTAAGAGATAGAATTCACATTCTAGTATCTGCAAAAATAGAAAGCAAGTTAATCATACCAAACACACTGCTCACATTAAAAAGGAGGGGGAAAACACAGATCCTTTGGAGACTAGGTAAATCCATTCCACTCAACATCAATATATTGTAATGAAATTCTGTGCATAATATATTTTATTAGACATCAGTTCAACTGTTGCACCCATTTACAAAACGGCAACTTAAGTGATGCACTTGAGGAAGTAAGTTCCACTTATCAATTGGTGGAGCTTACTTTCAAATAAATATATTTACTTTCAAATAAATATATATATGTACTAATTCAGAGATGATATGCTAATGCAAACTATATCATTACAGGGTTACTTACATGGTTCATCCTATAAGGAAATTCCTTCGGAAAGGCATACGAAAACCTAGTTTTCACTGCAATTAAAAGAAGTCAAGAGACATTTTTTTAAAAAGAGGATAAAATTAAACCACCATGTTTATTTTTTATTGAACTCCCAAATCTCACAAGACTGGATGTTGGATGCATTGTTTTACATTTTCAAGTACAAGAGAACACCTGGAAACTACGTATATTAGAGCATATGGACTTTCGAGATTACCTGACAAAATTCAGATACAATGAAAAACTACTATGAAAGAATGTGAATAAAATAGTATTGCAATGACCAAAGCAAAGGGTAGGTGGGTGAGAACAGGTTTTGAAATTTATTTTATATACTTTGAAAAGTAAGTTGATATGGCTTTTTAAAAGAAAATGTTTACCAGACTCTGAAAGCTTACAAATTGACCAAATTATCTACTGGAGTGGAAGCCTTTACCAGTTTCTGGAAATTAGTTTTCTACCATCATGCATGTGCAAATATCTATTTTGCAGAGGGGTAAGGGGAGACAGACTTTAACCAAGTATCAAACATACTATGGATAAAGAAATTCATTTTCATTGCTGCTGCTGAGATTGAAAACTGATTTCAGTTAGTACTTAATCTGTTTTATTTATTTCAGGTAGTTATACTATTTAATCCCCAAAGTTTCTAAGCAATGCACAGCTTCCTATGAAGAAGACAACATTTTATCTATAACTATTATGATGACTATTTTACCTATGATAAAGCAGCAGATTTACACTTAAAGGACATGATTTACACTTACATACAGAAGTAGCAGCAGATATCAACCTTGTATTTGAGACCACACCAAATTCCTAAAGCAAGAAAAAAGAAGTCACACTGGAAGGTATTCCACACTAGAAACACACTGTGACAAATTGCCTGTCATTATGATGGGTGAAAGGAAGGTTCTCTTGAGAGGCTTGTAGGCAAATGCTGAGCACTTTCCAAGACAGGCTGCCAGAATCTGAGGCCAGCCATGCCCAGCTCCACTGCAGCCTATGGTGAACAGGTGTAAAAAGGTTTATCTCCACCTCACCCTGCTATAGTCACAACAACGCTGCAAATAATAAAGAAGCTTGTCTGAGAAGGAATCTTTTTTCTTTCCCATCAGCAGACTATCTTTCAATAGCAATGCAGCTACCAAGATGGCCCTTGTGCCTAGCTTCTGTAACCACAAGGCAAGAAAAGCAACCTGTAGCACTGGAAGCATGGTGTGATCAAGGGTCACCATTTATTCTGAATGTATGAACAGCCAAACACCAATAACGATGGTGGGAGGGGCACAAACCCCTTGGTGGGAGAAATGCTGTGCACTTTACTAACTCCTAGTATCTATAAAGACTGAGAAGACAAGACAGCAACTCAGCCAATAGGACAGATTAGAATGGTAATGAACTACAGTTCATCACCACCACTGGATCTTCTTTTTTAAATTTATCTTTATTGATTTTCTTCTTAAAGGTTAAACAACAACACATACAACAAAAGAAACCTCCCCGTCTTGTAAGTGTGATGCAGCATTGAATAATGGAGCTCCTGTTTGTCCCAGAAGGACATAGAGAAACAAAGCCACCATATGCTCCAATTTAACTTTTCTCTTTAGGGTTAAAAACTAATTCCGCTCTTTTTTATACCAAATTTATGCACGCACAGAAAAATATGCTCTACGTACCTCTACTTTGGATGCCAAAAACACACATGTAGGAGCCATTAGTACCGGATCTATACTTTTTAGGGAATATCTGAAAAGTGACAGTACATGATTTTAAGAAGGCAGAAGGAGCTATTCACATAGAGCACTGCTTTTTAGAAAAGTTACCACCAATATTGCAAACCGCTTTGAGGGTTTTTTACAATCAAGCAGTGTATAAATTTTATAAAATAAAATAAAATAAAATAAAATAAAATATAAAATAAAATAAAATAAAATAAAATAAAATAAAAGGTTTGCATATATAGAAGGACAATGGGGTTGAATTGAACAGTATCACTCAGCTGACAGGAAGGCTTCCATAAGCAGAATGGGAAAGGTAGCAGTTTTTAGCTATTTGCCTTCCCTCCTGCAGCCCCCACCCCTCTAAATCTGTTCTGCAGGGTCTCCCAACCCTCTGTAGCATATTTAGCAGGTGGAGAGAGACTGTGTGTGTTGTGTTGGCATCCATCTGTCTCAGGAGACAATGGAAGAGTGTGCCACTGAGGGTAAAGTCAAACTGTTACAGAGTTGCATTGCCTGCTGTGGCTGTAGAGGCCAATATGGGAGATATGTTTTATTACAGCTGGGGCAGATGAAGGCATCTGGGATCGCTGTTACAGAGGCACCATGGCATTGTGGGATGTAATAACTGAAAATTGCTACCCTTCCCATTCTGCTTACAAAAGCCTTTCATCAGCTGAACAGTACCCACTGGATATGGCTACAAACCAACTTATCTGTTAACTTATGAATTCTGTTTAAAAAGGAAAAAATATATATATATACTAAAGTGGTCCTACCTGGCATAGAACCTTTTGAAGTAGACAGTGGCAGTGGCAATAACTTGTTGTCTTAATTTCAAATGTTCACCTAAGGCCTGGATAACTTACAAACAAAAACAAAACTGAGTTAAGATTTTAAAGTACAATTTGCATTTTATCAGAAGTGGTGAAGGTTATCTCCCATGCTGCTGTGAAATAATCAGTATGCCAACATTACTACACTCTCATTACAATCAGATCCTATCCACATTTATTCAAAGCCCCAATGATTTCATGAAATTTACTGATGCATAGGACTGCAGCCTTAATATGTAAAGGGTTGCTAAGTTTAACCAAGTCATCCTCTCAGGAACCCTACAATATACATCAATAATTTTTTTACATATTGAGACCATAGCACAGTTGCCTGGTTCAGATATACATTTTCCAGACTGCTAAACCATAATATAAAACATGATTTAATATCCTTGTCAGGTACTGACATTAAACCAGAGGTCCCTGTTTCAGACATACCAGGGAACTACCAAGAAACAAATGGGAATGTGGTCTTAATGGTTGTTTCTGGCTGCTAAACTGAAATTTAGCAAGCCAGAAAATGTATGGCTGAACTGGATCAGTGATTTCCCCACAACTACCTGAGGGGTAGTTGTGATCCTAGATCAAAGTGTAGCATGCTACCCACTAAGTCAAACTAGTTCAAACACAGTCAGATGGCAATTAATTCCAACATTTAAAGATGGATGCATGAAAAAAGAAGAGGCATGTGACATCTCCGTACAGTGAAGGCAACAGTTTGCTCTAGGATGTACAATTTAAGGCAACTCTCAAATCACTTACTCTAGACTCCTACAATTACATCACGCATGCCTTCTGGAGATCCGTAAGCCCTCAGCTAAAAAAACAAAAAACGAGCCACCTCTAGCCTACAATGCTTAAACACATCACAACGCTGATGTTATTTGTCCAATGAATGAAGCTGCCAATAACAACATAGTTGCTGAATTTGGCAGGGCAGCAGGTGTTTGAAGTATGACATATTTAATCTAGGGAAAGGAGTGGGATGCAGGGGGGAGAGACACTAGAGGAAGTAGTCAGCTGCTCCATCACAAGCTCTGCCTGCCAGTTGGCCAAGAAGCAGCCCTGGTGTCAGCTGTGCAGGTAGCTCTTATTTGGCCTTCCAGGCAAAGGAGATGTGCCAAGCATGTTAGAAGCATCCGTCTGGGATCCCGAGCAGAGGTGGAAGGACAGAATGATGGAATGAAACATAAGGTGATTACTTGGTATTTTTCCTGAATGCCCTCATCCATTTATAATCTGAACATGGCAATGCTGTATCATTATCCTGCCATTTTAAAACAGCACTGCAAGTTATGCCATTCCGATTCACATAACTATGCACAGATTTTAAAGGCTGACTGCCAAGCAAGGCATTTGCACACATGATTAATGTTTAAAGGAACAACCATTACAATTGTGATCAACCTGATGCTGCACTGTAACACCATGAATAAATGCTATATACATTCATGAGTACATTCATGATATCCAAATATCACGACACAGAAATCAGCACTATACAAATATTTTCCATCCAGCCATAGCAGTTTCTAACATACTACCTCTCTTTCCCATATTAAGTTTACACAGATCTGCTACAGTGGCTAAGAAAACAAGCTAAGAACCAATAGATCACAGTGCAGATCTTACCGCACTGCTAAAAAAATTCATTAGGCAGGCTTAACAAGCCACTACTTAACAGATAGCATCTATGACAAGAAAGATCATCAGCAACATTTGCACACACATGCCTAAGTCCAAACCATGTTCTAGCTTTACACCACAGAAGAATCATAGAAGCTGAATCCAAGTTAAATGCAGAGAAGTCTCTTATCAGTTTCACACAAGTCTTCAGAATTGCAGAAGAACCTAAGAAGGACTATTAAAGTGAAAGACCAAGAGAAGAATAACCTCACGGTAAAGGCTGGACTGTCAGTTTCAGCTCCCCTGCAAGTGCCATCTTTACATACAAACTAGGCATTATGTTATTGCCTTTAAACCAGGACCTGAAGGACAGTCACATTAAAATAAACATGTAGTAGAGTCCCAAAGTTCGGTGTTAGAACACATGCCTTCCATCCACAAGGTCTCAGGATGAAAACATATGCATAATGCCAAAAACAACAAACCATAAATAAACCTGAATGCTATATTTAAGGTGAAATATAAGGTCTCTTGGGGGAGCATGTTCATGTCACTAGGTACCTAATGAATGTTTCTTCTAAAAAAAAGTTATGGTGAATGTGTGTATTTTAAGATATTAACACAAAAATAATTCATCACACACACAGTATGAAACAGTGGGTTAAGTTAAAAGTGAAACTATTTTTACCATTTGTAAAAAATATCTGCAGCTTCCAATATTCTTCTTCTGCCAAAAATTTTAAGTCCTTCTGGCGTTCCTTCAACAGATCTTGCTTATCCAAAATCCATTGTAAGCTACACAGAAAGTGGAGAGAGAAGAGACAACTTTCAGTATAAGTTAGATTATACCAACTAAACAGAAGGTCATTGTACCACAAATAGAAAGGAGCCTACGTTTCAGCTTCTACTACACAGCCTGATGCAAAAGTCACAAACTTTCCTAGGTATTCAGAGCCATACTAATTTGTTCCCCCAGCACCTCTTACATGTGCCACAAGAGCCAGCAGCTGCAAGAGACAGCAGCAGCAGCCAAGCAAGGAAGCCCCAACCTGTGACATGCTTTGGCAGACATTTCCTCTGAGGCCTGCTGGGGCCGAGAGATTCAGCTGCAGAGCAGCATCTGGAGTATCTGAGAACGAGGAAGAAACTTGTATATGTCTTTGTTCTGCCCTAGTAACTTTCTGTCTATTTTATTGGGTTTTAAATATACTGCTAGATGCCTCAAGAACTCTGGTTAGTAAGCAGAATATAATTTAAATAAATAAATGCTATGCAAAGCATGCATACACCTAAAAATTCAATTCAGCCTCTCTGCCTGTGGCACCTGTCCCAGAAGTATCTCAACATCATCATGGTTTTCAATTATGTGTTTACATATATTGTTTTGGGTTTTGAGATCAGACTTTCTCACAAATAAACAGATTTAGAATTTAGGTGCTGGTAGATTACACATAAAAAGTGGCCAAAGAAGGATAAAATGACTGCTGCAATACTGAGAATTATCTCCAGCCAGGTGAAATTTTCTCCTATTTGTAATTGCTAGTTTGCATTATCCTAAAAGATACCCATTCATTTTCTGTCAAAAATTTATGAACCTGAGTCAAGTCTTTTCACCATGGATATTTTTTACAAGCTTTCAGTTATTTCAAGGGTAGCCAACATGGTGGCCTCCTGATGTTGCTGGACTACAACTCCCACCTTCCCCGACCACTGACCATGCTGGCTTGAGCAGATGGGAGTTGGAGCTCAACAACATCTGTAGGGCACTAAGTTGGTTATCCGCAAGTTATCTGCTGAAGGTTCTCTAGCCTCATAGTATCACAATGCTCTATTCACCTAAGACCTTGTAGGTGGAGGTGGTAGGGAATAAGCAACCCAATTCTTGGGAGGTAGTACAATATTCCCTTGTGCACAGATACAGTATGCAGATACGAAAGCATTTGAAGAAAGGAGGGGGAAATGATGAATTTAAATGGGCAATATTCCTCTCATAGTAAACAACAAATAGATATCAGAAAATTCCACATTTTTCACATTACCTGTTTCCATCCAAAATTTAAATAACTACTTGTTGCCTTTCCATTTGAACCAAAATAGAAAATAAAAAACTGTGTGCATAAAGCGATACTAGTAGTATGGTTCAATAAAAGACATCAATAGTTTGTTAGGTTTTTTAGCTCCACAAAACTCTTGGGTGGGGGTCTTTACTAAATTATGTAGTATACAGCAGGCAGCACTTTTACTGTGTCAAAAGCACCTTGCCCTACATGAGCTGTCACCTTATCAATGCCACATGAAAGAACACAAGAAGAGCCTGCTGGATCAGGCCAATGGCCCATCTAGTCCAGGATCTTGTTCTCACAGCAGCCAACCACATGCCTGTGGGAAACTTGCAAGCAGGACATGAACACAACAGTACTCTGCCCACCTGCGATTCCCAGCAATTGGTATTCAGAGGCATACTGCCTCAGACAGTGCATGTAGAACTGTGGCTATTAGCCTCTAATAGCCTTCTCCTCCATGAATTTGTCTGATCCTCTTTTAAAGCCACCCAGTTTGGTGGTCATCACTGCCTCCTGGGGGAACAAGTTCCATAGTTTAACTATGTGCTGCATGAAGGAATACTTTCTTTTATCTGTCCTGAATCTTCCAGCATTCAGCTTCATTGGATGCCCGCAAGTTCTATTGTCATGAGAAAGGAAGAAAATATTTTCTCCATCCACTTTCTCTGCACCATGCAAAATCTTTTGAACTTCCACCATGTCACTTCTTACTGGCCTTTTCTCAAAACTAAGAAGCCCCATATGCTGCAACCTTTCCTCCTAGGGAGATTCTCCATCCCCTTGAACATTTTGGATGCCCTTCTCTGGACCTTTTCCAACCCTACAAAGTCAGTTTTTGAGGCAAGCTGGCCAGAACTTTACACACCGCACCATAGATTTGCATGACTTTCTATAAGGGATTTTCCATCTGGAAAAACACAACAGCACACACAGCCAATTTCGTCCTTACAGCCAGTAGCAGAAAACCCATAACAGCTTTGGCATAAAGCCATACAAACATATAACAGTGTAAGAATTCATATTTTCCCCAAAAGCCACAACCTCCAGGCACACCCCTTCCACCCGCATCTCACTGCACCTAATATTCCAACGACTATTACCTATGAAGGACCTACGGGGTGGGGGGGAATTTGCCTCGCCCGCCTTTTCTCCCCCCCCCCCCCCAATTTGTGCCTCCCCCCCCCGTAACCCGGCACAGCTTTCGCTTCCCATCCTAGATGCACCCAGACCCGTGAAAACTAGCTACTCACTAATGCGAGCTCTGCCAGAAGTTCCCGGCCATGTAGCGGAGTCGGCGGGAGCCTTTTCGTTTTTGGTTGCCCAGGCGGAGAGCACAGACGCCGGTACCGGTGCAGCCTCCTCTGACGCCCCCCTCCCGCCACTCCAGGAACAGGAACAGCTTCAGCGGCAGGAAAGAAGAGCCTGTAATGAGCGGCAGCGCTCCTAACAAGCGGCAAGCCTCGGTTCTGCGTGCTCACCCTTCCGTCGTCCGGCAGCTCGCGGCCGCCTGGCAAATCAGTTCCGCAGCAGACAAGTTCCGCCCGTGGGGGGGCGGGGGCGAATGGAAACTCAAAATGCCCGCTATCCTCACCCTCAGCTGTTCAAGGCTGCATCAGTTAAGTTTTGCCTTGCCCTAGAGGGCTTTTGTGCAAAATGAAGTTATTTTAGCGAAATGAGTGCACATTCATTGGGGAAGACAGTTACGCCCTGTGTTATGTTCACTATCCCACTAAACCAGTAGACTGAGAATAGGAATTGAGGAAAGAGAAGAGTTTCTGTATCCGGGGAGGGCATTCTACCATGACAGTCATAACAAAAAACCCAGATTTTATCCTTCGAGCAAGGGTGTAATTCTGCCCTTGCATATTTTCAAATCACTTAAATGGCAATCTTACCTGAGAAAGGGGATTGCCTTGTAGCAGGAACCCCCCACCCCAATCATTCAGTTTGTACAAACTTCACACATTCACACTCACACACTACATATGCCACACTTCTGTTATAAATTCATAGAAAAATCAACCATACATCGGATTTGCACTGTTCCATTTTTATTTTACTCCATATGACAAGGACTATCAAAGGGGGGTGGCTTGGTTCTGGTCAGCCATAATCCCTTCACCATCCCAGCGCATCCACAGGAGCCCTGCCCAGTTGCTATGCCAACCCTGATGGTCCTAGACAGAAGACCATCAAGATCACAAAGAACTTGCATATGGGAGTGGATTCAGCATGGACTGAAACAAAGGACAATGATCAGATCTTCCCTCTGGGGGCAGGAAACTGCCAACTCCCCTTTGTCTCCTGGAAGTGACTCATGGGGAGGGGAAAGGAGGAACCAGCCAGGTGACAGGACACTCAGGTTACCACCACAACTCCTCCCTCAACCCCTCCTTTCTGTAATGTATGCATGATGTTTCTGGGGGTGGGCTTGACCTAGAGGATGGGAATTTCAAAAGTTTTTATAAGGTCTTGCACACCATCTTTCTGGGTCTTTCCTCTCTCCTGCAAGTGAGGGGAACACCCTGTTGCAACAGTTCAATAAAGGCCAAGCCTACAGGCTGCTGTTTTGCTCCAAGTTATCCTGGTTGGTGTCTTTGTTTTTGTCCAAGGGAGCCCTCGGATTTTCCCGGTAACAGCCTCATCTTGTGTTGTTAAGTCCCAAACACATCTCTTCAGACCATGCTCCAATATTTCTTTTTTTATTATTATTTTAATCCAGTCCTTCAGCAGAGATTCTAAGGCAATTTTTTTCAATACAAGTAAAAATTCTGGCCCTCATTCAACACACTGAGCAATCTCAGTCCTACAGAGGGAGCCGTTATCTAGCCGTTCATAGCTGGCAACATTCGTCCACCAAGCAATTCCTGAGAATCCAGAACACACTGTTCCCAAACCAACAGATTTCCCATGTTTTTCCTGTTATCTTTCTATTTTTCACATATGCTCATTTGTGGCAATATTTCTGCTTCAAATATTGTGCGTTATTTGTATGCATTACCCTTAACTACAGTATAGGGAAGTCAAGCCTCTAGGCACCCTGATTTTCCTTGGAGTAGGACAAATCCTGCTACAGGCCTGTATTGTCAAGCCCAGTCAGAGAGCCATATATGCCCTACTTAAATATCTGTTAGGTTACCAACCTATATGAAGCCTGGGTATATAATAAAGGTTCAGATTTAAGAAATTTAAGTGGGATTACAACATTGTTCTTGTATCCATAGACTGGCACTGTGCTATTGCTTTCCCTCTGCAAAAGCATTTTCTGCGTTGTAGACAGTAATGGTGGTGTTTCCCCCCAAATCATGTTATTGCATTACCTACCTGCATTTCTGCACTACCTTTCCTGCAACATGCTATGCTCCTGTCATTATCATTCATTGCTTTTGTAAAATTTATTTTCCTTACATTTTTATTGCATTATTCATATCCATATTACATTATCCAATTCTATACATTATGAACGAAATATACAATGATCCTTAAGCAGAATTATAAACAAAGGATTGTAAGCTTCTCTCAAATGGGATTCTAACCTTAATATGAATAGTTAGAATAGGAAATGTTTTGATTCAATTTTTGGTACATAATAACACTGCTTTTAAAAATGTTTGGTTAAAGTGCAATTGCACCTGAATTTTGTTTGTTTGTTTGTTTTGCTCTGATGGTTGACGATTGCACTTTTTAACTTTGGAACTGCACGGCTGGGCGGGGGGATATCAACACACATCATGAACCAGTGCCGGATTTACATATAAGCTAAACAAGCTATAGCTTAGGGGCCCACTCTTTTGGGGGCCCCCCAAAAAAAATTAAAGGAAAAAACACAACTAGATGTACATTTCCAAAATAAAAAATAAAAAATAAAAATAAAACTTACATACAGCAACAGTATTTTGTTTTGTGTAGGTTCCTATAATGTAAGTAATGGGCCCCGCCTGCTAGCCTGCTCCTTAAAATATAAGATATAAAGGGCCCCATTACCTTCAGTAGCTTAGGGCCTCATCAAACCTAAATCTGGCCCTGTCATGAACCAGTGGGGCACTAGCAATATTCAAATAAAGTTCTTGGAGTGCCTCACGGCCATGTGTTTCTATTGAAATAGTAATAATAATAATCTTCAGGGCTACATTCCACTGTGGCACATTTGCACACTTTTTGCAAATCAGGGGAAAACCCCAGGTGGTATGGTTCTTGTTTACCCATAATGCTCTGGATATACTCACCTGTATTGTACTGCTGACTTGTAATTTGGACAGGGCTGAAAAACAGTCTTTCACAGAGGAATGCTCTAGCTTCCTTACACCGAGGAGGTGAGGCTGAGACATTTCTCTTGGCTTACATTTTGTGTCCATTTCATAGAATACATATTGCCGCATTAAAAATATTATTGGTTGCATAACACACTTAAAGCACTGACCTCTCTGCCTTCTTTCTGTCTATCCATCTAGCAACCTTCAGGGATGCTAAGTGTGGTTATTTTATATTGTGTTTATGTACAATAGCATGCCAGCTTCCAAGCATCACACATTCTTTCACTTGCACTTCCCACAATATGGAAGGAGTGTAGGTAGCTTTTCTAGCAGGGATGAGGAACCTTTTGCAAACCAAGGTCCACATCACCTTCTGGGTAACTTTCTGAGGGCCACATGCAGAGTAGCTTGAGTTAGGCTACAATTCCATACCCACCAACTGGTCCCTTTTTCAAACTTAAGAAAACCAGGACAAAATTCTTATGCCAACTTGGATTTTTCTGTTACTGCAGATACATTAGCTGCCACAATGCATTTAAGGCATCATACAATGGTCATGTACTATATGCATGTGCACACTGTGGCTATAAGGTAAAGGGACCCCTGACCATTAGGTCCAGTCGTGACCAACTCTGGGGTTGCGGCGCTCATCTCGCTTTACTGGCCAAGGGAGCCGGCGTACAGCTTCCAGGTCATGTGGCCAGCATGAATAAGTTGCTTCTGGTGAACCAGAGCAGTGCACAGAAACGGCGTTTACCTTCCCGCCGGAGCGGTACCTATTTATCTACTTGCACTTTGACGTGCTTTCGAACTGCTAGGTTGGCAGGAGCTGGGACCGAGCAACGGGAGCTCACCCCATCGTGGGGATTCGAACCGCTGACCTTCTGATCGGCAAATCCTAGGCTCAGTGGTTTAACCCACAGCGCCACCCACGTCCCATACTGTGGCTATAACATATGGCCTAATGTTGAAACAAGGGACGCGGGTGGCGCTGTGGTCTAAACCACTGCTTGCCGATAGGTAGTTCGTATCCCCATGACAGGGTGAGCTCCCTTTGCTCGGTCACTGCTCCTGCCAACCTAGCAGTTCGAAAGTACGTCAAAGTGCAAGTAGTTAAATAGGTACCGCTGCGGCCGGAAGGTAAACGGTGTTTCTGTGCGCTGCTCTGGTTTCGCCAGAAGTGGTTTAGTCATGCTGGCCACATGACCCGGAAAAACTGTCTGCGGACAAACGCCAGCTCCCTCGGCCTGTAAAGTGAGATGAGTGCCGCCGCAACCCCAGAGTCGTTCGCGACTGGACTTAACAGTCAGGGGTCCTTTACCTTTACCTTTTTAATGTTGATACAAGTGGACACAAATTCAAAGTGCACAGGATTGGGCTGCACAGCTTCAAAAGGGAACTATATATGTGCCCAAATATCTCCTTTTGTAAGCTGCCCTGGAAATGTTTTGGAACTTAAGGGGAGGTGCTTACATCACCATCAAATGCAAGACCTAAAAGGGCCAAACTGATTGGATCATACCCATTTGGACTAGGTCACTTTGGACCCACTTGCTTGCTTAACAATTTGGCCTGATGGTCACTCACAGCCATGCAAAAAAGCAAGGAAACATTTTTTGCCACTTGCTGGAATCCTTCCCGTGCACTGCCCTCACTAGCCGGGCTTTAGCTCAACTTCACTGTTTAGCAACGCTGCTGGTGCTGCAGCTTTTCCCATTCTTGGGAGAGTTCGGGAGGAAGAAAGGCCGGGTCCCTCACTTCATGCTGCTGAGACAGGGCAGGCATTTTTTGATTCCTAAATTACTTGGTTATATGCCCTTGATCACCCCAGCAAAAAACTCAAATCTCCGTCCATCCTTACGCATTTATCTCTTTCCTCTCCGAATCCATTCATCGCCCCATCCTTTGTTTGTTTTTACTCCGGATTAAGTGTGCCTATGGGATCACAATCTTAACCTTTCCCTGTGTCGACCCGCGCCTCTTCCATGCCCTTTCCTCGTCTCCATTCATTCCCCCGCTGCCTTGCAAT